GATAACATTAATGTTGAATGATTGGTTTTTTTTTTTTTGAATTGTAGTTTATTGATTTACATTATTGGGAGGGAGATTTTTTTTTGAGAGAGATTAATTAAATGAGTCCAGTAGTAATTTTGGGGATTGTTTTGGGGAGGGAATAATTCTGGTGCATTAATGTTCATTAATCACGTCCATTAAATTTAATTAATTTTTATTTTCTTATTTTAAACTATAGTTTTAAGTGCCATTTGATAAAACTTTATTTACATAAAATTTGAAAGTCTATTAGTATGATTGTTGTAAATATTTTTTGACTCAACTATTAGAAAAATGACACATAGGATTATCCTATGTGTCACCTTTAGAATTATTTTTTATTTTCTCTCTCTGGTTTCTCTCTTAGTATAATAATATATATTATAGATTTGAGTTGTGTCTTCGAGATAAGTTTTGAAATTGATTTTAAAATCACATTTGGATAAAAATTATTTTGTTAACCACCATTACTATCGCCAATAATCAATGTAGGGGCGGCATCACCGCCAAACTACCGTCGACCGGCGGTTGCCGGTGATAGCGCCGCCACTGTGACTATGAAAGATGGCGGTCAATAAGGTGGCGATTAGTGAGAAAAAATAATAAAATAATTATATAAAAGTATTTTTTTCGAGAGTTCACATAATAAACGCGTGTTTAGAGTATCTTGAGTACACAAATTTTTTTTTTTTGAGGCCGCACCTATTGGTGCTTTAGAGGCACATAGGTTATTATAACAGGGATAAAGCCTACTGGGGAAGGGGGTAGTACTACTAGGGGGAGACTCTACTTGCGTGCACCTCTTGCTCGGACTGTCTGGTCCTCTGTGTTCGATGATGGCAGGCCTCCTGCCTGCTTAATCTGGCTGCTAGTCAGGTATATGTTTCCTTATTCAGCTGCCTGCTTCCCGCGCGGTAGGAATCGAACCCTCAACCTCGCGGTTAAAGGGCAAGACACGATTCACAATTCAAGTAGAGTCTGATAGTGTTTGCTTACTTTTTTTTTTTTTTTGACAAGATACTACATTTTGTCTCTCATTTTCTTTTTTTTTCTCATTCCTCTCGTACTGTTCTCGTTAAAACTCAACTATTTAATTTTGATTTGATTTTCTATTGTTTGTTATCTTATTGGAGGGAAGTTTTATTACTCCCTCCGTCTCACAAAAATAGTGCAGTTTGATAAAAAAAATCTTGTCCCCAAAAAATAATCCGGAAAATCAAAATTAAATTCTATTAAATGACTAAAGTAGCCTTGGAACAATCCACCCGTCAATTGATCTGCTACGCTCATTCTTCAAAGGAAAGGGCTTACCGCCGCCGCCACAAACACTAGTAACTCCTTCAAGGCCCAATTGATATGCTACGCTCATTCTTCCAATAAGTAATTTTTTTTCTCCTAGTTAAGTATAAACCCAAAGAAAAGGAAACAAAAAAGAAAATAAAATAAAAGAAAAATAATACTCCCCACATCCCATAATTATTGTCCAGTTTGTCAACAAAATTTTGTCCCAAAATTATTGTCTAATTTGACTTTTTACGGATCAAGTTACACATTTGTCCTTAGTAAAAAACATTATCCATAAAATCTATGTGGTTAAACAATTACTTATGTAGGGGTATATTCGGTTGTTTAAGGTAAAATATAGTTAAGTTTAACTAAAAATAAAATATTTCATTTTAGTAAAATTGGACAATAATTATGGAACGGAGGGAGTATGTCTTTCGACGACGGAAGATCGGTCGTGAGGACGATGACGATAATGTGAACGAAATACTTCCAGCTATTCAACATCGATTTGCCTATTACAATGAAGGTACGATAAATGTGTTTATGAACTAATTTAGTGTGGTAATTTTATTCATCTTTAATGATTGACTGTAGTCTGAATTGGGCGGCTGTAATAATCCGTTCTCCGGCAATGAAGAGGAAACATTTCAGCGTTGACATTTGAATGACCGGGAATGAAGACAAAGGTAAAAGTGGAAGTTTAGAATATAAAATGAGTTGCGCCTAGATGAATTGATTAAAATAAAAATAATTGTACATTTTAAAACTGAACTATTTTTGTGGGACGGAAGAATATTTTATTTTGAAAGTCTTATTTTTCTATTTGGGATATTTTTTTATTATTTTGTTTACTTAGCATGTTTTATGGACAGATCTGACAAAATAGAAGAAAATTCATGGTGATTGATGGCAATCAAAATGTACATAAATTCTGTAAATAAAAAAGGAGAATATCTGCTAATGATCTAGATCGTCTACGCATTATTGATCTGGGATCTAGATGTAGATATGTAGTGTAAATTATACCACATGTAGTTGATTTTTTTTTTTTTTTTGGTAATATTGGTTATCTTCATATTATTTTATTAGCTGGAATACTTGTTTTCCCGTAATCACGAAATCGTTACGAAATTTAATTAGTTGGGTCTAAAGCTATATAAAGTGTTGAGTTTGTCTCTCATATATTGTGATTATGTTTGATATTCCTTCTATTCATAAATAGACGTTGTTGCAAGAAAAACTAAATACTCCCTTTGTCCTAAAATTGTTGTCCAGTTTGAGATTTCATTTTTAGTACAATTTGAACTAAAAATAAAAACTCAAACTGGACAATAATTATGGGACGGAGGGAGTATTAAAAAATAGATGCCGGTTTCATAAATCGAGGCATGTTTTGTCAAGTTTTTTTCCATTATTACCCTTATATTAGAAACTGTAATGATGTTCAATGTAGAATTGTATTAATGTTATTGGGATTACAATTGTATTAAGAGTAATGAGGACATGACAATATTTTAACAAGATAATTATTGTCTTTTTAAATTTTGTGAAATCTCTCAAGCGATATTTATTTGTGAATGGAAGTAGTAAGAATATTTTGTTGTATCATCAATTATTGTAACTTAACCCTTTGTCAATGGACACTTAAATTTTTTTAATATAATAATTACGAGTATCACTCGTGACAAAAAAAAAAATAAAAATACTCGTCATATATGAATTGTTTGTTGTAGGCCCACATAGCCATCTTACAATAAACAACAACTATTTTTTAATTTTTTAATTGTACGTTCACATTACACTTCCTTATTGCTTCATTCTTTATATCATAAACTATGATTATTACTAGTAATGAAAACATTTAGACGATTAAATTATAGGGGAAGAAGGGTAACGGGAATAGAGATAGAAAAACTGTTTAGACAGAAGAGTTAAAAGTTACTACATCACGAAGTACAAATCCATATAATGGTTGGTATTTTTCCTACAACTTCCATGCATTTCACAAGCCATGATTAAAACTATGATTAAATGTTAACAAGCCATCTAAATTTGATTAGCTTGATTTCTGAGTGGAGAAAGGTGTATTCAAATAGTTTTTTTTTACAATTTTTTTTTTCAGACGATATCCCTTTAAATTGCAGGGTATGTGTATTTTATTTTTTTAATATATATTTTTAGGTATTTTTTTGTATTAAAAATATAAAAAAATATATTAAAAACATAAAAAATATGATGAGATAAGACAATTGTTATTTAAATATTTTAAAAATACCATAAAAAAAACTAACAAACAAAACCTCAATTTGCAAAAAGAAACATAAAATTATTATTAGTAGACAGCATTATCAAATTTGAGGTTCAAATTTCCAAATAAAAAGTCAAATCACCCCAAATTCTGGCTTTGACCGACATGAAAGGCATGAAACGCTGCGCATGAAGCCCACGTGGCAGAATCTCGACCCTCGATGAAAATTTAAGATTTTGCCGCGCTTAGGTCATATTCCCTCCAGTCTCCCTCCAAACTTCTGGTCCCACACACCACCAGACTACCAGGTACGGAGTTTGTCATTTCCACAAAGCCCCAGGCTCGGTTTTACTCCGAACCTCCACCTCAGCAGCATATTCCCAACCTCCGCCCTCTATTATTATTATTTTGTTTCGCGTCACAGAATTAATTAGGCCTCATCTAAACCTCGTGCACCACCTCCATTTCTCCACCGCCCGATCATTCTCTCATCTCTTGATCAACGTGCTCGATTCGCCTTTTGCCTCTAATCCTACGGTTGGAAATTAATAACGTCGTTATAGTAACAAATCCGCATCTTGATTTTGTCTGTCTTATATCATCTTCCTCGTCACTTCTCTCTCTTTCTTTCTCTCCCGAAACACCCAATTTTTCCTCTGTTTCTCTAAATTAGTAAAATACTCTTTTATCAAGCTGTAAATTTTTTAAATTGAAATCTGTTTTTTTGAAAGAAAATCATGAACTGGGAATTTGCGTGATTTTCTCCATTTTCCTTTTCTCTCTTAATGGTTCAGTATAGGAAACTCCATATCTGTGCATGGAAAGCTTCCATCTTTTTTATTTTTTTTTGCCCCTTTTGAGGTTTCAGTATTTTTCAAAAAACAAACTTTTGGGCTTCTTTTGTAGGTTTTCTTGTTTGATTTCTACTTAAATTAAGTGACACTCAATCAAAAGAAAATTGATTGAGCTTTCCGGGTTGGTTCAATTCCGATCAGAGCTTTGTTGTTGTATTTCTCTTAATCCGGATTGAGTTAAACGTGACTGGGTCATTGAGTTTCACACTCCATCGGACTTTGTTTTTTTTTTTTTTGGGGAAGAGATATTCAAATTGGTTTGAAATTTGAATGAACAGTACTGGGACTGACGACTGGCATCCAGTTTATAATTATTTTATTTTTTTCCCATAATTATTAGTACTACTATTTAATTCTACGCTTCAAGAAAACTTCTCAAAAAATTCTCCGACTATTAAAATAGTCAGCAAAAAATAAATGCGGGTTTATACGTGGGCACATGCAGAGTCTTAAGCATTCAATTTAGGAGGGGCAAGTTGTATGTGGACTAATTTTTATTGTGGAGGGATTAATTATTGATTGATTCTCTGTAGCTGGGAAAGTTTTGGAGGATTTTGTGCTTTCTTTCTCTTCACTGGGATTTTAAAGTGATGTCATTGACGGTGACGGAGAGGCCGTCTTCGTCTTCATCTTCATCTTCATCTTCGTCGTCGGCGGCGACAGCTGTGAGAGAGAGGGAGATAGATCCTTTATTAAAGGATCTGACTGAAAAGAAGCAGAGTTTCCGGCGAAACGTGGTTTCCCTTGCCGCGGAGCTCAAGGATGTCCGCAGCCGCCTTGCTTCTCAGGAACAGTCATATGTTCGTGAAACTCTAACTCGTCAGGCATGTAGATTTGAAATGATATATTAAGATTGTGCCATTTTTATTTTTTGCTTTTCATTTTCTTAACTGGGTTGTTTGATTTGGGTTAAAGGTTATGTGATCTTTTCGACAAGATTTATTGGATTTGAAAATAAATTTTTGGTTTTTTTTTTTTTTTTTGAATTACAGGAAGCTGAGAGTAAAGCGAAGAAAATGGAAGAGGAAATAAATAGGTTGCAGAAGAGCTTAGACGAAAAGAGTGGGCAGCTCCAAGCTTCAGCCTCCTCTACTGAGCAGGTTGTTACTTTACGATCCATTTTGCAATTGGGTGTTCATTTGCTTGTGGGCTTCTTCTGGTTTGCAAATCTTAATTGTGAGTGTTGAAGCTGTGTGTGGGAAGAAGCTTTGGTTGTTAATTGAGTTTGATTTGATAGTGTTATTTTAATCAATCATTTTTTGATTGTTTTAGGGTTTTTGTTGGTTTCAAAGTTCAGAAGTAGATCCATTAGTAAGACGGCTGATACTCATCTTTTGGGGGGTGACTTTTTGGCTTTTCTTGTTTGTTGTTATGGGTAACCCGGAATATTTTCAAAGTGTAGGATTGTTATTTTATATGGTTGTCTTACTTTACTTTATTGTGGTTTTGAATGGTTCAAGAAGGTTGTCTGGCTCTTTTTATACTCAAATTGATTGGGTATACTTTAGAATCTTGTATATGAATTGGCAAATTGCATTTTGAAACCATTTGCTCATATATGCTAATAGCTACAGTAACTGTTCCTTGAAATTACCCCAAAGTATATATTCCCTTCCTGGATGCATTTGTATCATATCATCTCTTACCTGTTTCCAATATCTACACATTTAACAATTCATGTCCAGGGAAATAATTACATTTTTTGGGGTCCAGTGATGTTTAATTTTAACATCTTTTCCCATATATTCAAATAGTTAAAATAGGTTAAAAAAATTCGAAAATTCTATTGTTATTGTTTTCTAATTTCCAGTACATGAGACACTTTATCCTTTTCCTTGGTGTACATATGTAGATTTATTCCATGAGAAATAGCTTATGCAAGAGGAGGTAGGTGAGTTAAAAAGGTTGATATAATTACACACACCCTCACAAATGTATCTATTAATGTGGAAAGCCCCTTTTTTTCTCAAAAAAAAAAATGTGGAAAGCCCCTTTTTGTGGTGGGGTTTTGCAGACTCCTTGTTGCATTAACCTTATCTTCACATTGAAGTTCACCCTCAAGGAACAAATCTCTTGAGGAACTGTGGGGGATTTCAGTCAATGTGAGTGTTCGTGGGTCTAGATAAAGTTGTCTGCTATTTAAATCCCTGTCATCTTAAACTTTTTAATTTAAGTGGTGAGAAGATTATTTAAAAATGGGTCTTGTATACACCATCAGGTTAATCTGCTTTTGGTGCTCGTAGCATGTGTTAATTTACCGGCCTAATTAATCATCTTTGGTGCTTATTGGACTGTATCATATTTAGTCTGTATTATTAAATGGATTTTGGGAAGATACTTTGATCCTGTAGCATATTAGATTGTCATGTCTCTGCAAATGTTAATAGCTGATGCAAAAGGAAATTTTATTGAGTAAGATTTTAATGGAGCCTGTTGGGAACGAGTTGGCCATCTCCATTCTTCAAATTGACTATCGTATTTCATGCATTGATTGTTTATTTACTCTTCTAAATTACAATGCAGTGTCTTAAGGAGTTGGATGATCTTCGGTCACAGCTTTCAGCAAGTAAAGCTGTTGCAGATGCAAGTGCAGCTTCTGCGCAGATGCAGTGTTTGGTGCTTTTAAAAGAACTGGATGAAAAGAATCTTTCTCTGAAGGAGCATGAACTTCGTGTCAATAAGCTAGCGGAACAGCTAGATCTTCTACAGAAAGATCTTCTAATGCGGGAATCTTCGCAAAATCAGCTGAAAGATGAAGTTATGAGGATTGAGCATGATATTATGCAAGCATTAGCCAAATCTGGATCAAATACAGACTGTGAGCTGAGGAAGATATTGGATGAGGTTTCTCCAAGAAATTTTGAGAAGATGAACAAGCTTTTAAACACAAAAGATGAAGAAATAGCAAAGCTGAGGGATGAAATAAGGATCATGTCTGCTCACTGGAAGCTTAAAACCGAGGAATTGGAATCCCAGGTACGCCTGGCCTTTCTTTCTTATATGTATCATAATAATCCCTTTGCTGGGAGCATTAACATTTTTCTTGTATCAAACAGTTGGAAAAGCATCGGAGAACTGATCAGGAATTGAAGAAAAGGGTTTTAAAACTGGAGTTTTGCCTCCAAGAAGCTCGTGCTCAGACTCGCAAGCTCCAGAGGGTAATTTCTGATGTCAAACTGTATTTGTGATGGACGATGTTCTTTGAAACGCTTTTGCTGTTGATTTCATGGCATATCAATCAACCTCATGATCATTCTACAGATCTAGATAACCTCCTAATGTTTATGCTGCAAGTAACCTACCAAATCTCCCCCTTGAAAGATGTCTCCAAATAAAATAAAGAAATTGAAGTTATCCCTTCACTTTGGAGATTACCGTATTTTGAGTTTTCAATCGTGCAACTTCCTTTTGCATCCATTGATAATATGCTTGATCTACTAGAAGATGAATTTCTTATAGCCTCAGTAAATTTGTCTTCTTTTACACAAGATAATCTCTCTTTGTTGTTCAGATGGGAGAGAGAAGGGACAAAGCACTGAAAGAACTCAGAGATCAGTTGGCAACTAAGCAACTGATTGCACCCGAGGCTGTTGATAAACAGAACTTTTGGGAAACCTCAGGTTTCAAGGTTGTGGTTTCAATGTCAATGCTTGTACTGGTGTTATTCTCGAAGCGGTGATAACATTGTGCTGTTCGGGAGATGTGTAGTTTGTAGTTAGTATTGTATAAAGAGTGTAGGTGCTTAGTAAGTCTAGTAAAAGATACTAGGGAAACAGTAGCCTGTAGGCACTGCTTTTGGTAGAAGAGATTCTGGAGGCCTATTTATTTTCATGGCAATATCCTCATTTTCCATCTTCGGAGGTTGTAGTGTTGTACTTAAATCTGTAGTAGCATGCCTTGTGGCTTATAAGTTTCCAGTAAAATTTACGGGCACATGCTTATCCTCTTAATGTTCCTGTTCCTGAGGTTTGATTGCAAAGCTGTGGCAAACAATGGGATGATTAGGTCCACATTTTCGCCTAAAAAGTGTAAGATACTAACAGGTTGCGTGTATCAGTGTAGTCAAAATCTGCTAAAACATCTCAACTGCATTCTTTTCCTTTCGAGTACTGTACATAAACCGAACTGCCCAGAGCCCAAACATATTATGCTACCTATGCTATAACCTCGAGCTGGAGATCAAGTAAGCTACCGGTTTCTGATACATTAATGCGGGAAGAAGTCTGCTTCTACATTTCAGAAGACTAAGGTCCAAGCAATAGTGGCTGTGATCATCAAGAAGATGAAACTGCTGGCGGGCTGGAAATGGTTTGAGGCGGATGTTGAAGCGATTGAACTAGAGGGGCTATCTCCATAACCTGCAGTTGTGGTTCCTGAAGCTGGATTGCTTGCATTTAGAAGAGATGGAGGAGTACCAAAACTGCAAAAGAAAGTTGTCTAAATAAGGATTGTAGCTACAGTTACTTTGGGAACCATTAATGAACCAAGGAAGAAATCATGAACTCTGCTAATACCTAATTGGCGTCGTTCCTGATGAAGATGCTGTTGAAGGGGTGACTGCCCCTGGTATCGCTGCCGAAGCTGATGATGCGTACACACAAGAACCAGTACCTGAAAAAATGAAAGTACACGCATTGAGGTACCAAACATTGCACTGGTGATAACATTTGTTTCAAGGAATCTCTCTGTATCCTTACTCGGATTGACATTTGTTATCATGGCCGTTCCCCCAAAGTCACAGCTAGCTTGAGAAGGATTCTTCTGATAATAGCTATTGAATGCGACTGATGCGTGATTCTGCATTGTATTAGGATTATAACAAGATGCACCTTGCTGAATGGTTGTACAATCTGCACCTCCTATTCCACAAGCATAATCAATTGCTGACTGAAGTGCAGTGTCTGGTACTCCACTCTTAGCAATACACCAGCTCTGCCCTGGAATTGCGGGGGCATTAGTTACCGGAAATGGAGCAGGGTTTGTCGCAGGAGGCGTGACAGGAACCTGTCCTGGTGCCGTGACAGGGTTAGTAGGCGTCGTGACAGGGTTTGTAGGCGTGGTGACGGGGTTAGTAGGCGGCGCCACTGGATTGGTCACTGGCACAGCCGGAGTTACTGGATTAACCGGATTTGTGGGTGGGACCTGGACAGGGGCAGGTACCGCGGGAGGAACTGGTGTTGTTGGAGTGGTGACAGGAGTCGGTGTTGCAGCGCCAATGGGATTTGTACCTGGAACAGTAACAACAGGAGGAACAGTATTTGGTGTTGTTACTGGATTAGTCACTGGATTAGTCATTGGATTTGTAGGATAAGTAACTGGTGGATTGACCACATCATGCCTAATTGCTTTCAAGAGGAAACTGTCAGCTAATACCCTCCGGGATAGAGAAAACACTACACCTTCCAGCTTTCCAGCAGATGTACCTGCAAAAATTCAAGTGGCAAATTGCTAATTACTACGTCGTCATCCATTCCGAAATAAGAGTCATGTTTCAAGAGAAGAGCATTAAACACCGTTCCGAATATCGTTACTCTTTTCTGCAATTATACCCTTTAATCTATCCTACTAAATAAGGTTTCAGAAACTACTAAACACAAACAGTTCAAATAAACACCCCTAAGTGGAGAATATGCGTATCTTCATTGCGTCAACATCAATATGCGTAAAAATCAACCAATGATTTTATGCAGAACAACAGAAATTCCTCTATATTCCGACAAGACTGAATCTTCTTTTGTTTTTTTTTGGAAAGAAAATAAAATCTAGTTTTACAGCTGTCTATTCTTATTTTTAAGTTAAAGAATGTGACTTTACCAACAGTGTGAACCTAAACATTATACGAAAATTCAGTAACAGGGATTTTACAGTAGTGTTCTTGAACTGTGTTCAAAATGCCATTTCACCCAAAATTGAAAAACATTCAGCAAGAACAGAATAGACAGAAGCAAGGTTTAAAGCAACAGATGGAAAGCTTACTGAAGGTCTTTTGTTTTATTAAGGAAAATCCATTAAACAATGTAATGGCATAAATCAAGCTACGAAGCATACAGAAGAACAAAGAGAAAGAATGAGCAGAAACAGAATATAAGAATCAGGGCTACTCACCAGGAGTGAAACAGAGATGGTAACAGAGGAGGAATATGAAGAGATGTTGAGACCCTGTTGAAGCCATTGTTGATGAACGAGAGAATTCTCTTTTGTTTTGGGAAGCTGTCTCAATGGAATTTTAATATGAATTGGACCATTTTCTGCTGCTTAAAAACCAAAGAGGGAAAAGAATTTGATAAGATAAAACCATTTTCGAAAAAAGGGGGACTAAAAGGTGGTGAAGATATAAAGTTGCAGAAGGAGAAAAAGTAGTAAAGAGAAAAAGGAATATGTGTTGCATTAGAAGAATACTAAAGAGAGAAAAAAAAAAAGTGATTACTTTGTCACGAAGAATGAAATTTGGAGGAAAGAAAAATAGGGTTTTGCCATTGCCTCCAAAACTGTACAAAGAACCAAAACCAGCAGCTCAGAATACGTATTCTTTTAGGTCAACTTTCTTGCATGAGATTGGCCATTGGTAAAGAAAAAAAAAAGATTTTAGTTACGGGGAAGGGGAAAAAAAAGGTGAGGTTTTTACAATAATTTTGACAATTCATAATGCACCCATGATCCAAAAAGGGGTGGGTGAATATGAAATGAATCATGTCAGCAAAGATAAAGGATTCAATCAATCTGATTTTTTCTCAAAAAAGGGAATTTGACAATGTGGTTGAAGAATGCGGTAAAGCAGGCATCTATGAGGTAATCATATTTGAGCAACCACAATCCGATGATTTTTGTTATAGATATCTGAATTCATCATATTGTACCAGATTATGATATAGCAACAAAAATATACTAAAAGATTTGTACTCAGCATTCCAATATCATTTGTGCGTTTTTTCAATTAGTTCACACGATTGAGTGATTAATTATTTCACTTTTCACCAGTTCACTTTCTTTATCGTTACTCTTTTTCTTTCGCTTCACAACAATTAAGTTTGTGACACTAGTCATCGGTTCGCCTAAAAGAAAAGACGTAAAATAAAAATGAATCTTTGCAAAGATCATAGAGAACCCGAATCTTTTCCCCCAACAACGTAGCAACCCATTAAGCATTTCAAAAATCTACACACGGAAAACATACAATATGCGTGAACAAAGTTATTCTTTTTCCTTTCCATTGTTAATGTTAATCCCATGTTATTGAACGGCTATACTAATCTTGTTACGTTTAATTACATACTAAGCAAACAAAACGGGGGGTTCCACCCATGTGGTTTAATTTCACCATTATTTTTTTTCCTTAATCAAATGCATCAAAAGCATCTAAGTCTGACTAGATCTCATGTCAGCCGAAAGCAGGAAAATTTTTGTTAAAAAATTTGTATTCAAGAATCAGAAAGGTATATTAGTCTGCTAAGAGCAAAGAAAAGAAAGATATAAAGGGCATTCAGCACTACAGATGGACTGCTCTACTGTCTGTCCTTTTCGGTTTTCCGATCACTTGTCACTTTTGATCAAAAACAGCTTGAAAGCATTACACATTTTTTTTTCCACAGTGACTTGATCGATCTCTTCTTAACAACCCTTTTGAGATGGGGATGGTGGCCATATCGGCCCATCAGACCACCATTTTGTTCTCTGCTATTAGTATTTGGCAGATCTCAAGAAAAGGAAAAGAAAAAAAAAAGTTTTGAACAAAAGGCAACATTTTAAATGTGTCTATTTTTTGTGAAACATATCATGCTGTTTCCTGGATTAGATACGGATAAAAAAAAGACTAGTGGTTTGCTGAGGATTAGATATTTCAGACAAGAAATTTCGATACTATATGCATGCATTGTCGTTTATTTAATTTGTCACATAATAATAGTGGTGTTTTTGAAACTAGAACGATGTATAAACAGAACTATTGTTAGGAGACGGAAGGAAGTAATATCATTTTGTTCTCACTAGAAATGTAAAAGTAACTTAGGAAAAGAACATCAACCTGGCTGGATAGAGTGTTTCATCATCAAATATGTGTGCTGAGTGTAGACAGATGATACTTAATCAATACACGACATTGCCATGATAACACAAAGATCCACATTATGAATTTTCAGGAATGTATTGGGAGAAATTTGAAGTCAGAGGATTGCTGATCATTTTACCAAATGTCAAGTAATGACTGTAATTTAAAGTCTAAACTTACGTTGGATTGGTTTCAAAAGGGATCACAAAAGTCCCCCCCAAATCTAAGAGCTTAATATTTTAATGGAGCAGTGAAATGGTTGAAGAGACAAAAGAGCCAACAGAAAACTTTATGCATATCAACCAGGACTGCTCATATATATATGCTAGTTAAACTTTTCATCTTCCAATGATCATTCACAAGTATATCTTGGCAAAAAAAATTGAATAATCACGAGATGGTATTGCGTTGAAGTAGTCATCACGTGGAGAATGATAACTGCTAAAGAAGGCTCAAGGTTGTAACATTGTGGCGATACTTTCAGCATTGGAACAATAATAGTAATCAACAAAGGGTTGGGTTAATAGCTGACAGGATGTGATAATAAAAACAATCACGTTACTTTCATTCCAGGACCCGACGGGCTTCTTGTTCATAATTTTTTATGTCTCGACCGAAGACCGGCTTCAATTTGTTTGGTGTGGCAGTAATGAATGCATCAACGTTTGGGTTCTTAACAATGGTGATGATCGGCAATCGAATGATAGTAGGTGGTGGTGGAATCTCTTGATCGCGTGGATTGCAATTCGGTGAAGATGATCTTAACGACCATTGGGTCAGCGAGGGAATCGCGACTCGCTTTGTCGCGATTCATCCTCTGATATCAATCTCCATGTTTCTGAGGAGTGGAGGACATTTTTTCCTCTACCAATCTGATTGATACCCAAATGCTGGAAAGAGTTGAATATTCCTGAAGCGGAAAAAGATACCTGAAGAAGATGGATTTGGGTAGAATCGCTCTTCAGCCTTTTACATCTTCATCACAATCTGCTTGGCTTTCCCTCCTTTATTAGAATATATAATAATAGGTTTGAGCCAAGATGGCTGATTGGCTGTTTTCGATTGATTAATAAAATAGTTGAGTTTTTGTTGAGGTTTTACCAAAGAGAATGTTGATGATGTTTTGTATCAGGTAGGAATTGAAGAAAACGGCATACTTATATACATAACAACAGAAACTAAGTTGGTTTCTCATAATTAAGCTGACATAATCACACAACCTCGACAACTATAGCTGCTACAGAAGCCTCTCAACGTGTGAATTTGTCACTGACTAACCTTTCTGTATAATTAGGTCACTGAAAAATGGATCTTCTGCTGCATCTTTCGCACTTTCGTAGCTATTCAGACGCTTCTTTAGTGACCGTAAATCTCTTTCATTCTTAGATGATCGATCCTGTCCATGTGGTTTCCGCACAAATATGATATGTAAATGTCATTGCTGTCAATTGAAAAAATTGCCAAAGAAGCAAACTTATGCGCATAATGAGGAAATCAGACTTACATATGATTTCTTTAATAACAACATGTCAACCAAGTACTGCAACCACAGAACATTTGTCTTTGGGAAACTGCACTAACATACGTATTTCACAAATGTCAAACCTTCAGAAAACAATCTCAGTTCTCAACTCTTTTTAAACTATATTATATTTGCTTCACATTATCAGAAGAATCTAGTACCTTCCCTCCCAGCATTCATCAGTAACATCTCTCATCTTCCGATATGTTTCAAACTGCATCAAGGGCATGTGATTAGTTAATTAAAAGTGACACAGCATACTAAGACAACATAAATTAAACTAACTTGCTTGTCTCCTTTAGGGCCTTCGAATATTTCAGGGTCTGATGAAAGATCCAGGAAAAGTATGTCTTCACCTGTGAACCAAGATTTGCAACAGACCACATTAAATAATCTTATGAGCTGAATGTTCAACCACTGCGTGAAAAGCCGTAACTCAGTCTCAACCTGTGTTAATCCTCGAAAGGGTAAAATCGATTATCGAAACTGACAACCCATGTGTCCTGACATCCAAATTTTTTCCCTCAAGCGTGAAAGAAAGCATTTCTGAACCCTTCCGATTTAAGAGAATGTTTCCCCTGCCACAATGCCAGTATAAGTTTAGCTCACACACAGAATCGAGGAAAAGTACTGTACCAAAAAAATCAGAAGCATGATAACCAGACCAGTGTAGATCTCGGTGTTCAAATTCATAGGCAGCTTCAGCGACAGCCAATGCAAGAGTCACCTGCAGAACAGATTATTCACAAGATAAAAGGCACAAAACTAACAAATAGTATAAAATAAGAATCACTAACCTGAACCAATAAACTACGAGCCTCATCAAAGTTCAGAAGAACGAAACTTTCAAGATCTTGACCTCCATGTTCTTGAACAAATACAATATAGCACTGAACAAAACATCCTAAGTTACTTTTGGAATGTGTTCAAATAATCAGTTATCAAACAACTAAAGAAAAATGAAAAGGTACATGAGTGATCAACCAATGTAATTAGTGAAACGTGATCCTTTGTAATTCAGTAAATTATGCAGTCTGACAAGTTGACAAGGCGAGGAACCTGGTTTTGAGGAAACTGTTTAGGATGATCATTCTCTGAACCATGCTTTTCATCCCAGTCTTCCCATGCTCTTATTAAAGCCGCATCATAATGACCTTGGCACACTCGTAAACTGGCAAGGAATAGAAGAGTTCACGACTAATTTTCTTGCAAAAAGAAAATTGACTTCATGTATTAACTTCTTCATCAAGAAAATTAAAGTAGATCAGAGATGTTTTCGAACTCAGAGAGATAAAAATATAGCATAACTGCTCTCTTAGAAACAACCAATCACAATGACATAATATATGGTAGGATTAGAGAAGATTCAATCTGGATTTGGTTTTAGTATGAATCATATTCAAAATATTTTTAAGTCACAAAGTACAGTTGAAGTTTTATCAAACATAATGATTTTCTCCTCCTAGGCTCAGTATGAAGTTTAATATCTCATCCAGAAAGGGTCTTGTGTAGTGCAAGTGCTCAAACTGTTATAGTGTCATGTACAAAGCCAGAACTCATATACTATTGATGACTGAACTTACTCTAAGGTTTGGATGAAAGAAGTACATGCATTGAGGACATGATTCTCACAACTCCTTAACTGATTCAGGGTACATGAAAGCATAACCTCCTCAAGTAGCTCTTCCGCTCTCTGTAGCAAGTCAAAATACAAGAGAAAGAACCCGTGAGAAGAAACTTGATAAAGAAGACTTTTTTATTAGGCAACCTCCAAAAAAACAGAAGCATCAAGTACTTAAGAATCATCATTACAACTCTATTCTCATGAATTACAGCTCTACTCATAGCATCATTATGCTGCAGTTTCCAAAACAAAAATTATTGATACAGATTCCAACAAAAAGACGGCATAGTCATCTCAAATTTCAGCATGGCAAGTAAGGGGAAAATGGAAATCCGCATCACATGTACACTTGAATATGAGATATTCATTTCCATTAGAATAAAAGGGAAAAAATACGATTAACATTATCACCTTTTGGAGTTCGCCATTGACTCGAATTTCTCCATTGAAAGGAACAATCTTGCAAACAGTCTTACCCACCTTGAATGCCTCTCCATAAGTTCCTTCTCCAACCTTTATAATTACTTCCTTGTCACTGAGTACAATGGAAATGTAGTCTAGTGAAATTTATTGTCGACGAATTTTATTCTAAAACTAACAGTTCAAAAAAAGACAACAAACTCTATGATGAGAAAAGTGTACAACATCAAGTTGAGTTCATGATAGTGCTAGACTGAAAAAAACTGCAAGAAACTCTAATAAACTTTAACTTCTCCAAGGAATCTTTTCAAACTATTTGCAATGTGGAGTCTTTACAACTCATGGTCATTGTAAAAGAACAGGAGAAGGCTCTTGTCCTGGAATTCGAATTATGCCTATGTTTTTGGCCCCTCCCCAAAGTGCCAGTGAAAATTCCTGATGATAGGGTACAAGTAAATAAACTGAAATTGAAGAGATCCAAAGATTTGAGAAAAAGATAAGTTTTTGTTGAACTATGAACGTCTTCATCTCAAAATCAATAGTCTCTACTCTGTTGGGGCTTAAAGCAAATGGGGCACAGTTCAAAACTGAAAAGAGAATGCATTTGCAGGATTTTAGAGGCTCAGGTATACTTCATTGACAATCTGAATATGAAAACTCTATCTTTCAGGTACAGTATTACCCTTTTATATCAACGATTAGCAACTAAAAAGGAAATATGAGTAGAGAACTGAATATCAGTTACCTGTAAGTTGAAAGTACATCCAAAAATGTTGAAGGAGATGATTGTCCACAAGCTGTCAACAAAGCCAAAAGGGGATCCCAATTCTGATCATCCAGTGAAGATGGGTTTGAGGCCAAGGAGAGTTTTCCAACAGCCCAATCAATCTCTCCAAATCCCCTACCAGGATCATCTAATGAAACACTCTTCACAGAGACAATTTCGCTCACATTACTGAAGTCAATTCTATTTGGAACAGAATGAATGCTAGGGCGGATGCGAAATGACAATGCTCCAGAAGCTTGATAACTTGAAGCTATAGTTTTCTTACGAGTAGCTGGAGTTTCCAATATCCGTGATAGAGAAGGAGGAAGACCACAACCTCGCCTCTGAGCAATTAGCCATTTCTGTAACACAGATGACAGGTGTGGTAAAACAGCCTTCTCAGATGTCACACCCATGATCCATGTAGTAGGCTTCTTGGGTGAGGGGCTTTCTTCCATCAGTTCAAAGGAATCAACTTCTTGGAAGTATGCAATCTCCTTCTCAAAGTTGGGCTTCGGTTCAGTTCCCTGGAAAGTGCGAACAATTTAAACGGAATAGCGGAAAAGGAACAACGCGTGTTTGTTTCCTTTCTCTTAGCACAGAGAAATGCAGAATTTCTTAAGTTACATTACATCATGTCTAGCTGGAACATAAGCAAACCATGTATCTGTATTATCATGTTTATAATTTTCCAAATGTTTCACAAGACAGACAATCTTCTTTGCTATTTACAAAAAACACTAACATTTATAAGAGTATAAGCTGTGTAAGAGAGTGAAACCTGCGAAATCATGAAAGAAAGCTTCAGAACAAATTGTAGTGATGGAAAGAGCAAAAGGGACCATACTTTTGGAAGAGGCGGCTTTGCTTTCTTTTTATTTTTCCTTTGTTGAGGTAAATATTCCAGAAATGATTCAACAGTCATGCTAGTCCTTCCCCTGCCAATTAACATTAGGAATTTGAAAAGTATGTTTGATGAGTTTATTACCTCCCGTGTTCTCAAAAACAACATTCCAAGGGCCTAGCAGTAAAAATTCCATTTCAAAGATAATTCTGGACATAAACCAAGCAAAACCAACACTTTTGGCAGATTACTCTTCAAGATACAAAGTATCCAAACTAAACCACTGCTGTTCAACTCAATAAGAGCACAAAATTTGATTGCGATCAGCTAGTCGTTGGCCTCTTTTCTCTATGATTTCATGTTTCTCCTATCACCCGCTAAGATAGTCACTAATTTACGACCTAAAGAAAGGAACTTGAGTAGCTAATATTTCCCACATTTCCTAACATTCTTTTAAATCGAAATAAACAACATATATGAAATGGGTATTTCCAAACCCCCTTTAAACAGCGAGTCTGCTACCAAAGTAGGAAAAAAAAAAAAAAAAACTAAAAAGCAGGAAAATTTCAGGAAATTAGGGCAAAGGGGAATCTAACCTGGTAGAAAGCGAACGATTCCAACTGATTCGTGTAACTGGAGCAAGACTCAACCGATTGGAAATTGAATCCTTCCTGAATCGTGCATTTAACAAACAACGATCAGAAACACACCAGAAGAAATTAGAACATTCATAATAAGAAGAAAAAAAAAAGGTACCAAAATGAAAAAAAAAAAAAACACCTTTCCCATGACGGCACTGCTTGGCATCTACTACTTGTTCGTCTTTGCCTTTGATAAACCACTGCAATCTCCGGTTCTTGAGGAGTGTAATCGTTTCCCTCTCCGGCAGCAATTTCAGCCCACAAGTCTGTGAAGAAAAAAACCCAAAAGGGGGAAAAAGAAATTATGAATTGAAAGGCATTTGATAGAATTTCCCATGTACGGAAGAAGCTGGGAGAACCTAAAAAGGAAAGAAAAATTAGACCTTTTTCTGAGGCCATTGATGAGATTGATGGATTGGTGTCAGGAATGAGTGTGTTGAAGAAGAAGAAGAAGAAGGAAATGTGATTTTAAATTGTGGAGTTTTAGCGGGACATCTTTGCAGGTACTACGTCGTCCGGTGAAGCGTTCAGTTGCAAATAGCTGAATTAGTCCGTTATATTTGGTGTAAAATCTTTTTGGTCCACTAAATAAGAAAAAGTACAATCAAGTCCTTTGGATTCCGGTTTTAGTCTTGAGGATACTAATCGTTAAATTCTTTCTTCCAAATGACCTGAAATTTATGAGGACTGGTTACCCCGTTTTTTTTTTTTTAAAAAAAAGAAGAAGATATTTTAGTCATTTTGCCTTGAATCAAAGCGATGCGATTTTGTTTATTATTTTCTTCGGCATAAAATATTGTTTTATTTTTTAGTAATGTATATCTTGCTATATTGAAACAAAAACCACACTTAAGAGAAAGCACCATCATTTGCCATGTGGCATTTCCACATCATATTTTTAAAATAAATTTTTATTTCCACATCTCCTAAACTTAAAAGGCAAATGCAGTCCAAATTTATTTCCACCTCCTATTTTCGTCAAAAAAAAAAAACGACGGGTTTCATAAAAAACCCAAATCCTCATCCTCATCGCCATGACAATCGACTCCTTAATCAATCCCTTCTTCACAATTAAAAAAAAAAAATTTCTCATCAATCATCAATTGAGAATATGTGGTGAAATATACTCCTTTCCTATTAGCATGTTCAATCTTTTCATTAGTGATGATCAACTACATCCTAATCGGATAAAATTTTAACTTCAAAAAATATTTTCTTTACCTCTCTATATAAACACAAAGGAAAAAAAAATTTCTCATTGATCTTACTTCGGCCGTTGTGGTGGTGTCATTACAGGTATTAAAATTTAAATGATTTTATTTCCACAGATAATTGGTTTGGCTTTTATTATTTTTTATTTTTTCCGTTCAAGAATAATGTTATTACTATTATTTTTATGCGTCCATCCGTTACAGCTACCGGAGCTGTTGTCAGGTAGTATGATGTGATTTCTTATTTGGTTAGTTAGTCTAAAATTTTTGTATGATTTTAGTTATGTTTGGATTGAATTGATTGATTGGGTTTTTGTTACAAAGTGTGGTTTTTAAATTTTTTTTTTTATGTTTCATTTAATTAGAGTGGTTTTTTTTTTTTAATTATGGAGTCTCAGGTTTTTTTTCGTATATGTCCAGTTATGAAGTGTGTTTTTCTTTGTTTAATTGCTTTTGATTTTGTTTCATACTCCCAGTTGACCAATTATGATTATTATTATTATTATTTTATTTACAAATGAAGCACGTTTTTTTTTTTGTGTTCGGGGTTTCAAGAATATACTTTTTTGGATTTGGTTTTTGAACTTTTTTTAGTTGCTCATCATATAAATAGTTCAGGTCGCTTCTTTTAACTAATTTATGGGGAAGCTTTTTATGAATTTGAGGTGGAGAGGGAAGGAATGATGTTTCTACGTTTATTTGTGTTTTTATACATCATTTTTACCTATAGAAAAAAAAATTTCTCAAATTTTAATGGGCTATCTTTTGCTTTTTTTTTTTATTTGCCATGGTGAGGTGAGTTCTTTTTTGCTATATCTTGAAACCTATGCAAATTTACATTATTTTCATTCTCATATTTGTGATCAACCAGTTTCAACAATTAACCAGTATCAAAATCATATTTTTGATATTTTACTACCTATAAACTTTTGGAAGAAATAGTTCCAACAATTAAGCATATACCCTTTGGAGTAAGCTAACTACAAGGCTTTTATAAATCTCCAAAACTAAGTATTGATTTGGCACAACCAATGTAGAACATTAATAAATTATCTTACTAATATTTAAAATTATTAGGATGCTTTTATATTTTTTCTAGCATTTACTTCAAGACATATATTTGATCAAGTTTATTTATATTTAAGAAGTAACACTTATAAAACATTTTTAAAATCTTCAAACATTTCTAAAACGTACCGGGCCAAATACAATTTATTTTTATGCCAAATACAAACATCACACTTATAAAACATTTCTAAAATTCTTCAAATATTTCTAAAATATATCGGGTCAAATACAAAATATTTTTTTTCCAAATACAAATATTTCTAAGATCTACAGATATATTGGGGCAGGATCGCACATTGCGCGACCAGACATTACTAGTTATTTTGAATAAACAGACATGATAATTATTTTTGAGACGAAGAAGGTAGAATGTTAAAATTATGTAGGAGTATAAGATAATCATAGACGCGTACGTGTGCAATTAGTAAACTTCATTATTTTTGTGCAATGCTGAGGAACCTAAAAAAAATAAAATAAAAATCAAGCAAGTCCTGCAGAAGGGTTGGGCAGTAGGCACAGCAAACCTAATCTATAATACTGTTGATATGGTGGGTTCACTTCATATTTTAGATGTACCCCAAACAGAAATCTTTGAAAATCAGCAAATTGATTTATTTTATTTTTTTTTCAACTAATAATGTGTAGACAATTCAATACTAATTATTAAGGATCCATGAAAAGATTTGATCAGATTAATAATTAATTCCATTGTAGATTATAATTATTTATGTGGCCGAAAACGACTAATAATACATTTTGAGTTTTATATACACAAAATTTCCGATCAATCATCAATAATACTCTTACTGATCCTTCAATCACCATCTTTCTCATTATAAACCAAATGTCACAATTTGATAAAGAATATCACGTCAAAATTATGCAGCCATCGTTCTGACTGGACCATCTAATTTGTACCTATTAAGAACAAAGTTTGTTCAAGAAAGAAGTTTCTATGAAATTAGGCATATGTTTTAATGAAGAAGGGATCATCTCAGAGCCTCTAAAAATCCCACAATTATTTTTGCCAAACTAACATAATTTCAATGAATAGCCAATACACATTGTTGTAACGAAGATTAGCCACTATTAGTAGAAAATAATAGCCAATTAATGCAGACGGCAACCCAGAATCAGTCGACTTTTTGATCATGATAGAAAGATATATTTAGCATTGGGACATTTCTCCAAACAAGTTAATCAAGTTGAGCCCTGATTATGAGATTTTATTTTGTTTTGGCCGACAAGTATTATAGATGACTAGACGAAAATAATGATTCACTCGTTCATAGTCGTTATTACTTTTAATAAAAGTGGTGTTATAAGTTGTTACTTCTTACTACTTTTTAATCACATTTACGTTGAAATATGTAATACTACTACTTTAAATAGGGCTAGATCATGGGAAAGGTAACTCCAAGTTCATGCATTTGAGGCATTTGAACACCTCATTTCATCTTCCTTAGAAGTAACCACCAAATTCTACTGCAAAGTTTAGGGACATTGAAGCATAAGACAGTTGAACCCAAAAAAGTTTACCAGCTCTAGCACTTTCCTCATTGAATTGACCAAATTAACTGCATATTTTAAGGGCATTCAAGACTAAGACAATGCAACAAAAAAAAAAAAAAGAAGAAGAAGAAGAGAGTTTGGAAATCTCTAAAACGGTAAAACCAGTAACAGTTGAATAACTGTGGGTAGTGGTGAAGTCGGTTACTTTTGAAGCAAAGCAAAGCATCCATTTTTCATCATTCTGAAGTCTGAACTGTTCCTCATAATCTTCCTTGATTAAATTATTTTAGTGTACTTTTAACACATTCACAAAGCAGCCATTTTTATTCAAATAAACCAACCAAAAAAAGTTAATATCAAGCTATGGAATGCAAATTACGAATATAGAATGCATCCTAACAGAAGGTGACAGATTAAAAATGGTTTCTTGGGTTCTTTTTAAATTTTTAATTTATTTTGCTGATAATCAGTCATCTTCACAAGAAATTAAAAGTGCCAGCAAAGTCCAGTAGGGGGTTACCTTGCACCTCTCCAATGCTTCCCTTTTACTGTTTCTCTAATTCTAAAAAGGCTTTTCTCAATACCTACCACTGATAACTCCATCCTTCCTTCTTTATCCTGTTCATTTTTCTACAACTGTTACCCTACAAAATTGTCACCATTTATATTGTCATTCTTTCATTAATTTTTTCTTCTTCCTGCCCCCATTCTATGTATTTGTACTACCTCTGCAAATACAGTCCATTTGTTGTTGTCATCTGGTTAAGAGATTTTCAGGAGAAAGCAAAGCAGTTGGTGGAGTTGGAAAGCTAAATCTCAGCTTAGCATTTGTTGATGCTGGTGCATTACCTTAAAAAAGAATGAGTATTTAATTAACATGTCAGATGGGTTCTAAGAATTTGTGCTGATATTGATATTTGACTTCTGAACTTGCTTAGTCTGAGATCTGGGATTTTGTAGCATGCTTTACTTAGTTGAAAAAGGTAGCATTTTGATGGGGTTTCTGAGATCTGTTCTCTGAAGGCTAATTTGAAGTCCCATTTCATAGAAGGTATGTCAGTAATATAATTCTTGTAAAAACTTTGCTGTATATGATGATGGCATTGCTCTAATTTTTCCAATTTTATGGTTTTTTTTTTTTCCCGAGTTTATATGGTTGTAATGTAATAGTTTGTCATGCTCATTGTGTGAGTACTTAATCAGGAAATCCGGGTCATGTTTATTAAAAATTCTAAATCATCTAGAAGACAGAAATTGGCTTGTTAAGTTAATCCTCTGTCTGATCTAATGGTCGAAAAAAGATACCGTCTTTAGTTTTCAATTCTTCCATTACCTGTTGTATTCTTAAGCTTTGCCAGTAGTTACATTTTTCAGTTGTGTAGATAATATGCCATTTGTTCTGTAATGAGATATATGTTTGATGGTAGCTATATAAGGAACTGGAAGAGGATATTCAAAGAACTGTCATGCCTAACATTGTTGAATTCTATCCACTAGGAACACGAACTAACGTTAAGCATTTCGGCCTTGGAAGTTGATGTTTTTGGTGCTAATTTGTAGATTTCTGCTTCAAACATGGCCTCCGATTTAAACGCACAATTGTCGAAAAGCACTTCAGTGTTGGGATTGAAGGTCTGGGAACTGATTGGAATCCTTGTTGGGGCAATTATTGTGGCCATTCTACTTGCACTGACATATTATCTTTCTTCAAGAAAGAAGTCTAAAAGAGCTCAGGAACGCATTCCCATTAGTCAAATACCTGCAGTTTCAAAGGAGATTAAAGAAGTGCGAGTGGAGCAAGTATCAGCTAATGATTTTACTCCAAGAGAAGGAATTCTTCTTACCATCCATGACAAATCCAGTGATAAGGAATCTGACAAGGTTTTGGTCCATCTGGGAATGGGGAAAATCAAGAATGGAGATCATGGCAGTCAATCTGATTCTTTTCATCATATTGATAGAGATGGTTGCGGATCACAATCAGGAGAGGAAGGGAGCTCAGGAAACTTTGGTACTTGCAAATCTTCGCATCCGATAACAGCCCCTTCTCCTCTTACTGGCCTTCCAGAATTTTCTCATTTAGGTTGGGGCCATTGGTTCACTTTGAGGGATCTTGAGCTTGCAACGAATAGGTTTTCAAAGGATAATGTCCTTGGTGAGGGTGGATATGGTGTTGTTTACCAGGGAAAGTTAATTAATGGTACATCTGTGGCGGTCAAGAAGCTCCTCAACAATCTGTAAGTCAACAAGACTTGATTAAAAAATACTTGAATTGTTGTTATGTTGCTCGTCCAGTTCTTTTTTATTCAACTTACTCATTTCCTCTCATTTTGATTATCTTTTTATCAGTGGTCAAGCTGAGAAAGAGTTTAGAGTGGAAGTTGAAGCCATTGGACATGTGCGGCACAAAAATTTGGTACGACTTCTGGGATATTGCATTGAGGGAACTCATAGGTACACATGGCGAGCATTCTCGTAGTTACTCTTTATCTTCTTACATAAATGACTCTTCCTAATATGGCAATTATGACATGGAATATGATGAGTTTTTTATGCTTGTACCTCTAGTATTTTCATTGGATTACACTTGAGGTAGATTCTATTTTTAAGATCCACTTGATCATTCTGAATGTGGATTTCCATAATTGCGTGTTCTTAGAAAATGTTTTCTTGATGATGTTCTTTAAATGATTTCAATATGCCTTCTTGATGGTGATCTCCATGATTGTGAACATTTCAGGATTTTAGTCTATGAGTATGTTGGCAATGGTAATTTAGTTATGATTTCACCATTATTTTTTGATTGCTAATATGGCAATGATGACATGGAATATGATGATTTTTTTTTATGCTTGCACCTCTAGTATTTTCATTGGAGTACGCTTAGGGTAAATTCTATTTTAAAGATCCACTTGATCATTCTAAATGTGGATTTCCATAATTGCATTGATCATCAAGTAGGAACCAGATCTCTCTTTCTTTCTTTTTTTTTTTAAACATGTATTTTGTAGTACTTAATGCTAAAAATATCTATATAGCCAAGCCTGCATAATGAAATAAATGCTCCGTGTTCTTAGATACTGTTTTCTTGATGATGTTCTTTAAATGCTTTTGATGATGTGCCCTCTTGATGGTGATCTCTATGATTGTGGACATTTCAGGATGTTAGTCTATGAGTATGTTGGCAATGGTAATTTAGAACAATGGCTTCATGGAGCAATGTCCCATCATGGATATCTTACATGGGAGGCCAGAATGAAGGTTCTGCTTGGCACAGCTAAGGCGTAAGTTGAATCACTTGTGTCTTTTCTCCGATTTATGTGTTCGAATTAAACATGATCCATTTCATTTCTTGCAGTCTTGCGTACTTGCACGAGGCAATTGAGCCAAAAGTTGTTCATAGAGACATAAAGTCAAGCAATATTCTTATAGACGATGATTTCAACGCTAAGGTCTCTGATTTTGGTCTAGCAAAGCTGCTTGGTGCTGGGAAAAGCCACATCACAACTCGTGTTATGGGTACATTCGGGTCAGTGAATTTTACTTCTCTTTCACAAGTTTTTGACAATATAATGTGATCTTTGCTTTTACAAATGATCATTGGAATGCTTATTAACTCGTGGAATGCTCTCTCATATATTAGCTTATGGTCATGGAAGTACATTAACTTTTTGGTGTTAATTTGTACAGATATGTGGCTCCTGAGTACGCAAACACTGGCCTTTTAAATGAAAAGAGTGATGTTTACAGCTTTGGCGTTGTGCTTTTAGAAGCAATTACTGGAAGAGATCCTGTAGACTATGCTAGGCCTGCACAAGAGGTATGCACTGGACAGTGCTGTAGTAATAAGGTGTCATGACTTTGTTGTGTTTGAAAGTTAATCGTTAATAACTTTTATCATCATTCAGATCCTGAATTTGATAGTGCAATCGTGTAAGAGATGGAAATGCCACCAATTTTGAAAGGACCAATAAAAATTCGGATTGTTGTCACTTCATCCTAGTGACATCCACTTTCCACTTGGAAATTTTCTTAGCTTTTGTGGACTAAATCAGAAAAGCAAAAGATAGAACCGAAGCAAACCCTTTCAGTAAAGTGGCCATACCCCGCACAATGCATTAGTTGTCTTGGGATCAAGTTTCTTATTCAGTTTCTGATACCCCATTCAGTGTATAAACTATAGTTTCATTTTCTATGTCAAACCCTTTGGATACTAACCCTTTGGGATGGTAGCAGGTAAATCTTGTTGATTGGTTGAAAATGATGGTGGGAAGCCGGCGCTCCGAGGAAGTGGTTGATCCAAACATCGAATCAAGACCATCTACCAGAGCCCTAAAGCGTGCTCTATTGACTGCCTTGCGATGTGTTGATCCAGATTCTGACAAGAGACCAAGGATGAGTCAAGTTGTTCGTATGCTTGAATCAGAAGAATATCCAATACCAAGAGAGGTACATTTTTTCAATTCTAATAAAACAGATAGTGCACTTTCCACTCATCTCTGCAGCTTGCTTAAATCGAAATAATAACTTTGTTTGATGTTGCAAATCTGCATCATCTTTAGTTATCATTATCAATCATTTAAGATGAAATCGTATGGTTGAAGGTCTCACCGTGTTGTTTATCTAGCGCTTGCTGCCATATTCTTTTTCTCACTACTTGTATCAACTCATTTTTCGTTTTGGGTTTTTCCATAATCCAAGTAATTTTTATATTGGGATGTTGTGAACTAGAAATACCATAAAGTTATACTCGTTTTGTTCTTCATCTCCTAGGATCGACGACACAGGAGAACTCAAGCTGGTAGTATGGATGTTGAAGCTCAGAGGGAAAACTACGACACAGATAGAAGCGACAATCCAGAACTGAAGTCGGAGAGCAAAAGAAACTACAGAACATAATCAACAACCTGGAACATATGCACATAATATATTGCTTGCAAAACCCAGAACCTTGATAATTCATAGCCTGCTATATAAATGACCTTCAACTATTGGGATTTTAGGGGGTATAGACATGTTAGGCCAAATGAACTCCCTTTTTTCCCGCCTTGCGGTGGTTCATTCTCATATTCATTTTCTGATTTTCCTTTGTTCCTGTAGTTGTGGAAGTCTTTCCGTTTCCTTGTATGAATCATTGCGATTTGTTTGTATGAAAGTAGATTAAGAGAATTTATTTGTGTATGGAAGTGGCGTGCTGAAAGTTGGAACAGATGAAAAAGAGGCTTATGTACATACAGATACAGGACATTCTTTCAGCTTCTTGAAAAATTTGGTTCCATTGATGAGATGCTTATTGTTTTAGGTGATTTTCATGTCTCACACAATTTTGTCTTCTGTGTCTTTATAACTTTTGGTAATCAGTATCACAGTGGCTGTTGACGCCTGGACTTATTAATCTTACGATCCAGTACTCGGTGTATAACTCCGATCTTAGTTGTAATGTAAAAAAGGTCCCAATGAAATTTCTTCCCCCAAAAAAACTGATATTATGAACTTGAGCTGACTGAGAAATGGACCCTAATGCATATTCCAGACATTATGAACAATTGTTTGGGTCGCAAATTCTAAGTTTAATCTCTCAATTAATTATGTAACCTAACACAGATTAATGTCAATCATTTTAAAAAAAGAAAAGGAATTGAAGAGGCTGAGGAAATAAAACACACCACGCCTCAACATTAAACCAGTTTCTCCAGTACTTACAAAAATTGAATTCAAATCATTTTCTCACCACACTGGCACTGGATATGACTGTTGACTGTACAAGATCAAACTTGAATTTGAATGATGACATTACTCTAATTACTAGGGCTAATTACCAAGTCGAAACTTGCAATGCAGAGGTCTCTTTCTATTACTCTAATTCTAATCAGGATGGTCGCAAAAACCCAAAAGAATGAAAGAATAGTTTTGTATTTACAAAGTTGTCTTGAGTAGTTGAGTTGTATACTCTCCATTGGGACGAGTTTAGGGTTGCTGTTTTTCCTGCTTTACAAGGCCTTCCACTGTCTTTGCAGTTTGCTTTTCATACTCCTGTTTGAGGTCCTCCAAGCTTTTAGATACCTGAAAATGCATGCTTACAGGTGAGATGAAACCCAAAACCAAACAATAAGCATATACAACTATACAAGATGAATAAGAAGCTGCAAATTTTCGTCTCACAACAAAGTCAGGCTACAACTTATGTGAAAAAACAATTTTCCATTTTAAGTCCTCCAAAGTTGTCCAAAAGGAAGGCAAACACGGATGATTTTTTAACCGGTGCTATATTATGTGAGAAGTTCACAAAAACCAAAAGCTTTACAGGTTCCTTCACTAACATAAATGCCTTTTTCACAAACAAAAACAGCAGTCAACATACAGAGCTCTTAGATTAACGATGGATCATTTTCAACTGTTTACAGTTTTGCTGGGTTAAAAAATTACAGATAATCACATTCTCTTCCTTTGCCAAGGCTATACATATCAAAACTTTAAGCCCTCTTGGTATTTTGAGACAACTTTCACAAGGAGACGTATCCAGAAGCAATACATAGCTTTCCAGTCAAATACCAGACACAAAATGGCATATAAAGGTTCCAAGTAAGTAGTGGCACCAAAACATTAAAAAAATAACTTTCTAAATAGTTTTTTCAGTTCTCACGAATTAACTGAGGTAACTCATGCAGAACAAGTCGAAATACGAATTATAGTATTTGGGTAAGTGATGTAACCATGCATGTGTGCGCGCGTGTATATGAGGGAGGAAGAGAGGGAGAGAACCTTAATTGAATAAGCCAATGGTAACAGAACATCAGGGTTTAAGGCATCCTCTGGGAAATTACGTAAACCATGTATGAGTTTCTCAAAAGGCAATTTCACCTGTTAGAAAATAGAAGTATACAACTATAAACTATGCCAAAGCCCAGAGGCAAATAGATGTGATAATCATAAATAGAAGTACTAGACTTTGGAAGAGAACATTACCAGGTCATCATGGCAATATTTTAGGAGAGCCAAACCAACTTTGAAGACAATCTTAACACCCTGCCAAGACAGCTTTGATGAGTTCCGTATTATTCCTAAATTAAACCATGAAATAATTAACCCTAAAAATAAATAAATGCAATGCTCAGTAACAGATTACTAACCTCATATAGGAATACATCCCAAATGCGGATTGCCAAATGGAATGGAAATGAATACGAGAATACAGTAATGAACCATTGGCTTGCATACATGCTTGGATTTATCATTTCCTGAGCAAAATGCTCTCCTAACTTTGGCAATTGCTCTTTCACCAGGTGATCAAACTGGAAAAGATATTGTTGTACAAGAGGCAGACCGGCCTGCATTAAATCAAAACAGTTTAGCTCCTTATACAGGACTCTGCATGCAGAACACACTGAACTAAATTAGGCTCCAAGCAACATAGTTACATGCAGCAGTCAACCTTAACTAACAGTAAGGAAAAAACCTTGATTGAAAGTCAAACATTAACAAAGATAATACTTTTTAGATTTCAAACGTTTATTTATTTGGTTCGTATTTGGAGCATTATTCAAACATCCATACAGCCGTGGGACTACCGAATCCAGTAAGCAAACTAACCATACAGTAAAAACAGTTGGAAACTTGCAACATCATATGTTCAAGATACAAAATATTCATCTCATGAAAAAACTATGAGGTCTTTTCTTTTTGAAACTTATGTTGTAATTAAGTTCAACTACATACCAAGTATAAGCCCTCCATTGGAGAGTGCACAGCTCCTTTCAGTAAGGCCACCAGCAACCAGAATGCATCTTCTTCGCTCATATAAAGAAGCAGCAGACCTGCTATAAATCCCATTCCCTGCATTAAAAGCAAGTTCACATTCTTGTGCCCAAGAGAAGTAAGTTAACATTATTCGGGCTAGATGAGATGAACCTGTACATATCCAACATCCCTGTCAAATACAGAGTATGCCTTTAATACATTGTAAAGGGATCTTTGACCAGGTCCATGCCTCTGCTGGAAGAAAACATGTGATGGAAATGTGCGAGAAATATCCCTTATTATGTCCAGCTCAGAAGCTGATGTTTCGTATATGACCAGTTGCTGCAACATATTAGATTGCAAAAGTTAGTGGTAATAAAGAACTGATACAACTTTTACCAGAATAAGTAAGAGAAATACCCATCCAGGATTGAAGGAACTAATATTATGCAGGATATTACTGAAGAAATAGGTACTTCTAGATCAACTAAAATCTGCTTAAATCTCTGACATGATGAGCTACAATTGAAGTATTCAACTTAACCCTCGAAACTAAATGTAAGAATTCATCAAACTGACAGTTAACGAAAAGAAAACAGAAATTCACGAAGTCCAAGGAGACAAGAAGAGAAATCAGACTTTCTGGAGAACTCATAAATGGATCTTCTATCAGAAACTTCTTCAATAGTAAAAGCAAATTTTCATATTTTCTTAAGGAAGTACCAGCTCTGCTTCTACATGGTTGAAGTCAATATATTCTCTAGTGTAGCACCCTAAAGACCAGACTATTTTTGGATTCAATAAAAGGCTATACGTGATGGCATGGCTAACATAAATGAGTGACTCACCTCATATACGCCAGGATTCATCAGCAAGAGGTCCCGGCTTCCAGATATTAATTGCCAAACAAGCCCTCTTAAGCAATCGGGAATTCCTTTTCTTATTCGCCTTTTAACCACATGGGGTTTCCTCCTAACATAGTGCTTCCAGTCACTCCCCCCAACTCCAATCATCTTTCTCCATTTTCTAATCCTTCTTTCCTCCCTGCAAACCGTTAGCTGATTCAGTAGAACGACATTTAGGGAACCTACGCAATAATATTCCAAGCGACACTCTCTATTTTTTACAAGTTCAGCAGGAAACATGGCTACATTGCGTCAATCTTTAAATCTATAACTAGACATCCGGTTTTTTTGGATCATGACACATAATTTCCCCACAGATAATTCACACCCAGAAAAGAACAATTTCAAGATAAAAATTTCCAACAAGAAAAGGGAAGAAAGAGGCTTTGTGGAAAACAAGCTATCGTTCTCAAACCAAAGGCTTGATTGGTTAAGACCCATGTTTAAGAGTACAACTCTTGAGAACAGAGTTACTCGATAGTTCATGCCTACAAATAATTAATCATTTCGTGGGGACAATATTATTATTATATATAATTAATGTCTCAACAATCATTTAAGTATACAAATTGGAAGCTCTACAGATGTAGTTAGGAAAGGAACAAAAACCGAGCAACTTTAACTAAGAAAACAAAAAATGAAATGAAAACTGAAGAAAATCAGTCATCATCTTAGACACAAACGAAACCAAGATAAAAAGTTAAATAGGAACCTCAAATATCATATACAAGCATCATTAAGAAAATGCATCGACCATGTAACCTTTCGCCACAAGTGCATACCTCTCATATTCAGAAGCTGATTTACTACTCATTAAAGCCTCAGGAGGGTTTTGCTCGTGCTTTACAAATCCAAATCTATCAACTCTCACTGGTACGGTTGTCTGAATTTCATGATCATCAACCCTTTTATTTTCCATCTTTCCCCCCAGTGCTCCTTAAACAACCCCAGAATGTGAAAAGAAGAACACTACCAACCCTCTTGATCACGGCAAATACGGTACATTGAGCATCACTGCACAACAAAACTGCATATGTCACTGAACTGGAAAATTTGCCTTAACCAGATATAAAAGAAAACCTTAAAGACTTTCTGGGAGTAATGTAACACCCCTTTCCCATTTCCCATTCTCCTTTTTTCTTTTTCTTTTTTTTTTTCTTTATTTATTTGCCTCAACACGCAGCTTCCTCAACTAAATTAATCAATTACCCCTACACAGAACCACATTGCACTAAGAGCAGCACACAAACAGTAACACGAGTTTCTATCAAAGCATGTAAAAAATCTTCCCAATTTTAACAATGACAAGAATCCAACATCTAACTACAAGCCAGCAATTAAAGCATCAATTAAAAAAGGGTTTCTTGAAAGGATTCACAAGATGAGATCGAAAGATTAACTTCAACTAGCAAAAACAAGCAAAAACCCACGTAACATTTCAATCAACTGCGAAAAGGGTTGCTCTTAATCACATTATTATTAACGGGCGTGATAAAGGCATGACAGTGGTTGTTGAAATTCAACGGCACCGGTTAAAAGGGGAGGAAACAGGGGATTTACCATCAGCAACCGGGAAACATTCCTGAAGAAATTTCTCATTTTGTTGGAAGCACGATCAGAGACAAACCCTGCTGCGTGCGGATTAATCTTCGATCTTCAATAAGCACCCAATTTTTATTTTTATTTTTTTGAATTAATTTTTCCTAAATCTGATCCAGCGTCGTGAATGGGTGAGGGTCTTGAGGATCCTAAAGTCTAATTCGTTATTCGATGCGCGCTGGAAAGTCAATTATCTTTTCATTATTTCTAGTTGTTGTAATAATTACTCCAAATGGGAAATTAAAAGGAAAAAAATAAAAAATAAAACTAGAAATAGTTAATTTCAAAGGACCGTCTCAAGTTTTACGAGCTTGCAAAATCTACCTATAACTATTATAATAATTATCAAATTATCATCTTCAAAATATTACACACACACGCACGCACAAAAAAAAAAAAAACCTTCAAATTTTCACATATCAATCAATATTATTGGTTATGAGGCAGCAAATCCTTTTTACCCTATTAAAGCAGAATACAAGATGTTGATATGGCAACTTCTTATTAAAAATTTTTAGCTCTAAATGCACCATATTACATTAACCATTCTGCCACGTGTCGTCCCAGAAAAAAAAGATTCTTATCCGGAGAAATAAAAACTACTTTACAAAAATAGCTACACAATTTTAACTCCTAACATTTATCATTTATCAATCAAATTAAAATAATATTTAAATTTACCCATAAACTTATCCCCTTTATTACTCCACATTCTTTTGTATGATTTCTTTATCGTTGTACTTTTCAATATTTTTTCTCCTTCGGCAGATGATTATTTTTATTTTTATTTTTGGCTAAAAAAAAGGGGGAAAAAATCGAATGTGTAGCTATTTTATTTTTTCCAAATCAAGAATTCATTTATCTATTAACACAAAATTAAAGTAGATGGGTGCCCGAGCATCTGCTCGGGCCAAGCATCTAGTTTAACTTGTGAACGAAACTTTACCCACGTTTCTAAGTCCATCTAGTTTCTCACAATTTTTTCTCCTTTTTTTTTTGGTAAAAAAAGTACTCCCTCCGTCCCATAATTATTGTCCAGTTTTACTAAAATAAAAGATTTTATTTTTGGTCAAATTTAACTATATTTTACCTTAAACAACCGGATATACCCCTACATAAGTAATTGTTTAACCACTAAGATTTTATGGATAATGTTTTTTACTAAGGACAAATGTGTAACTTGATCCATAAAAAGTCAAATTGGACAATAATTTTAGAACAAAATTTCTTGGGCAAAGTGGACAATAATTATGGGACGGAGGGAGTATATGATTAGATTCATATTGAGTACAAAAACTTATCAATAAGAAGATACATTCACAACTTGGACGTAAGAAATAAGTCGTACCAATTGTGGCAACTATAATAATCAGTTGCAGCAATAACTCTTCAGCAACTTGAATGTATGATAATATTTTAAGGTTATACATGTACTCAACTATTGGAGACACTAGTCAATCTTTAGAGGAACTAAAAACATTTTTGGCTGCAAATATTGGAAATCTGTTCCAAGTCTTCGAACATATTCATCACTATTTATTATTACTCTTAGCTGTTCCATCCCGTGTATTCCACGGAATATGTGAAAGATATTATCAAGTTGATTTTTCAAACATGAAAACAATATCACATACCTTATTAATTTGAGTTAAACCTCAAAACAAGTCATCAACCTTTAATATATTTTCACTCTATCATCAATTAAATTTATTGGTAACACAGGTTACCTTACTAAAGTTTTAATCCATTCAGATTATTCTGTTAATTTTGACCGTTAATTAGTGACGAAAATTCATTTTTCACATGCTTTTGGATCCAGGGGTATTTTTGTTATTTTTTAATTTTTTAATTTTTACAATTCTTCTTCTTATACTTCCTAACTTGTATACACTGGTAGTATAATTCTAAATTTTAAAAATTTATTTTCCATTTGTATTTTAACTTCTAGATTATAAAATTTTTTTAAAAAAATTTAAGAAATGAAGAAGAAAAATTTGAGTTAAAGTAAACATGAAAATTAATAATTTACCATTTTAAACAAAAAGAAAAACTAAAAGAATTAGATAAGACAAGTTGCTTCTTCTGGGTTATATAATTTTTTTCAACTCGATTGAATTATTTAATTATTAATTTTCACGTTTCTTATTTCTTTTTTTTTTTTATAATCTAGAATTTAAGATACAAATGACAAAAAAATTCATTTTTGAAAATTAAACAATTCTTCTTCTTATACTTCCTATACACCGGTTGTATAATTCTAAATTTTAAAATTTATTTTCCTTTTGTATTTTAACTTCTAGATTATAAAATTTTTTAAAAAAAATTTAAGAAATGAAGAAGAAAAATTTGAGTTAAAGTAAACATGAAAATTAATAATTTACCATTTTAAACAAAAAGAAAAACTAAAAGAATTAGCTAAGACAAGTTGTGTCTTCTAGGTTATTTAATTTTTTTCAACTCGATTGAATTATTTAATTATTAATTTTCACGTTTCTTATTCATTTTTTTTATAATTTAGAATTTAAGATACAAATGACAAAAAAATTCATTTTTGAAAATTAATTTGTCATTTATATATTAACTTGTTGATTATTAAAAAAAAAGAAACGTGAAAATTAATAATTAAATAATTCAATCGAGTTGAAAAAAATTAAATAACCTAGAAGAAATAACTTGTCTTAGCTAATTATTTTAATTTTTCTTTTTGTTTAAAATGGTAAATTATTAATTTTCATGTTTACTTTAACTCGAATTTTTCTTCTTCATTTCTTAAATTTTTTTTAAAAATCTTATAAACTAGAAGTTAAAATACAAAAAGAAAATAAATTTTTAAAATTTAGAATTATACTACCAGTATATACAAGTTAGGAAGTATAAGAAGAAGAATTGTAAAAAAAAAATAAAATTAAAAGATTAAAAAATAAAAAAAGAAAAAAATGAAAAAAATACCCCTGAACCCAAAAAAAAGAGAAAAATGGATTTCCGTCACTATTTAACGGCTAAAATTAACAGAATAATCTGAAATAGATTAAAACTTTAGTAAGGTAATTTGTATTACAAATAAATTTAATTGATGACCTAGAGTGAAAATATATTAAAGGTTGATGACTTGTTTTGAGATTCACTTTATTAATTATAGATTGTGAACTAGAATGTAAACGAAATAGGATGATACGAAGAATAAGCATATTATGCAACGGGAAAATCGAGTTAAAGGAAAAAAAAATTGATACTATTATGATGTAAATTTAGTATTCATTTTTAATCCTAATAAAATTAATTTCTATTAAATAATATACGGATTGTGAATCTTTAACAATGAATCTAAGGAATTCACTGATTCCCACGGATGCTCAAGAAATAAATTTCTTTATGAATAGTTTTATTTTCCTCCTTCGAGTCTTATGAACTGATTAAAGTTCGCAGACAAGATGTCCATGAATTACATAATTTAAAATATTATAAAATACAATGTAATAGTTTATGTATCTTTTCTTATTATAATGATATGTGTTTTTTTCTTTTTTTTTTTTTTTTAAAAAAGAGAATACCCATGTTTATGTTTTTGAGTGCTATGGTTTACCCCATGGATGACGCAAATAGTTATGATATAAAGAGTCTTAAAATAGATTGGATGCATACATTTTTATTTACACCATGAATGACCCAAAAAATTATTGACATTTTAAGATCTTTCAATATAATTCACTAATGTTATAGTTTTGAATAATTCAAAGTATTTTTTATTTGGTCAAAAAGAGAGCCTTTTTTTTTTTTTTTAAGTAGAGTTAGTATGGTTACAAAAATTGTATGATAAAATGAAGTAATTGTGACATTTAGCTCATTTAGTTTGAATTTATGAAAAATATTCATTTTATTTGCTCATAATTTTGGCTCATGCAATTTCATTATTTTTAGCATAAACTATTTATAACTATTCCTTAATTTAGATTTTCATTATCTATCTTTACTTCTTGCTTTCACTTGTTCGGTCAATTTCAAGATTTATGCATGAAAATTGCACAATAAATTTTAACAAGGAATGAATCATAATTATCTCTATTTACGACTTACCTTTAGAAATTTATCTATTTAAAGATTAGGGAATACTTGGTTAATTTTCTTATTAATTTTTTATCCTGCATGTATCATGTCACCACTAAAATAAAAATGATAAAAAATTTAATAAGTACACATAATGTAGTATGTTTAAAACACCTCGTAATTTTGGTATTAAGAAAATGGCATCGTCCAACTTCAATCGCTATACGTACATGCAACTTTTGGTACTACCTGTCATCTCTTATTTCGTCGATGGATCTGCCTAGGGAAAAGGTAAAATGATGCATGGATTATTATTATTATTATTATTAAGAGGCACAAAGAATAAATTTAAATGCTTAATTATTACTCCAACAGCCAGCATATATAACACTTATATTATTCACTTTGGGCATAAACATGTCTAAATCCCTTATTCCACAATAACTAAAAGTCTAAAACCCCTCGAATATATATAATATTCGATTCTTTGCTGTCATTTTTTCATTTTTTCATTAACAAATCCTAATACTCAGTACAGATCAAAGCCAGGTTGCTAGATGCATAGTGGTCACTTTATCTTCTTATTTTCCCTATGTGCTATAAGTTCATGTTACTATGTATATGGTTCAAACGTAACTTTTTTTTTAAAAGAAGAATGGGAACGACTAAAAGAAAATAGAAAGGATATCATATAATAACAATACGTTACACGTATAAACAAAGCTGTAACAATATTTGCTGATGTAACTTCGGCTCTAAAGATTGAGCCCATGCATATCACAAAATGACTGTATAAAATGATTGTCTTATTTGTATTTTTCAAACTAAAAAGTAAAAAAAATTAATTTAAACTGAACAAAAATAAAAAAAGTTAAAAAAAATTGTAATTAAGCATCTAAAAGTAGGACATGCAATTATAGATATCCACGAGAAGTGTCATTAACAAGCCTGTTCCAAATCCCAAACTAATTAAATCTTGACAAAATGTGGTTCCACCCTCTTAAAAAATATACTTAAAAACAACTTTGTGGTAAGAAAATTAACCATGCATATATGTCCACATCTGGTAGACATATGGTAGTAGTTGATAATGGATAAAATTTCTAACATAGTGTATCCCATACATACGTGAACATTAGTTAATCCGTACCTTGCTATGTTCATTGCATGAAACCGTGCAAATTTTACCTACCACTATGTATACATTCATTCTCTCAGCTTACATTTATTCTTTTTTTTTTTTTTCCAGATGAAATCTTATAATGTATCGTATTATTTTTAAGTTAATAGACAATATAATTATTTTGAAATTAAAAAAAAATATTATGTATGTATTTGTATCTTCTGCATCTAGACAAACGGTCGATTTTTTTTTTTTTTTTTTTTTGCTAGGTGTACAAATTGCCATGCAGGTTGGCAGCAACTGAATTCGTGTCTTGCCATATTTTCGACACATGATGATCATCAACTCAATCGATCATTAAAAATAAGGTTAATCTTTTTCAAAGGGAATTAATTAAATTAATATCATGAATCGAAAGAGTCAAATACTTTCTGGTACAACATGGGTATCGGAATCCTGAAACTATACACATGAAATCGAAGGAGCAACATTTGGTACTGTTACCTTGTACGAGACTTTAGATACGTGAGATATGAATATAGGTGAAGGTTGGTGATTGAAAGCTCCTTTCCACCTACTTAAATTTCCTTTCCTGAACAATCTTTGGAATTTAGAACAACTTTTTTTTCCCTTACGTATTACGCACGACTGTATTGCATGTCATGAATTTGTGCTTGACATGTGATAATTTTTTATTTTTTATTTTTATTTTTAAGAAGACACCATACAAATACTACTAGTTATGAGAGGATTGGATTTATATATAAAAGTTAAATCAACTAGCAACGTTATTTGGCCGAATAAAATGAGATATTATGTACAGATACTCAACAAGCGCGTCATTGTCAAACTGAGGAATTCATATTCTGACCGCATAGACCTCTTTTGAAAGGAAAAAAAATATATGTTTCGATAAGTACTTTTAGTCATTGATGCATGTTTGTCCATATATCGACCTTGATCATAGTAATAATTTTGGATGAATTCATGTAATTTCATTATTTAATCTGTCCCAAAATTTTCTTCCAATTCGGACTTTCATTTTCAGTTTAATTATACTAAAACTGAAAATTCAAAAGTAGACAACAATTTCAGTTCCAGGATGGAAGCAGTACTTGAAATCTTATTACACCAAGTGTTTGTTGCGAAAGGAGAGGTACGTGCAACATGAGATTTTTTAGTTTTTGTATTCTATGATAGACTATAGTAGTATTACTCTTGTGTTAAGGACACTTATATATAGTCCTAATTTTCATGACATCGGATTTATATAGTATTGGTGCCGGAATGACTTAAGAAAATGAAGCATTCGCTTATTTTCTTTTTCTTTTTTTTTTAGTGTATGTTTTTATATTTTTTTCTTAACGGCATAATTGGGTAGCCCTAGACACAAATGGACAACTTGTATGCAAGTAGGGGATAATATATACTCTCTCTGTCTTAAAATTATTGTCGAATTTAAAATTTCACTTTTAGTACGATTTGAACTACAAATGAACACTGAAACTGGACAATAATTATTAGACGGAGGGTGTATTTTCTAATAAACTCCTACGTACATTATTATATGTATATATATTCAAAAATTATACGTGGATGCCGGACCGCCGGTGCTACAAGAAAAGCAATTAAAAGCCGGCTACCCACCAAATCGTAAAAAAGATTTAAATGTGGCTTTTTTTTTTTTGGTTACCTTTTTCTAGATCTTCCGACTGCAATTTGTTGACGTAACTTTTGATCGCCGGAATAATGAATCACAGAGATAGAAGAAGGGAAGAAGTATTTGTTGATTTGTTCATGCCCATGACATCAAATAATGTCATCATTGTCTTTCTAATCAGATTCATAAGTACTTCAATTAAAGTTTTCAACTTTTTGAACTTTACGTAGGGAAAAAGAAGACCAAATTCCTCCGAATCCAACATTAATTAATATCCTAGAAACCACACATCATACAATATGGCTGCAAAAGTGAGTATGTTCAGCATAAAATGAGTGCAATAATTCAACAAAGTTTATACTTTTGCAGGCATCTTTTAATAAGAATGGCCACTTTTATTTATTTATTTGTTTTTTATAGACTTTCAAAAAAAAAAAAAAAAGATGCATGCTTGTGAGTTGTGATCATCCGCTAACACTATATTTTAATTGTCCACTACTAATTCTTTTGTGTTACTTTACAAAGTTTGAAGTGTTGCATTACAAAACGAGCACTAACAAAATATCAAGAGTAATTTTAAGAAAATAAAATTAAAAGTGGACGTATGAAAATGGGGGTCGGCATGAATTGTTAAGGAATAATAAACTTAGAAAAAAAGTAAAGCACCAAAAGAACAAAAAAGAATTTTGAAAAGAATAATGAATATAAAGCAACAGAAAATACATAAGAACTACATTAACGTGGTGGTTAATTTTTCATTTTTTATTTTTGAATAAAAGATAGAACTTCATTACGGTTGCTGGAAATCACCCAGCTCTGATTGATACAAACTGTCCAATAATAACTTACAGAAGAAACCACTCACTAAACTAGTCACTGAACCAATAATTAAATTATTACAATTAGAAGTACAAAATAAACTTTTCACTACCCAGTTAAAGGTGGTAGTTAAATTAATTAAACTTAATTGGCAAAAATATTTCAAAGTTACTGTACTACTTTATCGTCTTGAACATGAAGGCATAATTTTGCATTGAACTTTAAGGTGAGCACGGCGCCTAACCATTTCACTTTTACGTACTTAATAAACAATTAAAGCATTAAATTCCCAGCTTATTTAATCCAAGTTACTACAGTCCAACACTGGCAGGCAAATTACGTATGAAGAATGTCAATGAAATTGTTTATTTATGTATACTCCATTCGTATTGTCACGTTAATATAGAACACTTCAAAAATGAGATCCATTCAAAGCCTAACATTGCAAACTATTTTTTGTTTATAGCTTTATATATCAACGGAATATGTTAATTTGGTCTTTCACTCATTGTTTCTTACTATACAAAAAAATAAAACAAAAGTATCAAATTAAACAATTGAGAGTGTTTGTACTTGTTCTGAGCGGCAAAGAGTCGTTGTAGTTCATTTTTGCGATTTGTAAATTTAAACTCGTGATCTTTAACTGAAATCCTGAATGTTCTTCATAACGTAGGAGTTTTAAGGTTAGTTTAGGATCAACTTCACCGATTCCGAGCAAGAACTTTTAGTTGATCAACTTCGCAAAATCTCAATTGGTACGTGTTGATCTTGAGTAATAATCAAGTTAAACTAAAGTCAAATTACATTCTTCCAAACATCAATACAAAGTATGTGAAAAAACCAAATTAATCATTGAAGTCAAATTCGTGTACGATTCATAATACACAATAGCTAGCTAGCCACCCCCACGTAAGTCCTCTATACTTCCAAAATTGGTAGCATTACCCATCACCAAAAATTCAACTCCAATTTTTTAAAAACATTTTGGACATATATAATTATTTAAATGCAAAGCAATCTTCTTCAATCTTGTTGTATATATACAAAATATAGCCATCTTAATTTCATTGCCTTTCATTGCTTTATCCAAGCCGCTGGAGTCTCTTCTCTGACTCTAGAGTCTAGTCCAACCACTAAAGCTAAATCATATATCCACTTCCTTTTTTTTTTTTTTTTTTTTGGTTGTTGTTGGAAAGAATTTTATAAAAAGAGATTTTTGAAGTAGTGGTTTTAACATCATTTGTGCATTATGGCTGATGATCATCAAATGGATGGAACAGAGGAGATAGAGCTATCTCATCCTAATTCTAACCATCATCAGAGGAGCAGTTCTGCTGCTGCTTCTGCTTTCAGCAGTGAGGAAAATGATGAAGGATTTGATGGAAGGTTTGCTTCTGAATGGGCTGTTATTGAGAGATTGCCAACTTTTCAGAGGATTAGGGCATCTCTGTTTGGTGATATTATTGCTGCTAATGGAAATGGAAATGGAAATGGAGGAATTAAAAAGGGTTGTGATAATTATGATGGTAATAAAAGGGTTGTTGATGTTTCAAAGCTTGGTGCATCTGAAAAGCATCTGTTCATTGAGAAACTCATTAGGCATATCCAGAATGACAACCTTAAGTTGTTGCAGAAGATCAGGAAAAGAATTGATAAGTATGTCCTCTCTGTTTTTCAGCTTCCTCTGTTTCGTTCTTTTCTTTCTTTTGCATGGAGCATGTTTTTTTTCCTGCAAATTTGATAAATCCAAAAAAAAAAAAAAAAAAACCCATAAGAGTTTTTGTGGATGAAATAGTTACAAAAAAACCAATCTTTTATTTTTTGTTTTTTTTTTTTCCCTTTGTTTTGGCAAAAGGGTTGGTGTCAAATTGCCTGCAGTTGAAGTAAGATATCACGATCTTCGTATTGAAGCAGAATGTGAAGTTGTTGATGGGAAGCCTCTGCCTACTCTTTGGAATAGTTTCAAAAGCAATCTCTTGGTCAGTATATCTATTATTCAACTCTATTTGATACGCAAAATTCAGACAATAAAATTATCTATTTAAACAAAGTTTCATTTCAACGTTTAACCCAAATATCATACAGTTACTAGTATCTATTCTCTTCGTCCCGCGATTATTTTTCAGTTTGGATTTTCATTTCAAAATACAGTTTGTACTAAATGTGAAACTTTAAACTGAACAATAATTTTTGGGACGGAAAGAATACTTATAAATCACTTTTTTTTTACCTCCCTTTTTCTTTTTGGGTTTCAACAGGACCTTACTAGGCTAGTAGGTTTAAAGCCACAAACATCCAAGATCAGCATCATTGATGGTGTTAATGGTGTAATTAAACCAGGAAGGTAATAATAATATTATTATTATTATATATCTCTAGTGTAATCTTGAAGGTTAGGTGGCCCGTCCTGGACCGCTAAATAAATATTAGTATTTTTGTATGGTTTTCCCTCCATGCTTCTATTAATTACGGTATGGGCATACTATATACAGTTTTGTCGTTCATTCATTTTATGGCGGTTAGCATAATAATTGATTGAAACCGATATTTTGCACAAACCACTAGATTTGGTCATTTTCATTTTCAGTCCTCAGACGGCAACAAACCTCAAATGTGGAAGGATACATTTCCTAATTGGCCACTACTATGATATTGTTAGAATCAGCTAAATCCGACTGTGGTTGGTAACTAGCATATTCAAAAAGAATGAAAAGTTTCAATAAAAAGATTTTTTTGGTTTTTTTTTTTGGACGGAGAGAATATACAATTACTGATGAAGGAGGAAGAACTGTTCGAAACTAAACTTTCTTTTTTTGTTGAATTGTTAATATGGTCTTCCTTAATCTTATGAATACCAAATATAATTTTTCGAAAACTTTTGTTTTCATAATACTAGGATGTATCCAGATCGAAGGAGCATAGTAGGAATTGGAATAGTAAATGAAATAGTCTCACTGTCTCAACGAGAATAGTATCAGTGGATTTTTTACTCAACAAAATAAATTCTTGTTAAACACTCACTTTGTATGTGGTACTAAAAATAGTATGACCGACTGGATAATCATTTTGGGACGAAAATACTCGAATTTTTTTTTTAAAACGTTGAGAGAATGATAGAACCAAGTCTAGTGATCCGTAACTGAAAATTGTATTCTGTACAGAACATAGAGAATCCTTTGAACACAATTTTGAACTTCTTTGTAAAACTCATCCAACAAAGGCTAGATTGTTGATGCAGGCTGACTCTACTACTTGGTCCTCCAGGCTGCGGGAAGACCTCATTTTTGAAGGCTCTCTCAGGAAACCTTGGAAATCCTCTCAAGGTATAGTCTAAAACTATAATAAGATTTCATCATATTTCTAGGACAAAAAGAATGACTATCTTGTTTGGATATGATTCTAAGTAGTATAACTAAATGTTGTTTATTGCATACAACGAAGAACAGGTCAATGGGGAGATTTATTACAATGGATACAAGCTATCAGAGTTTGTACCTCAAAAAACTTGTGCTTATATCAGCCAGTATGACTTGCATATCCCTGAGATGACAGTTCGAGAAACACTCGATTTTTCGGCTTGCTGTCAGGGCATTGGTAGAAGAGAAGGTATATGCCTGTTTTGCATAGAAGAAAAATCTTTGATTTATTAAACATGTTCATAGAATGTTGTTTGTTGATATTGCGATTTCTGTCTCGGCTTTCTCGTGAAGAAATTATGGTGGAGCTCAGCCACAAGGAGAGAGAGGCTAGAGTTGTTCCTGATCCTGATGTAGATACTTACATGAAGGTAAATAAGTAGTACCATTGGTCCTTTACTGTGTAACACGAAGAATAGCTCAAAGGACTGTTTTTCGATATTAAAATGTCACATGTTTCAGTAGAGATGACATATTTGAATGTACACTTAGTTGTTGCTGTTGAAATTCAGAGAAGACATTTATCACATTGTGTTTTTGTTCTTGGATATCTGCTGACTTTTTTACTTGTTTATCCAGGCGATTTCTGTTGAGGGAAAAAGAACCACACTTCAAACAGACTACATTCTGAAAGTATGTTCTCTTTTAAAAGTGCTTTCTTAATGCCCTAATCTTCATAGTTTTGATTACAAATGATATATTGGTAGGTGGATTTGTTTTCCAGATACTTGGACTAGATATTTGTGCTGATACAATCGTCGGGGATGCGCTCAGAAGAGGTATCTCTGGTGGTGAAAAGAAAAGGTTGACAACAGGTAATGAATGTTACTATTTGTTTCTTACATTAGAAAGTTATTACAACAGCAAGAACTTTAACAATGATGAAATTTAACTAAAGAAACCTGTGGAAGAGCCATTGAAGATTTCCAACACATTGTCTTACTGCAGGGGAGATGATAGTTGGCCCGACACACACGTTGTTTATGGATGAGATATCGAATGGCTTGGACAGTTCGACAACACATCAAATTATAGCCTGCCTTCAACATCTGGCTCACATTGCCGGTGCTACCATCCTGGTTTCACTACTACAGCCTGCTCCCGAGACATTTGATCTCTTTGATGATATCATTTTGATGGCTAAAGGAAAACTCATATATCATGGACCTCGAAGCAGTGTCTTGGAATTCTTTGAAAGTTGCGGGTTTAGATGTCCTGAAAGAAAAGGAGTGGCAGATTTCCTTCAGGAAGTAAGCACATCTGTCTCACATTGGTTTTTTATTGTCTGTCAAGTTTCTTTAGCAGCTAAGTAATGGTTTCTTTTGTTAGGTTATCTCTGAAAAAGATCAAGCACAATATTGGAATGGAGGGGAAGGGACTTACAGTTACATTAGTGTTGATACATTTTCGAGAAAATTTGAAGAATCCGATTTGGGGAAAGCGCTGAATGCACATATTTCTGTTCCATTTGAAAAGTCTGAGGACAGTAAACGCGCAATCAGCTTCAGTTCATATTCCCTTCCTAAATGGACACTCTTTAAGGCTTGCATATCAAGGGAATTGCTTCTCATGAAGAGGAACTCTTTTGTTTACCTTCATAAAACAATTCAGGTTAGTTAATGAAAAGGGTTGCTGGCATTTCAGTCATTGATGGTTCATATCACATTTTGTTCTCATTAGATTACCTGTGGCTGCAGCTGTTCATCATTGCATCGATGACAATGACTGTATTCCTGAGGAGGAGGACAGATTTGAATCTCATCCAAGCGAATCACTACATGGGTGCCTTGTTTTTTGCTCTGATAAATCTTGTCATTGATGGATTGCCAGAGCTGTCAATGACTGTTGGGAGGCTGCCTGTATTCTACAAACAGAGAGATTTGTTCTTCTATCCTGCTTGGGCATATACAATTCCATCTGCTGTTCTAAAGATTCCGCTTTCAATGCTGGAATCCGCAGTTTGGACATCCATCACTTACTATGGGATTGGATATAGCCCTGATTTGGGAAGGTAATGACTCTTCGAAGAGCCATCCTTCAGTTGCCTGTGGAATCCATAAGAACTCATTTCTAAACTTAGTGGAAGTGCTTTTTCAATTTATCCAGGTTCTTCAGGCACATGATTCTTTTGTTTGCCCTCCACTTCTCATCAATATCCATGTTCCGTTTCTTGGCTTCTGTCTGTCGGACAGTGGTAGCTACTACATTTGCTGGTAGCTTATCATTGTTGTTGCTATCTTTATTTAGTGGGTTCTTGATCCCAAGATGTAAGCTTTATCAAATCCCTTGCACTTTTTTTTATATTCATGATTGAAAAACTTTTGAACAAGTGAAATGAAATTTTTAAGAGGTTTTAACATTTATTTTGCAGCCTCCATGCCAATTTGGTTGAAATGGGGGTTTTGGGTTTCTCCAATGACATATGGTGAGATTGGATTAGCTTTGAATGAGTTTCTCGCCGGCCGATGGCAAAAGGTAAGGATACCAAGGATTTCTGGATGTATAATAAGCTCCATAATCTTCCATTTTCTGTCTCCAGTTTCTTTCTCATTGATTGGTTTCTTTATCATCTTTTACCTGCAGATGCTTCCATCAAATACTACTACAGTCGGACTAGAAACTCTCAATGCTCGTGGCCTTAACTTTGACAAAGACTATTTCTGGATTTCAGTTGGTGCCCTATTTGGATTTACATTGATTTTCAATGTTGGGTTTACCTTGGCATTGTCTTTCTTAAATCGTAAGTCTGTCTTCTAACAAAGCCAAGATTGAAATGGTAATTGGTATACGAACTAACATCTTATCACATCTGTGCAACCAGCTGTTGGTTCTCGTGCCATTATTTCGAGGGAGAAACTCTCTGAAACGCAAAGAAGTAAAAGATCTTCTAACATCATATCACATGCTGATGAAATGCCAGTTAGCTCTTCAGCTGATAAAACTGGAGATTGCCACAAAGGTTACTTTAGCTTCTTCAATGTTCCTGCATTTCAAGTTTGGTTGCAAATTCATCCATCTCTTTAAGTGAAAAGGTTTGCTTAAACTGTTTTTCAGGGAAAGTAATCTTACCCTTTGAACCCCTCACTGTGGTATTTAAAGATTTGCAGTACTATGTTGGAGCCCCTCCGGTACTCATTAGTCATTATCAATCTCATTGTTTCGTGTAAAAACTTGAGCTTTCATGATGATCGTTTGAGCTAAAGCGCTTGTTATCCGTGTTTGATTGTTAGGGAATGAAGGAGAATGGCTTCAACAAAAAAAGGCTTCAGCTTCTTCGTGACATTACTGGTGCGCTTAAACCTGGAGTTCTCACAGCGCTTATGGGCGTCAGTGGTGCTGGAAAAACTACTCTTCTTGATGTACTTGCTGGTAGAAAGACCAGTGGCATCATAGAAGGAGAAATTAAAATTGAAGGGTATCCGAAAGTCCAGAAGACATTTGCCCGGGTTTCAGGATACTGTGAGCAAAATGACATACACTCCCCTAACATAACTATTGAAGAATCACTCATTTTTTCTGCTTGGCTAAGGCTCGATCCTCAAATTGATGCAAAAACTAAATCTGTACGACACTCGCTCCTTCAAAATGTTGTATCTCGTGTCTGTTGTGTGCTTTTCACTAACATCTTTATGTCAATGCCTAGGATTTTGTGAAACAAGTACTGGAGACCATTGAACTTGATAGTGCGAAAGACCACCTGGTGGGCATCCCTGGTGACAGTGGTTTGTCAACTGAGCAACGCAAGCGGCTTACGATCGCAGTGGAGCTTGTTGCTAATCCTTCAATTATGTTCTTAGATGAACCTACCACTGGACTGGATGCAAGAGCAGCTGCAATTGTCATGCGAGCGGTAAAGAATGTGGCTGATACTGGAAGAACAATAGTTTGCACCATCCACCAACCAAGTATTGGCATTTTCGAAAAGTTTGATGAGGTCAGAAATTCGAAAGAAGCACTTTACATTCACCGTGATGCTTGATTATTAGTGATATACATGCTGCATTGATGTTTTTGAATCTCCTTAATTGGTTTGTAGGCATAAATTTCTAATGCATTGTTGTTGTTGTTTTTTTGTTTTTTTGTTTTTTTTTTCCCTCTTTTTTAATAAAAATGTCTATCTTTCAGTTGATTCTTCTGAAACCTGGTGGAAGAATGATGTACTATGGGCCACTGGGAGAAAATTCCTGCAAAGTGATTGAATACTTTGAGGTCAGTTTCTGAACTCCATTGCTGTCCATTGAGTCTTAAAATCAACAAGCAGAAATGCCTAGTTACTGATCTTTTTTTTTTTTTTGTTGATCCCTTTAACAGGCAATCCCAGGTGTTCCAAAAATCAAGAACAATTATAACCCAGCTACATGGATGTTAGAAGTCACTTCAACATCCTCAGAAGCTGAACTCGGCGTAGACTTCGCTGATGTATACAGTCGTTCATCATTGCGCTCGTAAGTCTCGCAAACAAAATCCCTGAAACTAATTTTTGCCTTCAATCTTTTAACTCATGTAGTTTGTGATTGTATATTTGACATTGATTCCAGAAATAATGAAGAACTGGTAGCAGACTTTTGCAAACCATCCCCTGGTTCTAAAGCATTGGAGTTCCCAACCAGCTATTCGCAAACCAATTGGGAACAATTCAAAGCATGCCTATGGAAACATTATTGGTCTTACTGGAGAAGTCCACCCTACAACCTGATGCGCTTCTGGTACATGCTCATTGTATCACTGATTTTCGGGTTCCTGTATTGGGACCAAGGGAAAAAACTGTAAGTATATATACTTCATATCTTCCAAATGCGCATAAATAAATGCTATTCTGATTCAGGAGGAATAAGTTGCTCATATTCTTCCATTTTTCTGTTCCCCTTATTGTACAGGGATAATCAGCAGAGTGTATTCAGCGTATTCGGATCAATGTACATGGCAGTCTTCTTCTGCGGCGTAAACAATTTGACATCAGTGTTTCCATACATCAACACGGAGAGATCAGTTTTCTACCGCGAAAGATTTGCAGGAATGTATACTTCTTGGGCTTATGCAGTAGCTCAGGTCATCATTGAGATACCTTACATCTTCGTCCAAGCACTTGAATTCACAATCATCACGTACCCGATGATCGGGTACTATCCCTCGGCTTACAAGATCTTTTGGTACATCTTCTCCATGTTCTGCACACTGTTGTACTTCAACTACCTAGGCATGATGATAGTCGCATTGTCGCCAAGCTTCTTCGTGGTCGCGAACCTGCAATCCGCGCTCCTCATCGTCTTCAATCTCTTCGCCGGGTACTTGATCCCGCAACCACAATTCCCAAAATGGTGGAGTTGGTTGTATTACATAACCCCAACAGCATGGACACTGAATGGTATGTTAACATCACAATATGGAGACATCAACCAAGAAATTGAGGTGTTTGGAGTCAGAAAAACTGTTGCAGTTTTCCTGAGAGATTACTTTGGATATCATCACAATCAGTTGCCACTTGTAGCTTTCATGATCATCTTATTCCCAATCATTTTTGCTTATGTATTTGCTTTTTGCATTGGGAAGTTGAACTACCAAAAGAGATAAAATGCTGTGATGTACTATCCATCCGTCAGTACAATAAAAAATTACGACAATTATTTTGGGACGAAAAGATTATATTAGTGTAGTAATTAAACTCCATATACATTTTTGATTATCTGACTTAGGTTAAACTCCATATCAAAATGCCATCGGCCAGCGCCACCACTACACCACCAACCCGGTGGCTAATTCCGTCGGAAATATATCTGAATTTGACCGGAGAGGTCATAATCAGAGCTGGCAAGAACTATTACTATCAGGATTCCAATTCCACAATCCTTATCACGGAATTCATCGTAAAATAAATATTCCACTGCCGTAGCTGAAAAAAACTAAAAAAAAAAAAAATGCTCAGATTGGAATTTCAAGGAATCTATTGTTCCGACGTCGACGAGTTCAACACTAATCTGTGTGTCCATTACGCATTTGGACTTAGTGATCGGCAGACGGCAATGATCTACTACAAAAATCGGTTCAGAATTCGGCAAGGTGCCGAAACTATTATTCCCATGGTTTTTGTATATAAAACAAGGGAGGGAGGTTTTCAAGGTGTCGAAAATGGCGGATTTACAGAGCACTGTGCTGGATGAGGAAAGGGCAGAGCTGTGGGCTACTATTGAGAGGCTGCCTACAATGGAGCGGTTGAGATGTTCTCTGTTTGATGAAATGACTGAGAAGAATGAAGGTGGTGATAATACTCAAAGAAAAAAGGTGGTTGATGTCACTAAGCTCGGCCCGGTGGAAAAGCATCTGTTCATTGAGAAGCTCATCAAACACGTCGAGCACGACAACCTCGCAATGTTGTACAAAATCAAGAAGAGAATGGACAAGTATGATTTTCTATCATGGATTTGGAAGTCTTTTTAAGTTTTAACTTAAGGAAGAAATGCAGAATGATAATATTTGTGTTTACTGTTGAATCATTTTGATTACTGCAGAGTTGGTGTAGCATGGCCTACTGTAGAAATAAGATACAAGAATCTCCATGTAGAAGCAGAATGTGAAGTTGTTTCCGGAAAGCCCCTCCCGACGCTTTGGAATTATTTAAGAAGCATGATTTTGGTAAGCATCTTCAATCTATTGAACTCAGAAAAGGGCCTCCACGTCATGTTATTATTTACTGATCTTTTGTTTTATAATTAATATTGAAGTTTACATTTCTTCGTAAAGGAAAGATTCTTGAGTAACTTTACCTTTCAGGACCTTCCGAGGATTGCTGGTATAAGTTCACAATTATCCAAGATCTGTATACTTGCTGATGTTAGTGGCATTGTCAAGCCTGGAAGGTACATTGCTCGTTCAGCTGACTGAACTGCTAGCTGCCGTTCATTTAATAGTTGCCTATTAATATTCTGTAGAAGTTTGAGAAGCCTTTTTCAGCTTGCTTGTTTGCTAAACTTACCTTGTATTTGTTACTGTTTACCAATCTGCACTTTAAATGCTGAGTTATACTGGTTCTGGTTGGACCTCTTGGATTATATGACTCCCTTATAGTTGAACTTGTGCTTAGTCTTAGCTATGAGGATATATGTGACAAGTTGAAGATTGGATTTGACTATATGATGCTTACGTAATTTTGGCTGTTTACGCATGAAGTACTACCTGATTCAGTCACCAAAACTGTTTCAAGACCATGCATCATACCTTGACAGATGACTTATTCCCGAAACTGTTCCTTGCTAATTGCAGAATGACTCTCATATTAGGTCCTCCAGGTTGTGGAAAGACTTCTTTACTTAAAGCTCTTTCAGGAAATCTTGACAAATCTCTCCAGGTCTTTCTCTTCCTCTGTGCTATTCCGTGTGTGATCATTAGTATGAATAATCTCTTCTGAAATGATTCATCACCTAGTTTAGTATTTATGAAGTATATAAGAAATTACAGTAGAAGTTTAGGGAGCAATCATCTGGAATCTTTTCATTGATAGTAATTGAATTTCTTAACTACATAGAAGCAATGTTCTTGATTTGGTTGACTATTTTTTCGTCCAATAGGTTTCTGGAGAAATATCCTACAACAGATTCAAACTAAACGAATTTGTACCCCAGAAAACTTCTGCTTATATTAGCCAATATGATATGCATGTTCCAGAAATGACTGTGAGAGAAACCCTTGATTTTTCATCCCGTTGCCAGGGTGTTGGGAGCAGAGCAGGTATCGTGCTTTCTGGATGATTATTTTTTCAATTCTTTTTGGTTTAACATTCTGTATTGATATTTCAGAACCTCAAACACTTGCCCCCTTTTTTTCAAGCTATAATGAATGAAGTAATTCGGAAGGAGAAAGAGGGAGGATTAATTCCGGATCCAGATATTGATACATACATGAAGGTATATTTGGTAAAATGTTGCATCTAATCTCATTTTATTTCGGTTGTCAATTCATGATGGCTATATCTGGTAATTAAAATACAAATCTTCTGCTTATCATATAAATTTTTAAGTAAGGATTTGATGCTTCATGGTTGAACAGTGTGATATGCTTCAACTAATTTTCTTACTTCCTGTTTTGCAACAGGGAATCTCTGTTGAAGGCCAAAAGTCTACTCTCCAAACAGAGTACATTCTAAAAGTATCTTTAGCTCTTGAATTATTTGATTTTCAGTGGATGGTTAAACAGTGCGATTTTCAGAGTACATATACTTTCCGACTTCAATTCTCATGCAGTGTTATACCTTTTTCAGATACTTGGACTCGATATCTGTGACAATACCATTGTTGGAGATGCCATGAGGAGAGGTATCTCGGGAGGTGAAAAGAAGAGATTGACAACAGGTAATTGGAAGGCAAAGTTTGCTGCGTGCACTATATAGTCTCCATTACATTCAGCTCATCTTAAACTTTTTAATAGCAGCAACTCTCGACATAATGCTTCGGAAAATGAGCTGAGATTCGAACAAATAGTGTTTACGATTTTCATTGGCATGACACAGGAGAGATGATTGTTGGGCCTACAAGAGCATTACTTATGGATGAAATATCTAACGGATTGGATAGTTCGACAACATTTCAGATTGTTTCTTGCCTTCAGCAATTTGCACATCTCACAGATGCTACTGTACTAGTATCCCTTCTTCAACCTGCACCAGAAACATTTGATTTGTTTGATGATATCATCTTAATGTCTGAGGGAAAAATTGTCTATCATGGACCAAGAGAAAGTATTTTGACATTTTTTGAGAATTGTGGATTTAAGTGCCCTGAAAGAAAAGGAGTTGCAGATTTCCTTCAAGAGGTTAAATAACTTTGCTTCATTCTAGATTTGGTTTCATTATATCTTGTTACTAATTAATCTCACTTAACCCGTTAACGTCTTGCAGGCTATCTCGAAAAAGGATCAGGAACAATACTGGTGTCGAAGTCAAGAAAGTTACACTTACCACTCTGTTGATGCATTATCAATGAAATTCAAGGAATCTGTGTGTGGTAAAAGTCTTGAAGAAGAGCTTTCAGAATCCTTTTTGACATCTGAGCGGCAGAAAGAAGCTATTACCTTTAGTACTTTCATGATTCCTAAATGGGAACTCTTCAAAGCTTGCTTGTGGAGAGAGCTTATTCTCATGAAAAGAAATTCTTTCGTCTATGTATTTAAATCACTGCAGGTGTGTTTCCATTTTTATCATTGTCTTATTCTGATAAAGTTTTGTATGTCTTTGTGCACGCCAGCACTTTGAGTGTAAAATCATCTTTCTGAGTAACCTGGTAAACCAATGAATCATGTAGCATTCTGTTGAATGTAATCTTCTAATTGGCTTATTGGAGAAAAAAAAATTAATAGTGGCTTCTAGGATAAGATGAGAGATTTCTTTGGTAGAACAAATTGCTTTTGCATGAGTGTGCATTGCTTTTGTCCATTTTGCATCTTGCTCACAATACCTGATAATTTTTCTGCGTCTTTCCAGCTTTTTGTAATTGCTTCAGTTACTATGACTGTATTTCTTCGCACCAGAATGGATGTTGATCTTCTTCATTCAAACTATTACTTGGGAGCTTTGTTTTTGGCTCTCACCATGATTCTATTCAATGGGACTCCGGAGCTGCCAATGACTGTTGTACGACTAGGTATCTTCTACAAGCAAAGAGACGTATACTTATACCCTGCTTGGGCTTATGCAATTCCATCAGCTATTCTAAAGATTCCTATATCTCTTTTGGAGTCTGTAGTCTGGACATCACTGACTTACTATGTCATTGGATACAGTCCCGAGATTGAAAGGTGGGCTAGGGAACTGTTAGGTTTTTGCATTGCATGAGTAGTAACTTTACATAGGTGGAAATTACATAGAACTTGAACTGCATCACATCTGATGAAGTACCAAATTGCAGGTTCTTTCGCCAGTTGATCTTGTTATTTCTGGTTCACTTCACATCAATATCCATGTTTCGTTTTATTGCTTCTGTCTGTCGGACAGTGATTCTGTCTGCATCAGTTGCCAGCTTTTCGATATGCTTTCTTCTACTATTTGGCGGCTTCTTGATTGACAGACGTAAGTTTCATTCGAAATGGTTTTCAGATATTTCTTATCACCATACACAGTTTTAAAATCTGAAGAAGCCTCTGAGCTTTTGGAGTGAATTTCTTGCTTCATCTTGCAGCCTCCATGCCAACGTGGTTAAAGTGGGGATTTTGGGTTTGCCCTTTAGCATATGGTGAGATAGGCCTAGCTTTGAATGAATTTCTTGCTCCAAGATGGCAAAAGGTAAGCCCTCCCTTCATCTCCTTTAACAACTTAATAGTATGAAACAGCTTTGCAGTGTAGTTTCATTTTCTTATCTTACTACACTTCATTCTTTGTAGATGCTTCCTTCAAACACCTCCATAGGTAGACAAACTCTTGAAAGCCGGGGGTTGAATTTTGATGGGCACTTCTTTTGGATTTCAGTTGGTGCTTTGTTTGGGTTTATATTATTGTTCAATATCGGATTTATTTTGGCTTTAAGCTTCTTGAATGGTAAGTTCATCTTCGTTTTCAGCTCAGGTAGAACATAGAATGTATATCATATGATACTGACTACTCAAGATATGTGCAGCCCCACGCTCTCGTGTTATTATTTCAAGAGAAAAGCTCTCTCAATTGAAAGGAGACACTAATCCAGTTAGGTTGAACTCTCAGGATAGGGTGAATTACGATCTTCCTAGTACTGGTCATATAGGATCTTGTAATGGTGAGGTTTTCTCTCATTCTTTTGTAACCTGTTCCATACAATCTCTACGACAGTACCTAATCATTCTTTTAAATGCTAATTCAGATTCATCACTTATACGTATTTTCAATTTTCCAGGAAAAATGACTTTGCCTTTCGAACCATTTTCTGTAGTTTTTCAGGATCTGCAGTACTACATCAATGCTCCAATGGTAACTTTCACAGTTGCCTATTTTGATTTTCTTTTCCCTTGATTAGAGGCTAAACAATTGGAAATCCATGAGAAATTATCTGTCCTAATGAGTAGTTGAAGACTTGAATTTCCAGTTATCATAGAAAAGCTAAGTAAAGAAAGGAAACTTGATAACAAACTATATGAAAGATATCAAACAAATTTATTCTTTTAGATGTTACCTGAGGTGCTTCCTCAAAGTTGAGTCCAGTTAGTATATAAGTCGTTTTGAGTGAACCATGGTTGGAAGCAATACTTATAATGCATTCCAGATAAGATGACATAAAAGACAAGCTGTGGATTGGTTGTTTTAAGATGCACTCAAGCCAGGCTAACTTCGTTTATTTAATCTTTCTATCATTATAGGCGACAAAGGAGCAAGGTTTATCCAAGAAAAAGATTCAAATCCTTAGTGATATAACAGGTGCATTTAGACCTGGTGTTCTTGCTGCAGTAATGGGCGTTAGTGGAGCAGGAAAGACTACGCTTCTCGACGTACTTGCAGGAAGGAAAACAAGTGGCATCACAGAAGGAAACATTTGGATTGGTGGATTTCCTAAAGTTCAAAAAACATTTGCTCGAGTTTTAGGTTACTGTGAGCAAACAGACATACACTCTCCACAAATTACAGTTGAAGAATCAATTATATTTTCTTCTTGGCTACGCCTTCACCCTCAAATTGACTCAAGAACTAGAGCGGTATGCTATTGTACTCGAAGCAGCTACATAATCTTAAGCTTGAGTCCTTGGTAAAACTTTATACTATAAATTTATGCCATCCTCTTCTTTAGGAATTTGTGAAAGAGGTTTTAGAAACTATCGAGCTGGATGGAATAAAAGATTCTCTTGTGGGCATTCAAGGCATTAGTGGTTTGTCTACCGAGCAAAGAAAGAGACTAACAATTGCTGTTGAGCTGGTTGCTAACCCTTCTATCTTGTTCATGGATGAGCCAACAACTGGATTGGATGCAAAAGCAGCTGCAATTGTCATGCGGGCTGTGAAGAATATCTCTGATACAGGAAGAACTGTTGTTTGTTCCATTCACCAGCCAAGTATTGACATATTCGAAGCATTTGATGAGGTAGGTAACCAGAAATAATGAGCAAAGATCACACTGTGATGATTAGATGTAATGTTGAAGTGTAGGGATACACAACAGGCTTGCACAATACTCCTTATACATGGCTAGAATGCTGCCATTCAAATTGTAGTTATTTTTCTATCAGTCATTCAAGTAACAGAATAAGCAAGCTTTGTGTCTTAATGAATTGTCTCTTCAAACATGCTGCAGGTAATTCTCTTGAAAACTGGAGGACGGGTGCTGTATTCTGGACCACTGGGGCAACAATCCAGTAAAGTTATTGAATACTTTGAGGTCACAAACCACTTCCACAGTATCTTGATCTTTATGTATTTAGTGAACACTGTTGAAACTCATATTTATCATTATGACTACCTAACAGGGAATCTCAGGAGTGCCAAAGATAAAGAACAATTACAACCCAGCAACCTGGATGTTGGAGATCACTTCAACATCTTTTGAAGCTGAACTCGGTTTAGATTTTGCTGAGATATACCAGAAGTCTGCTTTATACAAGTGAGTCATAACACGAAAGAATCCACGTTTATTGACCTTGATGTAGTCTGAAACCAGCATTACATGAAAATTCTAAAAACATGCAATATGAAACTTTGTTTTCTTTGAGAAACTTTAGTTATCTTCTTGATATGTGCTTGGGAAAGAAGTTGATTGCCTTTGTTATTCTTAATAGGCAAACCAAAGAATTAGTGAGGGTATTGAGCACTCCACTTCTTGATTCAAAAGTCCTGGAATTCCCATCTCGTTTTCCGCTGAATGGTTGGGGACAGTTTAAAGCTTGCCTCTGGAAACAGTACTGGTCCTATTGGAGAAGCCCTTCATACAATATTATCCGTACGCTCTACATGTTTATAACATCATTAATCTTTGGTTCCCTATTCTGGGGTCAAGGCAAAAGGCTGTAAGTAAAGTTTATAGAAATCATGGCAAAATCCTTTTTTTTTTGTCAACTTAAAACTGAAACTGAATTGGAATACTCTGTCATTCCACTGTTTTAGTCATTAAGATTGACTTCACACCTGACATTCTCATTCTGTCTGTTGACAGAGACAGTCAACAAAACTTGTTCAATGTTCTTGGTGCAATGTTCAGCTCTACAATCTTTTGTGGCATAAATAATTCTACGTTGTCCCAACGTTATGTCAGCAGAGAGCGCAATGTGCTTTATCGTGAGAAATTTGCTGGAATGTACTCTCCATGGGCTTATGCAATTGCTCAGGTAACCCTGTCCTGCAAAAACAATGTTACTTCTTCGGCCTGATTCATTTAAATTCTTGCAAGTCCTGAATCCTAGAGATTGATATATAACTTAACTGCTTCAATAATGGACCAAATCTTTGAAATCATATACAAGTTTTGTTCTTGCTTTTGAATCTTGCAGGTCACCATTGAGATTCCTTATATATTTATCCAAACAGCTATATACACGGTCATCACCTATCCGATGATTGGGTTTTCTCCAGCAGGCAACAAGGTCTTATGGTATTTCTACACGATGTTCTGTACATTGCTTTACTTCAGTTATCTTGGTATGCTAATGGTTTCAATCACACCAAGCCTTCCAATGGCATCAATACAGCTATCAACCTGTCACACATTATTCAACATCTTTGCTGGCTTCCTTGTTCCTCAACCAGTAAGCATTTCATATTCCTCTGTTCATTGTTAGATTTTTGAAGTCTTAAGACATGAACAACATGTTTCATTGTGAAAAGAAAGAAAAAAAAAATTACTATGTCCCGAAATAATTGTCTAATTCACTATAAAAGTTTTGGAACGGAAGTATAAAAGTTCACCATAAGAAATTAAGCAACCACTGGTTTAACAACCTCCAAGAGTCTAATTCAACCCTTTTCCTGAATGGTTGAGTGACGGATGTTACTGAAGTATTCAAAACTAAATATATATATATATATATATATATATATATATATAGAAAGGAACTTAACCACTAAAGTAAAACATTTTGGATTTTACCCTTTGGGGTTTGTAGATTAAAGTAAAGTTAGTGTTGTTTTCACTAATGCAGCAAATTCCAAAATGGTGGGTTTGGACATATTACGTAACTCCAACTGCGTGGACTTTGAAAGGTTTGCTTACCTCACAATATGGGGATAACCATAAGCTGATTCAAGTGTTTGGAGAAAATAAATCCGTAGGTGATTTTCTGAGTGAATATTTCGGATTTAATTACAGTCAACTCCCTCTTGTGGGCGTCGTTTTGTTTTTATACCCAGTCGTTTTTGCATTTTTATTTGCTTATTGTATTGCAAAGTTACACTTCCAAAAAAGGTAACGTAGTAATATGGTCGCAAATGAGAGTTTTCGAACACCATTATTATTATTATTATTATTATTATTATTATTATTATTGTTATTATTATTAACCTTTGGCACTATAAAGACTCGAGGAAATTCTATTTATTTTTATTTTTTCGGGTGTTCCTCTATCATCTGAGTGCAATATTGGCATTGATATAATTTTTCCATTTATAATTCCAAGTTCCAATGGGTGCATGCTGTCATGGCATCCAGATGGTCGTGATGTCTTACCTTTTAGTACTAGTACTATTATTTTGGCTTCTTTGCATTTTGTTTTGATGCACGAATATTAAGGGGTCAAAATTGGGGGATGAGTTTGTCCTAATTGATGCGGTTATCTCTTTTCTGAAGAATGGCGAAATAAATGTAGTCGTTTTTGTCCTGAATGATTAATTGACTGCAATTTTTTTGATAAATTGCTTAGTTGATAATGAAACGATTTTGGTTGTGTTTTGTGTTTGGCGTGATATTTTCTGGATAACCTTAAACGGGTGTCCGATTTGACTTCTTTCTTAAAACGTCAAACTGAGAAGAACCAGTTACAAACTGAAGCCGGATTATTTATCCATCAATTATATCAGTCAGTTGTTAGTGACTTTTGGCCGCCGGAACAATATACAAATCGGCAAACGACACGATAGCCTTATTCGAACATTTGAATTAATTTTTCCCACTATCTCTAATATTATACAATCTGAAAGAGGGAATCAAACTTTTTCTCCCGTTGACACACAGGACAAAATACTATGTGTCATTTTCTTATAAATTGTTGTAAAAAATATTTACAACAATTACACAAAAAGTCCTTGAAATTTTCAATTATTCAAGTGTTATCAAATCGCAATTAAAGTATATCAATTAATTATGTGGTCAACTTTCTATTTTGTATTTGTTGAGATAAACAAAAAAAAACAAAAAATTAATTAAACAATCTACATCAATGTCTTTTTTTTTTTTCATTATGTCTCACCCAACAAAGGTAAATATTTATTTTATTCATAGTAAAGGTGATAGATTTGAAAAACTAATCCAATTAGCGGGAATGATGCAATCCCATATTAAATCAAACATTAATCAAAATTAATGATCTTTTAAAATTCAAAAATAATTAATAACAAAATCCTCGGTTAATCTTCTAGCTTTTCATTATCGATGAAAATGATCCCTTAGATTAATGTCTTTTTTTTTTCATTATGTGTCACCCAAAAAAGGTAAATATTTATTTTATTCAAATAAAAGCTGGTGGATTTGAAAAGCTAATCCGATTAGCGGAAATTATGCAATCACATTTTAAATCAAATATTAACCAATATTAATGATCTTTTAAAATTCAAAAATAATTAATGACAAAATCCTCGGTTATTTTTCTAGCCTTTCATTATCGATGAAAATGATCCCCTCCATTTAATATACCAGCAATTATTTATCAAACCCCAAAAAATCACCAAACACCATAAATACGGATGATATAGTATGATATGATCAAAATTGAGAAAACACTCTATGCAAATATTATATATATGTTGAAAGAAAACTTATAAATCGCTTGCACAATATCAACAACTCTCATTCCTTTATTCCGTCGGTACAAACAACCTCAACCACATCTATTAATGTCGACCTCCAGTAGCAACAACACATACGATTTCATAAAAGATTTGATACCCATGATTGTCAAGTCTGACTAGAAAGTCAATGTTCGAATCATCGACGTATGGATAGCAATTTTTAGGGCCAACACAACCATAGAAGCTTCGCTTATTGACGAATAGGTTACAAACATATCTTAGTGTTTATACAACTAAAAAGTGTATCTTAATAAAATTGCAGCATAATTTTATCGTCGGATTTCTAATGATTTTAATTGTTGTTGTTTTGGTTATATAAATATAATTGACATGGTCAAAAGATTCAAACTTTTGTCCACAAAAAACTCATGTGAAAATTTCAAAAGTTTCTTGAGGATAGAGAGGAAGAGACCAAATAAATCACCAACTTTGATTTGGCCGATGTTAAATGATTCTCTTATTTTAAAATTCATTTTTCTTTTTTCTCATTCATCACTTATTATTTTATGGTTGTAATATTACTTTTTCTTTATTACAATTTAAATCATGTTTTCATTTTTTACTATTTTACACAAGTACACAATAATAGTTATTTTGTCCTTTTTCATTACATTTATTTAATATTCATTTTCAGTAATTATACACTATTTTTACCAAATTTAATTATTTTTACATATTTTAATACTAAAAACATGTACACAAATCACGTGCATCGCACGGGTTTAACATCTACGGGTTTAACATCTAGTTATATTAAGTGAATAAATAACCAAGGTCTAAGGTACATTATACTAATATGGAACGAAATGATCCATGTGTTCTCACATGGTCAGCAGCTAAGCAGATGAGCTCATTGCTTACCACACTCTCTAGGGCGAATTTTCTTTTCTCTCTTTCTTCTTTTTCTAATTTGTGTGGAAATTACTTGGCATTTTTTATGCTTATTACGCATCTTGTAATTTTATACTCCGACCATTTCCAAAAAATACTTCATTTTTTTTTTATCAAGTTTAAGCCGTTTAAGAAAGCAAAATATTTTTCCATTCTTTCAATTTGTAAGACTAGAGTAGATTGTTTTCAGTTAGGTTAATTAGTATAAACTATAAACAATCGACAAATGCAATGGTTTTATAAAGATAATCCCTTTTTTTTGAAAAAAAAACGTTGCACTTTGATTAATCAACCTAACTAGATCTAAACATGTTTTAAACCCATCATTTTCACATTCCTAATCCTTCCTGTGCATCTCGACACTAACTAAGCAAGTTGTATGTACTCCGGTCCTAATATATGAGTGCAAGTTCTAGATGAACCTGGTGGAATATAAAAAATGTTGCCAAACTTAACTTAATCAGAGTGATTAATTGTTGTTTAGCATTTCAATGAGATTGTATCCGTCGATCTATTTGAGTGCAAGTTCCAAGGTGTATATAATCAGTAATTGTGCAGTGGAAAGCAGCTATGGAATGAAGAAAACCAATCTTTTCGTAATCTTTACTGCAAAATAAAACCATATTTTATTCAGAAAACAACAACGATCCATACAGTTCTTGATGACATAACAAATTAAGAATTATCAGTTTGTCAGATACAGTACAAAGGGAAAAACTGAAACGAATTCAAGAAAATCCATATCCAGTGTAGTAATCAGATGGAGACTTCTGCATTGGATTTTAACTGATGAAATAGTTGGAAGTATCACTTTTTGTCAAAAGCCAAAGTCAGCCCTTCACCTGCATTTGGCTTGTAGCCATATTTCTTGGTCAAGAAGGGATATAGTATTAAAAAAAAAAAAACATATAAAACGTAAATGCAAAGAAAAAAGGCCATGAATTTTTTATATATAGTATATGTCAGACGACTTAGAATGATGCCTGGATCTCAACCCTTTATAGATTGATGCCACATTATACGTAAAGGTGCCAACTTTATTCCATTTCAGGATCTAAAATGGCCGAATCAGTTGGCGGAGATGATATTGAGTCGTTAAGAATTGAGCTTTCTGAGTTGGGAAGAAGTTTGAGAGCTTCATTTCAGCGACTCAGTTCAAGTTTCAGAAGCAACTCAGTTGTGAGTAATGGAAGAGATGAAAATGTTATTGATGAAGAAACTGTTCTGCAATGGGCTGCTCTTGAGAGGCTTCCCACTGTTCAAAGGATGCGGTCTTCTCTGTTTGATGAAATTGAAGGTGTTGATGATAAAGCTGACGGCAAAAAAAAACGGATGATTGATGTTACCATGCTTCGGGCTGCGGAAAAGCATTTCTTCATTGAGAAGCTGATTAAGCATATAGAACATGACAATCTTAAGTTGCTGAGGAAAATCAGGAAGAGAATTGACAAGTACTGTTCTGTTCCTTCTCTGGCTCCTTCCTTTGTGTTTGATGGATTTGCTTGTTTATTTTGTGGGTGTAAATCTATTTTCACACCAACCCAGTTGAGAGCTAAACAAAAAGGTTTGAGTTTTGTAGATGAATAAAGATTAAAGTCATGGTTTAAGCAAAGACCCTTTAACTCTTGAAGGGTCTAATTTGTCTGTGTTGGTCTCTTCATCACAATTTGGACTCAAGTTTCAATGGTGTTTGTGCCGTGCGTTTTTGTGTATTGGTTGGCCTGCTTTTATTGATTCTCTGCGCTTTGAAGTGGGAAACAGAGTTTCCTTTTCTGAATTCTAGGCTTCTGATACTTTGGAATGTTACTTAATCATCTTTTAAAGTGTTGGTTTAATGCAGTACTGGGATTGAATTGCCCACTGTGGAAGTACGGTACAACAATCTCTCGGTTGAAGTGGAATGTGAAGTCGTTTATGGAAAGCCTCTCCCAACTCTTTGGAATACTTTCACAAGCATTCTTCGAGTAAGCGCCTGTTTTGTCCTTTTTGGTCTAATTAGGAAAGTTTGTTGAGATCAGCTAGCTTGCCTCAACGTTTCTGCTGCCGTAGGCTGTTCTTGTACAATCAGTGTTTGATGTGAAAGGATTTTTTTTGTTTTGTTGAGATTTCTAATCAAGAAATCCCTTAACCGTGAATTCTGGATTTATATCCCTGACATTTGTTGCTATTAAGGCATCATCTTCTGTAATTTTGCCTCGTCCGCTGAAACTTAAATTGGAGAATGCGACAGTGAAAATTTAGTCACTGGCTAAAGTAGCTACACAGATGATACACTATTTTTCTCTGCTTTCCTCAACATCTCTGTGTAACCCCTAGCTGCTATTTTTTCTTGTCTAGAACATTGCAAGAGTTTCTGGTTTCAAGGGGAGCAAATCGAATGTCTGCATTATCAATGATGTGAGTGGTGTCATCAAGCCTGGAAGGTAAACAGCTTAACCTTTTTTCAGCTATAGGATTACTGAAATATTAGATGACAAAATGTGGAAGACGTAACAATCACATCAGGTAGTAACTCCACTTTTAACTCAATATTTATGCTCTTTTTGGGGGATTCCGGTAGTTTAGACTTTAGACCATCAAATTGTTTCTGTTCTTTGTGTTGAGTCGTTCTTTACTTAATGCAGATTGACTCTTCTGTTGGGTCCTCCAGGATGCGGGAAGACATCACTTTTTAAAGCAGTTTCTGGGAATCTTGATGATTCTGTTAAGGTTTTCTTTTTTCTTTGTGCTTCAATTAGTTACTTGAACTCCTTATGAGATGATTGCCCTTTTGCTTTCTAATTTCTTGTTGTGCTATACGGAGCAAATCTTCTGAAAATACTGAAATCGTAGTATTATATTGATTCATCTCCAGTTATACCGCTGAACTGAGGTCACATTATGACGTTTGCACTTGGATAGTTTGTCTGGATAAACTAGATTGTGAAAATAGTTTTGCAGGAAAGTCATTACTAGCCCCCATCAACATATATAATCATTCTAGGCACCGCTTGTTGTGCTTTAGCTTTTCCCAGGTTTAAAATTAAGTGCCATTGGAAATCTATAATAGTCTCATATGCGAGAACATGTGTAGTGTAGTACTTTTTTTTGGATCAAACATACCTCCCTAAAATGCTTGAGGTAAATAGTATCCGGATAATCATGAACCGATCAAATATGCTTAAAGGATGTTGGATGTCAGGAACACCTTGCTACTGCCTTCCTTATTAATTAATGAGAGTAATGAATGATGGCTCATCAAAATCATTAGAAATTTCGCTTTTATAGGTAACTCTCATGGTAGTGTCATTTCGTCACTGCCCATACTATTATTGAAATATTTTATCCGCCACACAGATCTTCATTTTGAGGAATACAATCTGCTTATGACACCCAGGTAGTTTTTTGTCATATTTGTCTTCTTTTCTATCAGGTTACTGGGGAGATAACATACAACGGATACAAATTGAATGAGATTGTGCCTCAGAAAACCTCAGCTTATATAAGTCAATATGATATGCATATCCCTGAACTGACGGTCCGAGAAACACTAGACTTCTCATCCCGTTGCCAAGGTGTTGGAAGCAGAGCAGGTATATCTAAAGGGAACTTATTTGGTGTTTTAACCATGGCATTGAGGAAATATGGAATGACAGTGTGTCCATGCCTGTATAGCTATAATGGCTGAGCTGAGCAGAAGGGAGAAAGAGGCAGGAATTTTTCCAGACCCGGATATAGATACCTACATGAAGGTAGATTTTAGTGTTTTCAGAAGATTTGATCAGCATTATACTAGTATCTACTAGTTTCAACCAAAATGTATTTGCTGTTTAGGCATCTTAAGGTACATTTTCATGCAGCCCCGTAGACCTTCATCTGCATAACTAGAGAAAAAATATATTTCTCATTCTTGGTTTTATTCTAATCTGTTTACTGGCACAACGATGTGAATATAACCTGATACACATGGTCTATAATGTGGGGGTGGGGGTTTAAGCTGGATTTTCTTGATCATCAGCGTTAGCATTGGGTTTGTCTGTTGCTTTTTCCATCTTGTTGAATTTCAGCAGAGATGCATTGGTACTTATGAACAATTATATCCACGTTTCTCATAAATTGTCATTAATCAAGTTCGAGTACATAAACTTCCAACCTCGTGCAGGCAATTTCTGTCCAAGGACAGAAATCAACTCTGCAAACAGACTATATCTTGAAGGTATACATCCTTCAAAACTTTTTGCTTCTCAAATACTTAACTGTATAGATTGGAACTTGTGGATGCATGATTATTTGACCTTTATCCACTATCAGATACTTGGACTTGATATTTGTGCTGATACACTCACTGGAGATGCCATGAGGAGAGGTATTTCTGGAGGTCAAAAGAAAAGACTGACAACAGGTAACTTTATGGTCACTCTTAACATCCAGTACAGTAGGCTTATGTACGGTAACTATGATATTCATTGCAGGGAAAGATCAAACAAGCTGTTGATACTTATCTGTGCTAATTACTGGAATCTTATTCTCTGACGTTGCATTGTACAGGGGAGATAATTGTTGGGCCAACAAGAGCTTTATTCATGGATGAAATATCTAATGGATTGGATAGCTCAACAACATATCAGATAGTTGCTTACTTTCAGCAGCTTGCGCACTTAACTGATGCCACTATACTTATATCACTTCTTCAGCCGGCGCCAGAAACATTTGATCTGTTTGATGATATAATCTTGATGGCTGAAGGCAAGATTGTCTATCATGGGCCTCGAGTAACTATTCTTGAGTTTTTTGAGAGTTGTGGGTTTAAATGTCCTGAAAGAAAAGGAGTTGCTGATTTCCTCCAGGAGGTAAGGGGATCATCTTGTCCAGCTCACTCGTATACCTAACTTACACAAATTAACTTTTACAATTCCGGGGCAGGTTATCTCAAGGAAAGATCAAGCCCAATACTGGCACCGAAATGAGGAGAATTATGTGTACCAACCTGTTGATACATTATCAAGGAAATTCCGGGAATCCCCTTTTGGAAAGAATCTCAGAGAAGACCTATCAAAACCATTTTCGAGGTCTGAGAGCCAGGATAACGCTATAAGCTTTAGCAAATACTCAATTTCAAAATGGGAACTTTTCAGAGCTTGCATGTCACGAGAGTTTCTTCTCATGAGAAGAAATTCTTTTATATATATCTTCAAAACTGTACAGGTTTGCAATATTTTCATTTCATTTTTTTGTGCTTTTTATATGTCACTTATTCATTCATACCCAATTAATTGAGAAAGCAAACTGAAAGAGTGAAGGACCGATGTAACATACTCCTTGCGTAGTGTGAAATGGTTTATGGAAATGGAACTTGAATTTCTAACTCGATCTTCAAGAGCGGACTATCATCAGAAACTGATTTAGCTGGTAGAGCATCCTAATATGACCGTGCAGTGAGATTCCTGTGAAAATTGAGAAATTACGCTATACGTGATATGTAATGCAGTTTGGTTCTAACCGAACACCATTGCCTATTACAATATTCGCTGTGAATGATTTTGCAATGTAACCAAGAAACACCCCCCCCCCCTCAATAAAAAAAAAAGAAGATTTTTCCAACTGTTTAATACGATCTACAATATGTTACAGATGTTGATGATTGCAGCAGTTACTATGACTGTGTTCTTACGAACAAGGTTGGCTGTTGATATTGTCCATGCAAATGTTTACTTGGGAGCCTTGTTTTATTCTCTCATCATTCTTCTTGTTGATGCAATTCCCGAGCTGGCTATGACCATTGCTAGGCTAAGAATTTTCTACAAACAGACAGAATTGTGTTTTTACCCGGCTTGGGCATATGCGATCCCATCTGCAATTCTGAAGCTTCCTCTCTCATTATTAGAATCTTTAGTATGGACATGTTTGACATACTATGTCATCGGATATTCTCCTGAAGTTGGCAGGTAAGCTCCGAGTAATTGTTAGAATTGATAGTGTCCTATTACATCCCTTCATCTGATGAGTTGCATGTACCATTCAGGTTCTTCCGCCAACTGGTTTTGTTGTTTTCTCTGCACGTGGCAGCATTATCCATGTTCCGGTTTATTGCATCTTTCTTCCGAACTGAGGTGATCTCTATGGCAGTTGCCAGTTTTTCAATGTTTTTTGCCACTCTGTTTGGTGGCTTTGTGATTGCTAGGGGTAAGTATCTTGTTTTCCCTGCTAATTTTTTCAAAGAAAAAGAGATTACCTGAAATCATGATCTTATAATAGTAACGTTTTTCAGACTCAATGCCATCCTGGTTAAGATGGGGCTTCTGGTTGTCTCCATTGAGTTATGGTGAGATTGGCCTTGCTCTAAATGAATTTCTTTCCCCACGGTGGCAAAAGGTGAGCCGTAATCAACTCTTCTCCCTAACCAGTTCATGTTCTAAATCAAAATATGATACTACTTCATGGTTGTTTAGGTATCCTTTTAGGCTTTATCACAAATCGGTAAATATAGGAGAGTTATTATATTTGAAGTAAAAAACTTTTAATCTGAATTTGCTTAACCACAGTATTATTTCCATTTTTAAAATCTGGTGACCAACTTTCTAAAATAATCTCAAGGCGCCTGATGTCGATTCATGACTTGAATTTCAGTTCTCTTCTTTTATTCCACTTGTAAGGCCAAATATATGTTCATACTTATTGGCTGTTTAACTTCTGCATATTCCCACCATAATGTGCTGATAGTTTTTTAATTTTTAGACTTTACCATTTCATTGCTGATACCATGTTACTTCCTTCATTCTTTTGGGTAGCCTCAAGCCACAAACAAGACAATAGGAACACAAACGCTTGAAACTCGCGGATTGAGCTTTGATGGGAAATTTTATTGGATCTCCCTTGGAGCACTTTTTGGATTTTCGCTTCTATTCAATTTTGGTTACGTTTTGGCGTTGACTTTTTTGAAAGGTATGCCAACTTCTCATAAAAACCACAAGATGCAAGCTTACTGTATAGGTGATTTTAAACATATTGATGTGAATGCAGCTCCGACTACTCGTGCTATCATTTCAAGCGAAAAGCTTACTCAAAAGCAAGAAAGTGATGAATCTGTTGGTGTAGGCAAGACGAATCCTTCAGAACGCTCCAAGCCCGCTGCTACTAATGAATCTAACCGAGGTTTCACTTTTTATTTCTTTTATTATTTTTTAAATTCATCTGTAGATTCTGAACTCCATTTTCATTACTGTTAAACTGCGTTCGCATAAATTATATTCAATTTGCAGGGAAAATGGTTTTACCTTTTGAACCACTGGCCATTGTCTTTGAAGATCTGCAATACTATGTTGAAACTCCAGCTGTAAGTGTAACAAGTCATTTCTTATTCAATGACAAAGATGAATGAGCAATGTGAACGGAACAAAATTTTTCTGGATGAACTGCTTATGTTCAGCAAACATCTAAAGTCTACTTTAAAAGATCCTTCACGCTCTTCATCTACTGCCAATCAGTTTTAGGTTAGCTGCATCGGGGCTTTCCAATATGGTATCCGAGAGATGGGTTTCATTCCTTTCTTTTTTTGTTTCCATAATCTCAGGCGATGAAAGAGCGTGGTTTCACTAATAAAAGGCTTCAACTTCTGTGTGACATCACTGGTGCATTTAGACCTGGAGTTCTGACAGCCCTTATGGGTGTTAGTGGAGCTGGAAAGACAACTCTCCTTGACGTGCTTGCAGGCAGAAAGACCAGTGGATTTGTTGAAGGGGAGATTAGAATAGGAGGATTTCCAAAAGTTCAGAGGACTTATGCTCGGATTTCAGGTTACTGTGAGCAAACAGACATTCATTCTCCACAGATTACTATTCAAGAATCAGTTGTTTTTTCTGCTTGGTTACGACTCGACCCACAAATTGATTCAAAAACAAAAACGGTATGGTGTTACCAATAGCTAGACACATATTTTTTCATGATTGTGGTTGTTATTCTAGTCTTGAAGGTGTGACATCCTTACAGGAATTTGTGAAAGAAGTCTTAGAAACCATAGAGCTTGATGGTATGAAAGATTCTTTGGTTGGCATTCCGGGCATAAGTGGTTTATCAACTGAGCAACGCAAGCGTCTCACAATTGCAGTGGAGCTAGTAGCTAATCCTTCCATAATATTTATGGATGAACCTACCACCGGATTAGATGCAAGAGCAGCTGCTATAGTCATGCGAGCTATAAAAAATGTGGCTGATACTGGAAGAACAATTGTTTGCACTATCCATCAACCAAGTATTGACATATTTGAGTCCTTCGATGAGGTAATGGAAGTATGGGACTCACGAAGCCACTAGGAATTCATTGCAGAGAGTATTAATATGTTTGATTACATAGTGCAATGAATCTTTCTTTCGCAATAAAGTAAAATATGTATAAGTTAAGAGTTCTGAAGTGGTTTATTGTTCAATTATGTTACAGCTAATTCTATTGAAAAGCGGAGGGCGCCAAACATATGCTGGACCACTGGGGCAACAATCAAGTAAAGTTATTGAATATTTTGAGGTATATCACTCCACAAATGATAGCAGTTTGTGATATTGGAGAAACAAAGAATGAAACTGAACGTCGTGATCTGATTATCATTCTTTATTAGGCCATCCCTGGGGTGCCAAAGATAAAGGACAACTATAACCCAGCTACATGGATGTTGGAAGTCACCTCTACCTCTTCTGAAGCTGATCTTGGGGTGGACTTTGCTGAAATCTACAAGAATTCCACTTTGTATCAGTAAGTGTTTGACAGTTAAATAAAATCTTGCTTCAAACAAGATGCTCTTTAAATGGGTGTGAAAATGGAACAACATCACTATTGCTAGTCCCCTATTCTCACTACTTTTTTTCTGCTAATAGAAACAACATAGAACTTGTTAAGAGATTAAGTGTTCCACCTCCTGGTTCAAAAGCTCTTGATTTCCCTACTCGGTTTCCCCAAAATGGATGGGTACAGTTCAGAGCATGCCTTTGGAAACAATATTGGTCATACTGGCGAAGTCCTTCTTACAACTTAGTCCGTCTATTGTTTATGGTGGTTTCATCATTCTGTTTTGGCGCCTTGTTATGGAAGAAGGGGAAGAAACTGTAAGTAAATTGTATGGGGAAACTTTTTAATCATGCTCATTTTTAGCACAGTACCAAGAAACAACAAATTTAACCATCCATTATTTTCTTTCACATTTTGACAGGGACAATCAGCAAAGTTTGTTTAACATTCTTGGTGTACTCTACATCTCCGTGATATTCTGTGGTATCAACAATGCTGCTTCAGTTTTGCCTTATGTTAATTCAGAAAGGGCAGTACTTTATCGCGAAAGATTTGCAGGAATGTATGCGCCATGGGCTTACGCATTTGCACAGGTATATCTTGGCTCAATGTGTAGAAAATATCACTTTGGTTAAGATGATCATCGACTCAAACACACAATTTTTGCAGGTCACGGTAGAGATACCTTACATTCTTGCTCAAGCAGTCATCTATACAATCATCACATATCCAATGGCTGGATATTATTGGACTGCATACAAGGTGTTTTGGTATTTCTATTCAATGTTTTGCATTCTGTTGTGCTTCAACTATCTAGGTATGCTGTTGGTAGCCATCACACCAAGCTATCCAATTGCGGCAATTTTGCAATCTACATTTTACACAAATATGAACCTGTTTGCTGGATTTCTTGTTCCTCAGCCGGTAAGAATTCCCCTATTTTGCGTCATTGAAGTTTTGCTGTTGAAAAAGTGAACATTTTTATTCGCGTGGACTTATATTATGAAATGATGCACCGCAGATGAAAAAAAATGCAACCACCCATAATATGTTCATTTCTCGCATGAATGAAACTTATGCTTTTTCATCAATCAGTTCTTAGTTTTTTACTAGAGTAGAATTACATAACCAACTTAACATGGTTTCTTGGTGCAGAAAATTCCAAAGTGGTGGATATGGTTGTATTACATGGTTCCGACATCATGGTCTTTAAAAGGCACACTGACTTCACAGTTCGGGGATATTCACAAGCCGGTTCATGTGTTCGGAGCTGATAAACCAGTATCACAGTTTCTGTCAGATTACTTTGGATACCATCATGATCAACTGCCACTTGTGGCCGTCATCTTGACAATTTACCCTATCGTTTTAGCTGTTTTGTTTGCATTGTGTATTTCAAAGCTAAACTTTCAGAGGAGGTGAGGTAGAAAGATTTTTGTATACTTTCCATCTATTATTAAAAAAAAAAAGAAGAAGAAAAAAGTAACAGAATGAGGTTGTAGATGATGATTTACGTTGTAAATTTTGGTCTAGCTAGTTTCCCCTCTTGGTTATGTTTCTTTGTTGTTATAGCCTAAGTTACTAAACTAACAACCCTATGGGAAGCTACCGCGATTACATTATGATTGAGTTAACACCCTCCGAAGAGTGGCTCAGTAGAAAAATCCAAAGATTTCGATGTTATCAACAAGCGTAAGATAATCTGCCGCAAAATTTACTTCTGTCTAAAAACGTTATAGCTAAAAAGAGTTCCCGAGCTCTCTCTCTCTCTCTCTCCTCTTGTATCCAAAATCATGACAAGTAGGTACGGATATCCACATGAACATGAATCTAGATGCGGATTGTCATCTCTTTTTCAATTCTTCTGTTGGTTTTTTTGCTCTGCAGATAGTTAGTTGAAGATGTCTGAACTCTACAGTGTGATAGCTGGAGTTGCCGCACTTAATGTTTAGTTGAAGTTGTCAGAATATCCATGCCACTTTCTCCGCTCTTGTTGAACTGAAAAACATTATTTTTCTTAAACCATCACATTTTGATTAAATTAAAATTGGACAGAAAGAGTAATATTATTATTATTATTATTTCATTTTTGTTTTTTTGGGGACAGTCACTCCTCAAAAATGCTCCATTGCCGCGCCAGGACAATGACAATATATTCTTTGCTGAGCTTTTGACTTTCTTCAAGAAAACTCGGTCTTCTTTGTATGAACTAAAACTTAAAAATCAAGATTCACCACTACTATTCATTTTAAAAGATTATTTGACTTATTTTAATTTTTCTAATCAATTTCTTTTTTTCAAAAACTTTATACAATGAGATTAAAACCAACCATTCACATTTTAAAAAATAATATAATATAAATCGTTCATTAAAAGTAATCACCATTTTAATAAAAAAAACAAAAAATGGTCTGATGATAGGAAAAAAAATGAAATTTCTTTTTTTTTTTTACTTGTCCCTAGTGTTGCAATCTATTTGCAAAGATTGCTTTTTTTTTTTTTTTTGGGTAACAATTTATGATAGATATACTATCAAATCCTAAATACAGTAGCTCCTTTATACCATGAGATGAAACAGAAATGAAATAAATGGTACTCCTGTATTTCTCTGTAAATCTGCTCTTAGTCGTTCCAAAAATGCTCATATTTATTATCTACTTATGTGCTTCTAAAACCTAAGATCACAATTCACATGAATGAATAGTTCTCAACTAAATCTCATAGCTAAGCACCAATTTATTTGGTAGTTTGTAAATGGTATTATGCACACATAAACCAGGTCAAACTATTCATTCATCATTTATAACTTTTAGCTGCTATTCGGCTAATCCAACAAATCGATAACAATAAAAACCGACCGGCAGCTCCTAAATTAATCTTAACCCTTTTTGGATCGTGACTTTGTCAAACCTCCTACCAGCTTTCAATTCTTTTGTCAACTTTGCGTCCCAAAATAATTATACGGTAACAAAAAAAATTAACTTCGGACAGAGAAAATAATCGTTATTTGGTTAACTTTGCTAATAAACAAACAAAATTTACAGATGTAACACGCTTTTAAGTTTGAGTTACCTTCGTCGTAAGTTCTCGCTCAAAGAAGCAAAGTAACTCATTAATTATTTATTTAAATGATTTGTGCACCAAGTCTCCTAACTTTTGATTTAACGAAAGGGTAATGCTGCTTCACAATTTTTTTTTTTTAGTTTTGAAAGTGAAATAGATCGATAAGTGGGACATACATATAAGAGATTTTAATTTAAAATCGGAGTAATGAGTTCGGACGAAAAAAAAAAAAAATTTACTCGAAAAATCATGACTAATAGGATTAGTCATATATGTAAAAAAATTTTCATGGTAGTTTCTGTAGAGAGCTATATGTATTATTACTCTTTTCTGTCAAAAAATAAAAACTAAAAATTATTCACTAATAAATATTCTCTCCATCTCAATAAAATATGTATATATTTTTTTTCTATGGATTACCCCCAAAAAATTTTATTTGCTCTATGGAAAAAATAAAAATAAAATACCACTATAATTGATTATAATAATCGGGTTCATAAACTCTTATGATATTTATTAATCAGCTTTTGGACTCTGCATTGGCGCGAAGTGTCACTTATATCAAGAACAGAAGCTGCACGATTCGGACCTCATTTGCATTTGCATTGTGAATATATTTTTGCACAAGAAGCTACAATTTGATGCAGCATTACATGCCAAAAGGTTGCGAAATTTGCAGCAAAAAAAAGTTCAAAAAATAAAAAATGGCAGAGTTAGTCGGAAGGGATGATATAGAATCATTGAGAATCGAGCTGTCTGAGCTGGGAAGAAGCTTCAGGGCATCTCTCCGGCGATTTAGTTTCAATATCCGAAGCGGCTCCATTGCGAATAGTTCTGGAAGAAGGGATTATTACAATGACTTCAGTTTTGCTGAAGATGATCATACTAATCATAACAATAATGATGAAGAAACTGTCCTGCAATGGTCGACCCTGGAGAGACTTCCGACTGTTCAGCGGATTCGATCGTCTTTGTTCGACGAAAACGCTGATGGAAAAAAGAAACGGATGGTTGATGTTACAATGCTTGGTGCCACGGAAAGGCATTTGTTCATTGAGAAAATGATTAGACACATTGAACATGACAATCTCAAGCTGTTGTGGAAAATCAGGCAGAGGATTGATAAGTATGGTTTTGATTTCTTTCTTTTTTTTAATCTATTAATTGTTTGTTTGTGTGTTGTTAATCATTCTGAATTTTGGAGCTTCAGTGAAGTGAAAACCATTGATTCTTCGTCCCAAAATGATTGTTATGAATTGAATCCTCTAATACAACAAACAAGACAGTCATTTTGGGACGGAGGGCGTATTTACAAATTTTTTTTTCAAGTGTTTGATATTTTGATGCAGTACTGGAATTGAATTGCCCACAGTAGAAGTAAGATACAGCAATGTTTCAGTTGAAGCAGAATGTGAAGTTGTTAATGGAAAGCCTCTTCCAACTCTCTGGAATACTGTCAAAAGCATCATTCTGGTAATTAACCACCCCTGGTTTCATCATATCTTGAGGAAGAACATAGAGACTTGGTTCTATTTCTGTTCTGAATTATCTAATTGGGAAAATTTGGTATTTTAAAAAAAAAAAAATCAGCCCGGAACCAATTACTGAAACCCTGAAATTTGAAATTTTTTTTTTTGCTGTTTGAAACATTAAATGAAGCAGATTGGTCATAGTTTTCTTTCATGATTCAGTAAAATGAACTGGAAAATCATACTCTATTTTGTGATAGGATATTGCAAGGGTTTCTGGTTTCAAGGGAAACAAAACCAAGATCCGGATTATCAATGATGTCAGTGGCGTCATCAAGCCTGGAAGGTAAACAATGTAAACTGCTTTGGTAAAAACTGAGATGATCATTCGATTTTTTTTTTTTTTTAAATTTTTTTGACAACTTTCCTGGAGATTAATTTGAACAAACAGATTTCAGGTTTCCATTTTTTACAGAAAGTATACTGCTTTAAGATTGAGGGTGCAGATTGCATTGGTTTGAACCGCCGAATCGTTTTTTGTCTTCCATTTTCTTCAGTTGTTCTTTGTGTTTTGCAGATTGACCCTTCTGCTAGGTCCTCCAGGATGTGGGAAGACATCACTTCTGAAAGCGCTTTCCGGGAATCTTGACGAATCTCTGAAGGTGTTGATTGTTGCTACTTCTTTCTGCTTCATTGAGTTACTTGGACATGTTAGATTATAAGTGACGTTTCGCCATTCGAATTTGTTGTTTTTATAGAGAAAATCTTCAGAAATTATTCACTTTTCTACAGTTATCTTAATTCACTTATGTGTTCTTGGAGAATGTAATCTGTTCTTTTGATGACCGATTCTGGAGTTGTTTGGTATCCCTTTCTGTCAGGTTAATGGGGAGATTACGTATAATGGATACAAGTTGACTGAGTTTGTGCCTCAGAAAACCTCAGCTTACATAAGTCAGAATGATATGCATATTCCTGAAATGACTGTGAGGGAAACACTAGATTTTTCTTCCCGTTGCCAAGGTGTTGGAGGCAGATCAGGTAAATTGAAAGGGAAACTATGTTTTTCTGTTTACTTTGGTAGTGATTATGGAACTAATAGTGCTTCCATGCCTGTAAAGCTATTATGGCTGAGCTGAGCAGAAGAGAGAAAGAGTCCAGCATTTTTCCTGACCCGGATATCGACACCTACATGAAGGTACATTTGATGTCTTCAGAAAATTCGAATCCGATTATCCGATATCTGCCAGTTACCCCGAATTCTGTTTGCCGTTTTATATATGTCTTGCAATGCTGCTCTTCATTCATTCAAAGGGGTTTCTGTGCATAATGATTCAAATTCAGTGTTCTTTCCGGCTTTTACAAAGTGATATAACTAGGTCTTCTTCCGGGACCTATGCACTAATGGTTCACGTGAATTTGTTGTCAACATTTCGAATCTGATGACAAGTTCATCATCGCCAAACAAAATCTTTTCACCTTTGTAGATGTGGTGATGACTTTGATTGATGTGCTTCTTAACTCGTTCTGCTCCTGTGCAGGCAATTTCGGTTGAAGGACAAAAATCAACTCTGCAAACAGACTATATCTTAAAAGTATACACATTCTTCAAAACCTTTAGACATTCGAATTCTTTACTGTTATTGATTCCTGTAACAAGTAACTTAATCCATTATTCAATGTCATCAGATACTTGGACTTGATATTTGCGCGGATACACTCGCAGGAGATGCCATGAGGAGAGGCATCTCTGGGGGTCAAAAGAAAAGACTGACAACAGGTATTATTATGGCCACTCTTAACATCCAAAACATGGGGAATAATGTATAACACTCGGTAGTTGCAAAGATCAGTGAGCTGTTTATACTTCTACTGAGAATATTGCGCACAAAACACAATTTCTGATCTGGTTTTTCTCAGGGGAGATAATTGTTGGCCCGACAAGAGCTTTATTCATGGATGAAATATCAAATGGCCTAGATAGCTCAACAACATATCAGATAGTTTCTTGCTTTCAGCAGCTTGCCCATTTAGCAGATGCTACTATACTTATCTCACTTCTTCAACCAACACCTGAGACGTTCGATCTTTTTGATGACGTTGTCTTGATGGCCGAAGGCAAGATTGTCTATCACGGTCCTCGAGCAACTGTTCTTCCATTTTTTGAGAGTTGCGGTTTTAGATGCCCTGAAAGAAAAGGAGTAGCAGACTTCCTCCAGGAGGTAAGCCTGTCAGGTTTCCCAGTTTATTTACATGTCATAACTTGCAGAAACTGACATTTGTGATGCCATCTTAGGTTATCTCTAGAAAAGATCAAGCTCAATACTGGTGCCAAAATGAAGAGAATTATGTGTACAACTCTGTTGATGCATTATCAAGAAAATTTGATGAGTCCCCTTATGGAAAGAATCTCAGGGAAGAGATTTCAAAGACATTTTTGAGGTCCGAGATCCATGAAAATGCCATAAGCTTTAGCAAATACTCAATTCCTAAATGGGAGCTATTCAGAGCTTGTATGTCAAGAGAGTTTCTTCTCTTGAAAAGAAATTCTTTCCTCTATGTTTTCAAAACCTTTCAGGTATGCATTACTATCAATCATCTCATTCTTGTACCCTTGTGACTTGCTTCAGATCAACTGTAGCAATAAAACCGAAGGAGAACTAAAGGAATGGCCAAAGATAGTTTTTGTGTCGTAAGGAAAGAAATCCTACTTTATCTTCTTCATCTGTAGAGTATCAGAACCAAATTCACCTAATAGCTCTTCCTAATATGTGCAGTTTATATAATTCCTTTGTGAAATGAGAAATTACTCTAGCATCCTCAGGCAGTTATTTATGCGAGATATTATTAACAAATGCTCCACTTTGTTAGAGTCTTCCTCAGTATAATATCATCTCAATTTCTTGCAGATTTTGATAATTGCATCAGTTACTATGACTGTGTTCTTGCGAACAAGGTTGGGCGTCGACATTTTCCATGCAAACGCGTACTTGGGAGCATTGTTTTATTCTCTTATCATTCTTCTTATTGATGCGATTCCAGAGTTGTCTATGACTCTATCTAGACTAGGAATTTTCTACAAACAAAAAGAATTGTGCTTTTACCCTGCTTGGGCATACGCGATCCCATCTGCCATTCTCAAGATTCCTCTCTCATTGTTGGAATCTTTGTTATGGACATCTTTGACATATTATGTCATAGGATATTCTCCTGAGGTTGGGAGGTAAGTTCACTCAGTCATTCTTTGAGCTTGTTTGTAAAGCATGTTTCATTTTACTTACATTTCTAAATCTGCTGAGTTACCATTAACATGCAGGTTCTTCCGCCAACTACTTTTGTTCTTCGCTTTGCACATGACATCTTTATCCATGTTCCGGTTTATTGCATCTGTCTGTCGAACTGTGGTGACCTCTACAGCAGTTTCCAGCTTTGCAATATTTTTTACGACTCTGTTTGGTGGCTTTTTAATCGCCAGACGTAAGTACATTTTTTCCGGCTCATCATATTAGGGGTAAAAAAAAAAGGTTGGGATGGGAGTATCATATCACATTCTCCAGAAAATGAAAGAATGATGTTGAACATGAACTTGCAGCCTCTATGCCGGCCTGGTTAAAATGGGGCTTCTGGCTTTCTCCAATGACTTATGCTGAGATTGGCCTTGCTTTGAATGAATTTCTTTCCCCGCGATGGCAGAAGGTGAGCCATTATCAATAAATTGATGAAATTAGGCCCTGAGGCCTAAACTTTCATCTGCTAAACCTAAATGTGAATCAAGTCTCAGCAAACAAGAATCTTTCCACCTTTTCGGGGATTTTTTTTTTGGTGCTCATAATAGCTGACAGTTAAGTACTGATAGCTTGTTACTATTTTTGTTGCTTGTGAGTAGCCTCTACCCACAAACACAACACCAGGAATACAAACGCTTGAGAGCCGCGGCTTAAAATTTCAAGGCCATTATTACTGGATTTCCATTGGTGCACTTTTTGGGTTTTCAGTACTCTTCAATGTTGGTTACATTTTGGCATTAAGCTTCTTGAAAGGTAACTAGAATTTCTTGTAAGTTGTCAAGATGCAGAGACTATTGATTTTTATGACATATATTGACAAATCAAGATGAATGCAGCTCCAGTTTCTCGTGCTATTATTTCGAGTGAAAAGCTTTCACAAATGCAAGGAAGCAATGAATCAAGTGGTGTAGACACTAAACAAGTTTCAGAACGCACCACTGCTATAGAATCTAACCAAGGTTTCCTATTTTTGGTTCATCTGAGATTCCAAACTCTGCTTTCATTCCTGTGATGCTTGAAAGTTGTAACTTTACTTATTTTGCAGGAAGAATGGTTTTACCTTTTGAACCACTGGCCATTGTCTTTCAAGACCTGCAGTACTTCATTGAAACTCCAGCTGTAAGTACAGAACAAAGGAACCTGAAGACCTCTGTGGCTTGTCTAACATACATTCTTCTGTCGTTTATTAGTTTTTAATATGTTTTCTTCCCGTTTCAGGCAATGAAAGAACATGGTTTCATGAACAAAAAGCTCCAACTTCTGCGTGATATCACCGGCGCACTTAGGCCTGGTGTTTTGACTGCACTTATGGGAGTGAGTGGAGCTGGAAAAACAACCCTTCTCGACGTGCTTGCAGGAAGAAAAACCAGTGGATTTGTGGAAGGGGAAATCAGAATAGGAGGATTCCCTAAAGTTCAGAGGACATTTGCTCGGATCTCAGGTTACTGTGAGCAAACCGACATACATTCTCCACAAATCACTGTAGAAGAATCAGTTGTATTTTCTGCTTGGTTACGCCTGCAGCCGCAGATTGATTCAACAACCAAATATGTATGTTCCACAAGTAAAATGTACTACATTACTTTTGGAGTTAAGTCTGCTATATTTTTGGATTGAAGTTATTATGATATTGTCTCAGGAATTTGTGAAAGAAGTCTTAGAAACCATTGAGCTTGATGATATCAAAGATTCTTTGGTGGGAGTACCTGGCATTAGCGGTTTGTCAACTGAGCAACGCAAGCGACTAACGATCGCCGTAGAGCTAGTTGCTAATCCTTCCATTATATTCATGGATGAACCTACAACTGGATTGGATGCAAGAGCAGCTGCCATTGTCATGCGGGCTATAAAGAATGTCGCGGATACAGGAAGAACGATTGTTTGCACAATCCATCAACCAAACATTGACATATTTGAATCATTTGACGAGGTAACAGAACTGCACCTCTCAGAATCTCTTTTTGAAATCGATTAGAGTACTGCTATGATATGTCTTTGATCACTTTGCTTCTTTTCAAGGAAACTTATTTGTGCTATATGTTCAAACAATTATCAGTTAATTCTACTGAAAAGTGGAGGGCGTTTAACATATGCCGGACCATTAGGGCAACAATCCAGTCAAGTTATTGAATATTTTGAGGTACATCTTTCCACAAGACATACAACATTTTTCATTTCCATGGGAAAGAAAACTTGAAACTCAAACTTCTGTAATTTCATTGTCATTTTGTGACAGAGTATCCCTGGGGTGCCAAAGATAAGGGACAACTACAACCCGGCAACATGGATATTAGAAGTCACCTCTACCTCTTCAGAAGCTGAACTTGGCTTAGACTTTGCTGAAATTTACAAGAAATCTACTTTGTATCTGTAAGTCTTTTATCACAAAATTAAGACTAGTTCTCAATCTCTTTTCTCATTTTGATTTGTTTTTACAGGAATAACGTCGAACTTGTGAAGAAAATGAGCATCCCGCCCCCAGGTTCCAAAGATCTAGACTTCCCTACCCGTTTTTCTCAAAATGGATGGGGACAGTTCAAAGCCTGCCTCTGGAAACAATATTGGTCCTATTGGAGAAGTCCTTCTTACAACTTAATCCGCCTCACGTTCATGACAGTGGCATCTCTTTGTTTTGGTGCATTGTTATGGAAGAAGGGAAAGAAACTGTATGTTGCTTTTCAACATTACATATATGCCTCCTCACAGAGAAGCATCATTCCTTAACATTATTATGCTAAACTTGTTGTTTTTTAACAGGGATAATCAGCAAAGCCTGTTCAACATTTTTGGCCTAATGTTCAGCTCTGTAATATTCTGTGGCATTAACAATTCCACTTCAGTTTTACCTTATGTGAGCACAGAAAGAGGAGTTCTTTATCGAGAAAGATTCGCAGGAATGTATGCTTCTTGGGCTTATGCATTTGCACAGGTTAAATTCACCACATTGTCTTCTTTCTATTTATACTCTATTTCGCCCTGCGAAAATTTGTATAACTCCGGAAATTAAGAACATTGCGCTGATGTAATGTAATTCAAGCCGCGGTGTAATCCTTTACAGGTTACAGTGGAGATACCTTACATCTGTGCACAAGCAGTGATCTATACAGTCATTACATATCCAATGGTTGGGTATTTTGGGGCAGCATATAAGGTGTTTTGGTATTTTTATGCAATGTTTTGTAGTCTGTTGTGTTACAACTATTTAGGTATGCTTCTGGTAGCAATCACTCCAAGTTTTCCAGTGGCTGCGATCTTGCAATCTACATTTTACACAATGATGAACCTCTTTGCTGGATTCCTCGTCCCTCTGCCGGTAATCATTTAATTCTTCGTCACCACCAAATTTTTATTCAAAGAGAAATACTTTGTCCCAAAATGATTATTTTGTCTGGTTTTTCAGTTTTAGTTCAAATTGTACTAAAACTGAAAATCGAAACAGGACTATCATTTTGGGACGGAAGGAGTATAAGTTTAGTGACTGATGGTTTAATTTGTGGGGTGCAGCAAATTCCCAAATGGTGGATATGGTTGTATTATATGGTACCTACATCTTGGTCTATGAAAGCCTTCCTCATTTCACAATATGGAGATGTTCAGAAGCCAATTCAAGTTTTTGGAGAAACAAAAACAGTGTCACAGTTTTTGTCAGATTATTTTGGATTGCATCATAATCAACTTCCTCTGGTGGCCGTAATGTTGATTATATACCCTGCCATACTGGCTGTTTTGTTTGCGTATTGTATTGCAAAGTTGAACTTTCAGAGAAGATGAAAACATCAGTATCTAAAAACTCTGCCTTTGTTTTTGTTTGTTTTTTTTTTTTTTGGTGGAACTTGTAATAATTCATACATTGCAAAGTAGGAGCTGTCTTACATGTGTTCTCGCAAGGCCTAAGGTTTTCCTTGAAATATAGTAGTACCTGAATCGACCTATTTTTTAAAATGTGGCAGTATGATCAGTTTTCACGGATAGAAATATTCCGTTAGTTAAACACCAAAGAAGAATAAAAAAACACCAAAAATAAATATATTCCATTAATTGTTATTGGATTCCGATGCACCAATGAAATCACATATCTTTTCATTTTCAAGAAAGAATATATTCGTTTTAGTAATTAATTTGTAGTTAGTATTAGTACTATTAATAATATTATCTCTGTTCAAAAAAAAATCCAAGTGTGTTTTTTTTTTTTTAAATAAAGTATAAATTTCAAAACTCAATATGGGGGTTTTTTTTTTTTAGAACAAAGAAAGTACATATGTATTAATTAGTATCTTGTATACTTCTTATGAAGTTTATTGAATGATAACAAAACTAAACAAGGGGAAAAAAAAAGTTTAGCATCATTTATTGGATGTAATGTCAGAAAGTTACTTATAATACTAACCAATTTGTCTTGAAGTTATAAAAACTATTTATATTTTCAAATATATTTTTTCCAAATCTAAAAATGATCTACTCCCTCCATTTTTTTTATATGTCCTTATAGAGAAATCAGCAAAACTAAGAATACATTAATTAATGTAGTTAAAATACAAAAATATCCTTATCTATTGTCTATATAATTCATCACAAACCAATAAAAATTCATTATAAATACTGTTTCATTTCCAATGCAAGAGTAATATTGACAAAAAGTGGTCAAATATTCCTCGATTTGTGAAAACGATATATATTTAAAAAATTCACTAAATCCTAAAACGACATATATTTCAAAATGGAGGGTTATAATTTTTTTTATTGATTGTAATTTTCTATTATCAATTTGTTATTGGAGAACGAAAAAATGTTGGGGGCCATCCATCCCTGGTTCCCTTTGTCGTTTGTATGTAACAACCCGCCCAAAAAAAAATAATAATAATAAAATTTGTTGTGTCGTACAAATCAAGATAAAAACAAAAACTTAAGCATAATGATAATTGATGATGATGAAAAAGGAATAAAATTAACTAGTAATTAGGTCCCATCTCCAGTTAAAATAATCGCGTTTGATTCTGACATTAAACCTTTTTTTCCGAAATTTTTAGTCAATTCTTAGCTCAAGTTTTGAATCCTTAACACTATACACGAACCTCTGGAAGCTGATTTTTATGTATATGTATGCATGGAGGCTTCTGATGATGAGGAAGCTGTTCAGTGGGCTGCGCTTCAGAGGCTTCACACCGGTCAACGGATTCGGTCTTCTTTATTTGATGTAATTAATGAAGACGGTCAAAGTAGCAGTAGAAGAAGGGTAGTTGACGTCACGAGGCTTGATTCCAGGGAAAGGCATTTGTTCCTGAAGAAGCTGATTCCAAATGTTCAACATGACAATCTCAAATTACTACGCCAAATCAGAACAAGACTTCAAGGGTAAGTGCTTTAATTAAAGTCATCATTATACATATATTACAATATTGTTGTTATCAACTGTTTGGGATCAAATTAATATATATATATATATACTCTTTCTCTTCGTCTCGAGATAATTGTCGAATCTTTTCATACAGTGTTGGGATCAACTTGCCCACCGTGGAAGTGAGGTACAAAAATGTATGTGTTGAAGCAGAATGTGAAGTTGTTTCAGGAAAACCACTCCCAACTCTTTGGAATACATTCAAAAGCATGTTTCTTGTAAGTACTCCCCCCTTCCCCCCTCCCCTCCTAATAATATATTATCCACTTGACATTCAAATTCATTATTCCGACTAATTCAAATTCAAGTCGGATTTTTAAGGAGTAAAACCCTTTTAACAAATATTTTAACTACTGCTCTATGCTTAACTTTTCTCAACATTTTGTTTTCTACCTTTACTTATTTCAAGCAACTGCTACTAAGAACACAGTGACCGTTTCTCATCAAATATTTTTCGCTAAAACTATATTTATTATCCATTAATTAATTAAATTATTATTTATTTTATATAATTATTATACAAAAAAAAACAAATGTCTTAGATAAAATAATTCTATTTAATATATTCATTAATTGGATATTAAATCGAAACTGTCCAGATTTTTTTTGCTCAATAGATCCTTAAAATCACTCAAATTTTATTATTAAAATTACTCAAATTTGATTAGAGTAATTAAATTAAAAAATTAACATATTAATTCAAATAGAAATATATATATATATATATATATATATATATATATATTCCAAACACGAAAGCAGAGCTCTAAAATTCAATCATAACAAACCAATAGCATTAACCCTGGAAAGGTTAATCTAATCAACGCTAGCAGCTAAAGATGGCAAGAAGAAATATATATATATATTTTAAAATAATATATACACTAGTCTTAAAACGAGCAAAGGATACACACACATATATATTTATATATATGTATATGTATGTATACTATTTATGAAGACGTCTAATAATATCTTGTTACGTAGTTGATCTTTAAATTAATGTAAACAATTTAAGAAAATAACATTCAATTTTCAAAACATAAGGTTTAAATAAATAAGAAACGGAAAATTTTAAAAAATCATAGGTGGCATGATGCAAGGCCTTTGTCCTCAAAGAATAATGATCATACTCATACTCATTCTTTTTTAAAACTTTTCATCTGGGATTTAAATATTTAAAATTAAAGTATAGTTTAGATGATTTTCATATTATTATTTTTGCATTTTAACACTGGTCATTCTCAAAATGTGGTCATTACCAACTTCTACAATCATTTTTGGTTCACTCGAATTCCAAACAATCCCCAAGCTTTGTTGGAACCTCCCGTCCGTCCTTATTACAATCATTTTTGTTTTTATTTCTCCTAAATTTTATTATTTATTATTATTTTTTTAATTAAAAAATTAGAAAATCGGTTTTTACATTTATTAGTGTGTTTTCACTCAATTATTGTCAGAAATTAAACTAGTCAACAAAAAAGGACGAAAGGTGAAAAGACTCTCATCTTTCTTTATACAAATATCGCGCGCCAAGAGTTGTCTCTCGAATAATAAATTCGTGAAACGAGAATCGTCGGGCTACGCTGGTGATTTCACCAAAGCAGAAGATAATACTCCATCCGGTCTTTATTATGAGACATTTTGATTTTGTGTTAGGTTTTATTTAAAATAGATTTTTAATTGGAAAGAAAATCTTAAAAATATATTTTTATATTTGTTGTATTCTCCTAATTATTAAGAAATGTTTTTAAAATTTTTATTTCAGTTTAAGAAACATCTTAGGTTAAACTTAAGACAAAATCAAAATGCCTTATAATAAGGACCGGAGGGATTACATCCTTAGTCCTAAAATTTATTGTCGAGTTTGGATTATTATTTTTGATACAGACAATAATTTTGGGACAAAAAAAAAAATACTAATACATCATCACCGAATAACCGACCCGAACGCGGAAACCAATCAACCACAACCCGTTTCCGTTCTCCAGATGTATTATAGCGGGGATAATCAGAACCATCATCATGCCGAAGTAGAAGATCCCAGGATGAGAAAACTAATTTGAAACAAGGAAAGGTTCTGAAAGTTAATTTTCCCGCCTTTTTTTTCTTGGAAAAAATAAAAGATTTGATTGTTTGTTGAGAAGGAAAGAGAGGGAAGAAGTGATGAATAACACGACTATTGAGTTCATTGATCTCACACATTGCCCGCGTGAGATCTGTCACCTATTTATAAGATTTTTTTTCGAATCATCCTACTAAATTATCAATTGATTTTGAGATGGAAACCGAAAACATTTCAGAGTATTCTCAGAGTTGATCCTGATTTGCCATGGAGGGGAATAAATAATACTCATACTTTTTTTTTTTTTTTTATTTCTTGCTTGTTGTTATGAACAAAAGAAAGCATCATAATTTCCTTCTTTTCCCCAATTGTATGAGTCACCCCTCTTTAACTCTGTGTTCTGTATATTTTTTTGTCATAGGATATTGCAAGGCTTTCTGGTTTCAAGGGAAACAGATCCAAAAGTCAAATTATTAGTGATGTTAGTGGAATCATCAAGCCTGGAAGGTTTATGTTACTATTGCTGTTTTATTTTATTGAGCCTGGAAGCACAAGCAAAACTTCATTTTTGAGACATGGATAATCCAACTTCGTCGTTTTTTTTTTTTTTTTTGTTCTGTCCACTTTTATAACAAGTACAACCACAGCACAAGTTTAGACACTATTTATTTTCTTGTGATTTTAACATTTTCAATTGCTTTTTTTTTTTTTTTTTTGCAGAATGACACTTCTTTTGGGTCCTCCAGGATGTGGGAAGACATCACTTCTTAAAGCTGTTTCCGGCAATCCTGATGAATATCTGAAGGTATTGCTCCTCCTTTTTTTGCTTCACCAAAGTTAACTTCAACCCGCACTTTCTTTTGACCTTAATTCTTCATTATTAACACATTCTGGTTTTGTAGCATATGTTTAGTTAAAGAACTGAACTTAACATGGGGTTATGCATTCTCATTTAGCCTGCATTTCTTAATAATTAGGCTTGGTTTGATAACTTTCTCTTTTTTTGTGGAGGATTGCTTTGAGTGTCTTGGAGGGACAAGATCAGGTGTGTTGGAGGCAAATTTTATTGGAAATAATGGGAGAATTGTTGAAGTGAATTTCAATTTAAGATTTCAAAAGATGTGAATGAATGATTGTTTGGGTATGTTGTTGTTTGAATGGACAAAGTTAACTTTTCTCTGGAAAAGAATATTAGTAGACAGCCTCAGATGTAATGATGCTGGTGCTTGGTCATCTAATAACTTGATAGGTCAAAATGAACACTTAACAGTCCATTGTTGGATGTGGAATCCTTCCAGGTTAATTTGCTTTTGTTAGTCCAGACAATAGCATATAGTGAAATTGTCATCTCTGGTTACTGATTTTATAGTCGGAAGAACTGTTTATGACAGCCAGGTTTTATTTATTTATTTATTTTTTCCCTTTCGTCTTAGCTTGTCTTCCCTTCCTATCAGGTTACTGGGCAGATAACATGCAATGGATATGAATTGACTGAATTTGTCCCTCAGAAAACCTTAGCTTATATAAGCCAACTTGATATGCATATCCCTGAGATGACTGTCAGAGAAACTCTAGATTTTTCATCTTGTTGCCTAGGTGTTGGAAGCCGAGAAGGTATATTCTGGAGCAGATAATTTTGCTTTTTTTTTTTTCAGTTAATATAACAGTGGTGATAAAGATGTTGACCATGTTTCTCTGCATGTCAAGCTATAATGGCTGAGCTGGTCAGAAGGGAGAAAGAGGCTGTAATCTTTCCTGATCTAGATGTAGACACTTTTATGAAGGTAAATTGGAGTTGTCATAACGTTCGATTAGCATTATACTATTAATATTTATTCATGAGAGTCAAATCACATACTGTTGAATGCATCAGAAGATACATTGCTTTTCTGTACCTTGCTGTTCTTAATTGATGTGGGGAGCAATTTTTGCTGCTTTAACAGGCAATTTCTGTTGGAGGACAAAAGACAACTCTGCAATCAGACTATATCTTAAAAGTACACATCCATCAGTCCTTTTAGTCAATAAAATGACACAATGTATCTGAAATAGAAACATGAACATTTGATATTTTATCCATGATCCCCCGTCAGATGCTTGGACTAGACATTTGCGCTAATACACTTGTTGGAGATGGCATGAGGAGGGGTATTTCGGGTGGTGAGAAGAAAAGACTGACAACAGGTAGTTTAGTTGGCCACTTTTTATACCTAAAACATTTGGGTTATGTATAAAAACTTAATGCTGATAGGAATAACTATGAGTAAGCTTTGAATCTTTTGCTCTCTTGTTGTAATTGGATCTAATATCCAATGTGGTGTCTTATAGGGGAGATACTTGTTGGTCCTTCAAGAGCTTTATTCATGGATGAAATATCAAATGGATTGGACAGCTCAACAACATACCAGATTATTTCTTTTTGTCAGCAGCTTGCACATTTCAGTGATGCTACCATCCTTATGTCACTTCTTCAGCCTGCACCAGAAACATTTGATCTTTTTGATGATATCATCTTGATGGCTGAAGGCAGGATTATCTATCACGGGCCTAAAAGAACTGTTCTAGAATTTTTCGAGAGTTGTGGATTTACATGTCCTGGAAGAAAAGGAGTAGCAGATTTCCTACAGGAAGTGAGTCAATGGCTTCTCCTGGGGATTTACATTTTCTTGCCATTACTTAAGTAGCCTAAAATTTTACATTTTCCTTTCAGGTTATCTCAAGTAAAGACCAAGCTCAATATTGGTGCAGCCGTGAAGAGGATTATGTATACCACTCAGCTGATATGTTTTCAAGGAAATTTCAGGAGTCTACTTACGGAAAGAATCTCATTGAAGAGCTTTCAAATCCATTTTCTACGTCACAGAGCCAGTATAATGCTTTAGACTTTAGCAAATACTCAATTTCGAGATGGGACTTCTTCAAGGCTTGTACATCCAGAGAGTTTCTTATCATGAAAAGAAATACTTTCCTTTATGTTTTCAAACTTGTTCAGGTACGTAATGCCATCACCCCTTTCTTTTTGTACTTGTTATTTATTGTTTCTTACCTAATGAAACCTGAGGAAGATTATTTGCATTATGTGAAAAGATGTATGGGACAATGTACTTGAATTTCAACTCTACAATTGCTAGGCTGTGAGTCACCTACAGAAGAGTATCTCTGATACCTATTTGTGCATCTTCACCACTAAAGATTATCCTACTGCATAACCATACTCTTGTCTTTCCAGATATTGATAATTGCATCGCTTATGATGACTGTGTTCATACGAACAAGGTTGGGTGTTAACATCCTCCACGCAAATGATTACTTGGGAGTGATGTACTTTTCTCTCATCATTTTTCAAGTGGATGCGGCTACAGAGTTGTATATGACATCTGGAAGGCTAAGAATTTTCTACAAACAAAGAGAATCATGTTTTTACCCAGCTTGGGCCTATGCAATTCCATCTACCATCTAAAGGTTCCTCTCTCAATGTTAGAAGCTTTGTTATGGACATCTTTGACATATTATGTTATAGGCTATTCCCCTGAGGTTGGGAGGTAAGTTCTGAGTAATCTTTAGAGTCCAATGTACAGTCTAACTTTCCATCCAGTATAAGCACATTATTCTAACTTCCTATTCCATCTGGACCATTCCAGGTTCTTGCGCCAGCTACTTTTGTTTTTTGCTTGGCATATGGCATCAATGTCCATGTTCCGCTTAATTGCATCTATCAGCCACTCAGTGGTAACCTCTGCAGCAGTTGGTAGCTTTGCAACTTTTTTTCCTCCTTTCTTTAGTGGCTTTTTAATCAGTCGGGGTAAGTACTTAGTTATCTGCTTGTTTTTTCAAAAGATTGAATGAGTACTAGTCGTTGCAGCACATGAGAATTGAGCTTAACACAAGGTGTTTGTCACAGCCTCTATGTCAAGCTGGTTGAAATGGATCTTTTGGCTTTCTCCGGCAACTTATGGTGAGCTTGGCCTTGCTTTAAATGAATTTCTTTCCCCGCGATGGCAAAAGGTGCGGCCTAATCTTCTTGGCTTGATAGAAATGTGAACAACTAGCCCTTTATAATGCTGCAACTTCTAAAGAAAAAGAAGGAAAATTCTATCATGACATACAGGAAAGAAATGTAGAGAGAACAAGAAGTGTGTTAGGATTTGCTTAAACAAGTTTCAATATCATGTGGTTAATGATAATCAGCTTGTTAGCGCTAAACTTACATAGATGACTAAAGAGCTTGTTAGTAACAAGGAAGAATTAGTTTTCATTTGTGTGAAATAACTAACATTCCTGCATCCACTTATCCATTCAACAGTTGTTTTTCTTTTTCAGTCATGTTACTTTTCATTGGAGTTTACCATATTAAAACTGTTTACTTAACAAATATGGCAATAAGATGTTATAAATATATGATATTGTGCCTAAAGACATTACTGATGGCACTTTTGTGCTTTCCATTCTTATGAATTGAATAGCGGGTACTCGGAAACTCAACCTTAGGAAGAGACACCCTCGAAAGCCGTGGGCTTTTCTTTCATGAGCAGTATTATTGGATTTCGCTTGGTGCATTGTTTGGGTTTTCATTAATATTCAATTTTGGCTTCATCTTGGCATTAAGCTTCTTGAAAAGCAAGTTCAGGTTCTCCGTGGTGGTTCTATATGCAAAACATTTTAAATGGCACATGTTTTGAAAATTCTAGATGAACGCAGCTCCAGTTTCTCGTGCTATGATATCAAGCGAAAAGCTCGTTAAAATGAAAGGAAGCATAGCATCTAATGGCCTAGACACTACAAGAAGCCTAGATGCTGAAAAGAGTTCAGAAAACTCCTCCCCAGGTACAACTATAGAATCTGTTCTGTTTTCTGGATGCATCTGAATGCTAACTCCATCATTGATACCAGTATTACTCTTCACATCATGCAGGGAAAGTGGTTTTACCATTTGAACCTCTGACCTTTGTATTTCAAGACCTGCAGTACTTTGTCGAAATTCCAGCTGTACGTAGTCAAACAGTTTTGGTTTTTTTTTTTTTTGTTTGTTTTAAAATATTTTTAAGATCAAGTTGATAGGGAATGGGGGTTGGGGTAATTGAAAACAGACGGAAAGGCAAACCCTAGCTGTAGGGATTTCAGAAAGACAGAGTCTTTCGAAGCTTCAAAAGCTTAAAATTATATCAATATCAAAAACGTCCCCCCACAACTACTGCAGAACCACCCTATTTATAGAGAAGCCTGGCTTATTCCTAAAGCTACTAAAATTGCCTAAAGCTAATTCATAATTAAGGTAATAGAGCAAACAGGAAATTAAACTAAAAGGAAACTTAATTCTAAGAAGATTCTAGCTATTTTCCTTACATCTAATATGAAGCTACCCATATTTCTGAAATCTTCCTGCATCACAAGTTCTGGAACTAGGGAAGGGAATCTGTCTTTGGATTCTATGAAGTTTTGATATAAATCTGTCTTTGGGCTAGTTGTCAAAATGGGTTTAAGAGAAAGGGATTGTTTTGCAGAGAAATAGTGTATACTAGAACTAACAAAATCTGTAAGAGTGAGTTTTGTTGATTTGTTTTGATCAATCACTTCTTCTGCCTTTGTTTGGTCATGTTGAATTTTGTTTAGTCCTTGGTTTACTTCAGCGAATAAAGGAGCAGGATTTCACTAGGAAAAAGCTCCAGCTTCTCCAAGATATCACAGGTGTTCTTAGACCTGGTGTCCTAACAGCACTTATGGGTGTCACTGGAGCTGGAAAGACAACTCTTCTTGACGTGCTTGCGGGCAGAAAAAACATTGGATTTGTCAAAGGGGAAATTAAAACAGGAGGATTCCCCAAAGTTCAAAGGACATTTGCTAGGATTTCGGGTTACTGCGAGCAAACTGACATCCATACCGCACATATCACTGTTGAAGAATCAGTTGTTTTCTCTGCGTGGTTACGTCTTCACCCGCAGATTGATCCAAAAACTAAATCAGTACGACTTCGCAAGTACTACTTCTGTAGTTTGTTTTTCTTCCATGCTGTCCTCATATTAAAGTTGTGGTTGGTGACATACTTTTACAGGAGTTTGTGAAACAAGTCTTGGAAACAACTGAGCTTGAATGTATCAAAGATTCTTTGGTCGGCATTCGTGGGGTCAGCGGTTTATCAACAGAGCAGCGGAAGCGGCTCACAATTGCTGTGGAGTTGGTAGCCAATCCTTCCATCATATTTATGGATGAACCTACAACCGGACTGGACGCGAGAGCAGCCGCTATTGTCATGCGGGCTATTAGAAATGTGGCAGATACAGGAAGAACAATTGTCTGCACCATACATCAACCTAGTATTGACATTTTCGAATCATTTGATGAGGTAATGAAACTACGGGACTTTGACAAAACATTCTCTTGTATTTTTGAATAGTGCAATACTGCAATATTGCAATGTATATGTCTTTTAGCAGAAATGATCCTTTGTTGAAAAGCTTATATGATAGACTAGTGTTTAAATGTACAGTTAATTCTATTGAAAACCGGAGGGCGCCTAACATACGTTGGACCACTGGGGGAACAATCAAGTAGAGTTGTTGAGTATTTTGAGGTATGTATATCTATCTTCCCACAGAAATATGGATGTTAATGTTTTTGTGGAAAGACTGGAAAGTTATCGCTTGTGCTAATTTATTGTATGATTATTCTAACAGGGCATCCCAGGCGTGCCGAAAATAAAGAACAACCACAACCCGGCAACATGGCTGCTGGAAGTCACTTCCACATCTTCTGAAGCGGAACTTGGTGTGGACTTTGCTGAAATTTACAAGACTTCTACTTTATATCAGTAAGAACTGCTGGAGGTTTTCTTTTTGGTAGTGTTGTTGCAGGCCTTCCAGCGGAAATTGCAGAAGTTTTCCATTTTGTTTTGCTTGATGATTGTAAAACTAACACTTGCCTAGCATTTGTTTATTTATAGGGACAACATAGAACTTGTGAAAAGAATGAGCATTCCGCCTCCTGATGTAAACAGTCATGATTTTCCCACTCGTTTTGCCCAAAATGGATGGGGGCAATTCAAAGCATGTCTCTGGAAACAACATTTGTCGTACTGGAGAAGTCCTTCCTACAACTTTGTCCGCCTAATCTTCATGCTCGCATCATCTCTGGTCTTTGCTGCACTTTTATGGAAAAAGGGTCAGGAACTGTAAGTAAAATCACTCAACTGTATTGTTAATTTTCCTTGAACAATAAAAGTTGTTAACAAGCTTCGACGTCTCTAACATTGTACTCGATTAATGTGTCAGAGACAATCAGCAAAGCTTGATTGACATTCTTGGCCTAATGTACAGCTGCGTGTTGTTCAATGGCATAAGCAATGGCTCATCCGTTCTCCTTATGTCAACGCAGAGCGAGGAGTTCTTTATCGAGAAAGATTCGCAGGAATGTACTCTTCTTGGGCTTATGCATTGGCACAGGTTTTAACTAACTTTGGCTTGATATATGATCAGGACAACATGGATCATTTTGGGCTGATTAAGCTTTGGTTTCTGATGAATAATGTTGTACTAGGTTACAGTGGAGATACCTTATAGCGCTGCTCAAGCAGGAATCTTCACAATCATCACGTACCCGATGATCGGATATTATTGGACAGCCTACAAAGTGTTTTGGTATTTCTACTCAATGCTCGGTTCTCTGTTGTACTACAATTACCTAGGAATGCTGATGGCAGCAATCTCTCCAAGCTCTAACGTCGCCGCGGTTTTGCAATCTTCGATTTACACAGTGTTTAACCTCTTTGCTGGATTCCTGATTCCAGGGCCGGTAAGCATTCTTCCACCTTATACCTAGTCTATGGCATTATTACTCATCAAGTTGCTTAAAACCAACTTAAAATTTGTTTAACTAGTATTAGAGATGTAAAAGTTCAAGTTTTGCATAATTTTTGTGCAGCGAATTCCGAAATGGTGGATATGGTTGTACTATATGGTTCCAACATCATGGTCTATCAAAGGAATGTTTGTTGCACAGTATGGAGACATCCACACGCCAATCAAAGTGTTTGGAGGAACGAAGACAGTAGCTCGGTTTTTATCAGATTATTATGGATTTCATCAGCACCAACTGCCTCTTGTTGCCGTGATCTTAACTTTATACCCTATAGTTTTGGCTGTTCTGTTTGCATTTTGTATTGCCAAGTTAAACTTTCAGAAGCGGTGATTTCTGAAAGGGTTGTAAATCATTTTTGTGATGTTAATGAATAAGATTAAAAAAAAAAAAAGGTGTTGTAATTGTGCTATTGCATAATGCCATATCGAGTCATTTGATAAATTCGTTTATTGTTATCATTACATTAGATTAATGGAGTTCAAGAACAAAGTTCCAAAAAATGATTGACAAAAGGGAGGTGATTTGGATTGAACAATATGTCTTTAATGTTTATTGTCACTCTTTAGCTCAACATGCTGAGAAGAAGCATGCTTTCGAAAAAGATTGGGATTCTATTCCCCAATTTGTACCTCACCTCGTACTGGACGGTTTTCGGGAAATTAATGAAATTCTTTCTTCCTCAAAAAAAAATAAAAATAATAATAAATAAAATGCCCCTTTGTGATAAATCGCTCAATTTAATAATTAGGTTACAAAATTTACCATGTGGAAATAGTATTATTGTGGTCGAGACTGTACGTAATACATGTTGCTGGTTTTAACTACAGTTTTGGAATATACTAGTACATTCGGAACGATGTGATTTATGAGATTCCGGGGTTTTTGAGGTTTCTACTTTGGTTTAACCTGTATGTATTTTGGGATATGGAGTGATGAATCCTTGCAAACATACCACTAACTTAGTCCTTCCAATTTTTGTTTGCACTGTTAGTGTTTTGAGTTTTTGTCGGAGTTAACGGAAACAAAGTAGACAGCGTAGCTTCAATCATTTCTGATAATGAAAAATCTGATTGCCCAACAAATACAACAACATAAACTAAGAAAGAAAAGCTGGGACTTGTTAAGATCACAAAATATAAATTTAAAACTTCCAGGATATACAGTGAGCACTGATGCAGGCGGAAATCTCCATAGACTTCAGTTACATAGATTGCACATGCATTATTTATATATATATATATATATATATATATATATATATATATGACGTACAATGTAGCAAATGTAAGTCTAAAGCAGTGAAGAATTTGGTGCAATATGGCTCATTCAGTTGAACCAAATGGCACAGAATCGATGAGAACAGCAGAACCCGTGTTGGAAGGAAGCGTCGAATCAGCCTTGGAGCGTCTTGGCTCCGGTAAAAGTTTGGGACCGAGTGATGAAGGAGAGGATGATTTGGATGAAGCAATAGCGAAGGGATGGGCTGCTATATATGGACTGCCTACTCCAGAAAGGTTAAGATCATCACTGTTTGACGAGATTGATGAAAATGAAGCCAATGGTAAGGATAAGCGGGTAGTTGATGTCACCAAGCTTGGTGCTTCGGAAAGGCATATGTTCATTGATAAGCTTATTAAACACATTGAGCATGACAATCTTCGTCTGTTGCAAAACATCAGGAAAAGAATTGACAAGTAAGACATTTTTCATGTTTTGTATATATTGTTTTGGTTCAGGAAGAATTTTAAGTACAAATTTTCAGGAAGATGTTTAACTCCATATTTTTGTCACTCATCATTCAGAAATATGACTTGTTCATGCTACTTCATTTATCCTTTTCCTACACAGCCATCTATTGAAGATACAGCCGATCAGACCCTGCTGCAATAAAACTAGCCAAGTCTCTTATACTGTATATTGATTAAATGTTTAGTTCACTGCTCCAGTTTATGATGAAATTCTCTTTATTCTTGAATAATTGTTGTCCTTGCATGGTGAACTTAAATGTCCAAGAAAACAAATGACTGAGGATATTCATTTTGAAAATGATTTGTGCAGAGTTGGTATCGAATTGCCCTCAGTTGAAGTAAGATACAGCGATCTACATATAGAAGCTGAGTGTGAAGTTGTTAGCGGGAAACCTCTTCCGACTCTTTGGAATTCTTTCAAAAGTCTGCTTCTGGTAAATATTTTGTAGCATCTTCTCTCCATCTGTTTCTGAGTTATAACACTCATCTTTGATAATCATGCGAGTTTTCCGAATTATGAACTCCTGAGGATGTGCATTGTCTTTATTTACTCTAGGTTGCTACAGATGCATCTCTTTCTTTCACTAGTTGGTGAACACAAAAATTTGCTTTCTGGAAGCCTTAACTCACCATTTATTTTGTTTCTATGATTTTTTTTTTATTTACTCCGTGTAATAGATATAGTTCAAGTAACTTTTTATATTTAAAGCCACTGTTTTATCATGTTCTGCATGTTTCCAGTGTGCAACCTTTGAAAAGTCACAAGGAGTTGACAAATAGGATTAAAATTTGTCTGATGTCTTGTTTATCATCACCATTTGCCTCTATGGACTGAAGATTGTCTTATTAATTCACATACTTGAAGTCCTCTGTACATGTTGTTACCACCTGTTTGCTTATGCGTTTGGGCTTTGGCCTAATTCCGTAACAAGGAGTATATTTTCTGGAGCAGGACCTTACAAGGCTTCCTGGTTTGAAGTCAGGAGTATCCAAGATCCGTCTCATTGATGGTGTTAGTGGTATCATTAAACCTGGAAGGTACACAAACTCTTTCGCCGATCAACTGATAACCTTAGAAGCATTCAAACTTATATTTTAGATTCTATGATTTCTACTTTGTAATGAAGTAAGACAAAGTTCAAGAAGTGAGAACCATCACTAGTTGACCCACTAGTGCCCCTTCTGCAGTCATCTGGTATTTGTGGACAATATTTTGAACTGCATTTGACCATTTTTCAATCGGACATTTGGAGAATCTTTAAAATATTCTATTACAGTAAATGCTCAAAAGTTCTTGTTTTAGCAATAATTTTAAGCTCCTCTTAAATTGTCAAACCTTCAAGACAATGCTGTCTGCATTTTCTTCTCCTTTATGAACTGAAAATTGATAACCTGCTGTGACTTTTGAATGCAGAATGACTCTGCTGCTAGGTCCTCCAGGATGTGGGAAGACCACTCTATTGAAGGCTCTTTCAGGGAATCTGAGCAAATCGCTTGAGGTGCATTGTGAACGCTATCAAAATACATATACGATGATTGATCCAGTCTTGCAGCTTAAAAGACAATGCAGTTATCTTTCTACCAACGAAACAGAAAAGAAAACGAAGAGAAAATTTCAGTTCTTTGGGCTTTTTAGATTTCTTTATTTAAATTTTTCTTTATGGTTTTAAAGAAGTTTATATAAACATTGGAAAGTACTGAAGTAATCTTTCTAGATTTCAATTACTTGAGCATACCACTGATCCATACTTGTTCAATCAGTATTCTGATCAAGAACAGTGCTACAAAAAGTTTCTTAATCTAGTTAAGCTTCGATAGTTCTCAGCAGATATGGCACTGAACTTGTTAGAATCACCTTTAACTGCATTTTCAAATGCCACAAGAGCAATCATTGTGGTTTTACATCCACTCACTGCAATATAACTGATTGTGTTGAACATCTATCTGTTTACAGATATGTGGTGATATAACATATAATGGCTACAAATTGTCAGAATTTGTGCCTCAGAAAACGTCCGCGTATATAAGCCAAAATGACTTGCATATTGCTGAAATGACTGTTAGAGAAACACTTGATTTTTCGCAACGTTGTCAAGGTGTTGGAAGTAGAGAAGGTAAAAAAATCTGGCATACTGCTTAATGATTGGATAATGTAATTTAGAACTTGGCCATTTTTTGGAACTCTTATGACTATCCTTCTTCTAAAGATATTTTGACAGAGCTAATTCAACTGGAAAAAAAAGCTGGAATTTTTCCTGATCCCGATATAGATACATATATGAAGGTAATGTTGCAGATGTTATCATTTGTCATCTCATGTTTTTGTTGATAAACTGGCATTTTCTGAATTCCTTCCTTACATGACCTACTTTTACAGGCAAGTTACATCGAAGGTCAAAAGACAACGCTTCAAACAGACTACATTCTAAGAGTATGATTTAAGAAATTTTTATTGTCGGGTTTAAGGAACTTTGAAGTGCAACATGAAATGATAATACGGTGTACTTTCCAGATACTTGGACTTGATACTTGTGCCGGCACACTCGTTGGAGATGCCATGAGGAGAGGCATCTCTGGTGGTGAGAAAAAGAGGTTAACAACAGGTGGCCTTTATGTTGAAAATTCCATGTTATCAATCTTTGAAGGCTTTAGCCATATAAATTTTATGCTTAAAATGGTAAAAAGTTAGATAGCGAACTTTGTATCGTGGCACAGGTGAAATGGCGGTAGGTCCAACGAGAGCATTTTTTATGGATGAAATATCAAATGGATTGGATAGTTCAACAACATATCAGATCCTAGCTTTCTTTCAGCAGCTAGCACATATTACAGATGCAACCATACTTGTCTCGCTTCTTCAACCTGCTCCGGAAACATTTGATCTCTTTGACGATGTGATCTTGATGGGAGAAGGTAAGATTGTCTATCATGGACCTCGAACCCAAGTCCTGGAATTTTTTGAGAGTTGTGGATTTAGGTGTCCTGAAAGAAAAGGTGTTGCAGATTTCCTACAAGAGGTAAGTCAGCTTTTCGGTTGTTTTGACTTAATTCTGTTTTCTACTTAACTTTCTGGATTTAAAGTTGAGATCTCTGTAGGTGTTGTCAAGAAAGGATCAAGAACAATACTGGTTTGACAGTGAAGAAACATACAGTTATAAATCTATCAATGCACTATCAAGGAAATTTCATGAATCATCTCATGGAAAGACACTTAACAGACGACTTTCTTTGCCATTTGTAAAGTCCAAATTCTACACAGATGCTATTACTTTTACTTCGTATTCCCTTCCTAAGTGGGAACTATTCAAAGCCTGCTTATCAAGAGAGCTCCTGCTCATGAAAAGGAATTCTTTTATCTATGTTTTCAAGTTTGTTCAGGTTAGTTTAAACTCTTGGACTACTCAATTTTCCCCTACCTTTGTTAACTGAGAACTTCATAATCTGTATTCACCTGTAGTAGTAATAAAAGGCTAAAAATTCTGCCTGATATTCACAGGATTGTTTGTATTTTGTGCAGATTCTTTTCAATGCATCCATCACTATGACTTTATTTTTACGAACAAGGATGAAAGTGGATCTTCTTCATGCAAATTATTACATGGGAGCTCTATTTTATACAATCACCATCTTTGTTTTAAATGGATTTCCAGAGCTAACACTCACTGTTGCAAGGCTTGGAGTGTTTTACAAACAAAGAGATCTATTCTTCTACCCGACTTGGGCATACGCGATTCCAACTGCCATTTTAAAGATTCCGCTCTCATTCTTGGAAGCGGTAGTTTTTACTTGCTTGACTTATTATGTCATTGGATATACTCCTGAGGTTGGCAGGTACGTTCTATGTGACAGGACCTTCGTTACCAATTAAAACTTTCATAAGTTTTCAGTGTCACTTTATGATGGAATGCTGACTAAAATACAATTGCAGGTTCTTCAGCCACTTAACTGTATTGTTCCTTGTTCACTTGGCTTCTGTCTCCATGTACCGTTTTATCGCCTCTGTATGCCGAACTCTTATTGCAGCCACAATGGCTGGTAGTTTGCTGCTGTTATACGCCTTTGTATTCCTCGGCTTCATAATGCCAAGATGTCAGTTCTCAACTTAGTGATTGAATTCTGTACTTAGATGCTAATGCTAAATCTAATTCACTTTTGAAATCTAACTGCAGCTTCTATGCCAACTTGGTTGAAGTGGGGCTTTTGGGCTTGTCCGTACTCATATGGTGAGATTGCCATTACTCTAAATGAATATCTTTCCCCAAGATGGAAACAGGTAACTACCATACCATCTTTTTCAATTTTCGATCTCTGTTCAAGTCTAGCTATCTGAATGTTATTTCTTTGATCTCTGGCATAGATGCTTCCATCAAATTCAACTATTGGACGGGAAACACTTGATGTGCGAGGGTTGAACTTCAGCGAAAATATGTTCTGGATTTCGCTTGGTGCTTTATTAGGCTTCACTTTGCTATTCAATATTGGATTCACATTGGCATTAACTTTCTTACATCGTAAGTTCATACTACTCGCCAGCCGAAGCGCAAAATGTTGTAAGAGGAGCACTAATTAACTTTTCAATTGTTGGAATGCATTACTTGTAGCTGTTCATCCTCGCGCTATTATTTCAAAGGAAAAATTCTTTCAATTAAAGAAATGCAGTGAAGTAGAGGAAGCAGAAGTTGTCGAGAAGGAGTCAAAGAGTTCATCTATCAGCATTGTCGCTGGATTGCAACAAGGTGGTTCTACTCACTCATGCCTTGTTAAAACTCGCAGCTCATTTTCATAGAACAATTTCATTCGAAAGCTAAAATGAATTACACATTCTTGTTATTTTGTAGGAAACATGGTGTTACCGTTTGAGCTGTTAACTGTAGTGTTTCAAGATCTGCAGTATTATGTTGATGCACCCTTGGTGAGCGAGACTGCTTACATCGGCTGAATGAGACTATATGATGCGATGTTGAGCCGGATGACATCAACTTGTTTGCTGTTCTGTTTTGCTTTTCAGGCTGTGAAAGAGCATGGCACCCCACAGAAAAGGCTCCAACTTCTTCATGATATTACTGGTACATTTAGGCCTGGAGTTCTTACTGCGCTTATGGGTGTCAGCGGAGCAGGAAAAACCACTCTCTTTGATGTAATTGCTGGCAGAAAAACTAGTGGCACTGTTGATGGAAACATACAAATTGGTGGATTTCCAAAAGTTCAAAAGACGTTCACTCGGATCTCAGGCTATTGTGAGCAAATCGATATACATTCACCACAGATTACTGTCGAGGAATCAGTAATCTTCTCAGCTTGGCTACGCCTTGATCTAAGTATTGATTCGAAGACTAGATCTGTATGTCGACCCCCTAACTACGAAAAATTTTGGTTGTTATTGTACATCTCGTTCATATATTAATTTACCTGTTAAAGTCATTGCATTATATACATGTAGGAGTTGGTGGGAGATGTACTTAAGACCATAGAACTTGATGAGATCAAAGATTCTTTGGTTGGCGTTCCAGGAGTTACCGGTTTATCCACTGAACAACGCAAGCGACTCACAATTGCTGTGGAATTGGTTGCTAATCCATCAATTATCTTCTTAGATGAACCCACAACAGGATTGGATGCAAGAGCAGCGGCTATAGTGATGCGAGCCGTAAAGAATGTTGCTGCCACAGGGAGGACAATAGTTTGTACTATCCATCAGCCAAGCATCGACATATTTGAAGCGTTTGATGAGGTCATTAAGAAAATGCATCCTTGATTCCATTAGTCATCAACAATTGTCTTAATGTTGACATTTCCCTTTACAAATAATTTTGCAGTTGCTTCTACTCAAATCAGGTGGGCGCATGATCTACTGCGGGCCATTGGGTCAGCACTCTTGCGAAGTCATTAAGTACTTTGAGGTAAAATGTATAAAATGTGGGTTCTTTCAGAAAACTCATTATCCTAGAATTCATCCAAGTTCTCCTAAGGTAAAATGTGTAACAGGGAATCTCTGGAGTGCCAAAGATACGGAACAATTATAACCCAGCAACATGGATGTTAGAGGTTACTTCCATATCATCAGAAGCTGCACTGGGTGTAGATTTTGCTGTTGTCTACAAGAATTCTTCTTTATATGAGTGAGTTCGACACCATTTACATTTCATGAATAATTTGCATATATTCAAGCTTATTCCATCAACAGTTTCTGCCTTTCTTTATTCTGTTTGTGTAGGAATAACAAAGCACTTGCAAAGAGGCTGAGTTCCCCACCTGCTGGTGCTAAACCTTTGGAGTTTCCAACAGAGTTTCCGCAAGATGGTTGGGGACAATTCAAAGCTTGTCTTTGGAAGCAACACTTTTCTTACTGGAGAAGCCCTTCTTACAACTTCACGCGCTTCGTGTTCCTTACTATCACATCATTGGTCTTGGGAGTATTATTCTGGAAGCAAGGTCAAAAAATGTGAGTCCTCCTCTCTCTTACTTCTTGCTGTTTCATCGAAAATGATCATTTCTTTGTGCTGTATTATGATTTATACTGGTGGAGTCAAGGACTTCGAATCACTGACATTTATGTTGGCTTGTGTTGTAGAGAAAACCAGCAGAGCTTATTCAATGCGCTTGGTGCAATATTCACCGGAGCATTGTTCCTTGGATTTAACAACTCCTCTTCAATCCTGCCATATGTTAGCACTGAACGATCTGTTCTATATAGAGAAAAATTCGCAGGAATGTACGCTCCTTGGGCGTACGCTCTAGCTCAGGTAGACTAGATTTTTCTCATGTTCAAACGGACTATTCAGTTCCTCCATTGGATTTTTAAGTTTAAGGAGAAAACAGCTGATTTCAGAGTTTGTTACTGACATTTTATTTGTAGGTCGCAATTGAGATTCCTTATATATTCCTCCAAGTAGTGGCATCCACACTGATTACATATCCGATGATCGGATTCTATGTGTCAGCTTACAAGATTTTCTGGTACATGTTTTCCATGTTCTGCACATTGTTGTACTACAACTATCTCGGCATGATGATGATCGCGATGACTCCGAGCTTCCCCCTGGCTGCAATCCTACTGTCAACTTGCTACAATCTGTTCAATCTTTTCGGTGGATATCTGATTCCCCAGCCAGTAAGATATTAAGCACTTCTTCTATTGCAAAGCAACTCTATTTCATTTACTCAAAAAAAAAAAAAAGCCATTTTCTTGCTAGTGTTTCTCATTGGTTTTTTTATGTTGTTGTTCAATGGCAGCAAATCCCGAAATGGTGGATATGGTTGTACTATTTGAACCCTACATCTTGGACCATGAATGCAATGTTTACTTCTCAATATGGAGACATTCACAAACCTATGTTGGCGTTTGGCAAAAACAGCACAGTGGCAGAGTTCATGGGAGACTATTTTAATTTTCATTATCATAAACTTCCAATTGTGGCTGTTATGCTAATTGTCTTCCCAACTGTTTATGCTGGTCTCTTTATGTACTTCATTTCACGGTTAAACTACCAAAAGAGATGATAAATTTTTATAGGTGTAATCTTATGGTTGATTAATTATATTACTCATTCCGTCCCAAATTATTGAATTATTACTTTTAAACAAGGTTGAAAATTTTTGCAAATTAGTCTTAGTCAACAATTTCCAGTAAGGATTGATAGACTTATCCAACCAATATTTTTTTAGGGTTGCAAACATTATAATATTATAATGAAATTAATTTAGAGAGAGTCCTTGTATAATCTCCGTCCCAAAATGATAGTTCTCATCGTTGTATATATTAAGAGTTTAGGACATGATGGAGAGAAACACATACGTTCTCAATTCCGAATAAATAGTCTACGTACAATTCACGATTGATAATATGAATCTCTTTTTTTTTTCTAGGCAAGTAATAATAAAATTAAAAATGTTCAATCAAACTTAATTTTTAAAAGTGACACTTTTTTTTTTTTGAAAAGAAAAGAAATTCATTAAATTCGTGGAATACTGTCCAGAACGGATTGAAATAGAAGAGTAAGATACAATTGGTGATGATATACCATCATAAGATCTAATTAGTAAAGCATGTAATAGTATACACGCAGGGATAAACCTATTCAGATCCATCCATGAGATACATTGTGGACGTATCACGTGACAAATTAAAACTTTGGTCAAGAATACGACGCTAAAATCATGTTCTAAACCCAACAAAATCATAGATATAACTAACAGACCAAGATTGAATCTCCTCGAAACTGAACCTTGATCTTTTGCCAGAAATTTGAGCGATGGATCTGGTTCCATGAACAACCCTCCGTCAGTGCAAATATCAAGATCTGAATCCATAAATTGCAATTCACCTGTGAACAAATCAATAAGAAAACTACAATCGACTGAAGAACAAAATTAACAAAATTCAAATCTCGAAACAAAACATATGTGGATGAAACTCCACTTATTTTAATAAGAAATAGGAAATAAAGGAAAGAATTTGTTTCCCCCATCTCCCTCTAGGGAATATGAAGGGAAGAATTACGGTTTTTCACTTTTTTGTGACCACTTTTGTTAATTCTTACATTAAAGACTTGAGAAAAAAGAAATTTATTTAGCGGTACTAAAATATTACTTTTTACATAAAAAAAAAGTTAGTTCACTGTGAAATTGGATATTTGTAATATTTTTTTAAGAATCTCAAAACTATATGTTGTTTTATTTATTTATTCCCAAACAGGTTACTTTATCGAATACTAGGATGAATACTATGTATTAGATTAATATTGAACAGATTTGTTTATCCCAATTAAGTAATTTTAATAATATGAATCAGTAGAGGAACTCTATATATTAAATTGTTCTACCATTTTATATTGTGTTTTGCATAATATGTTAATATACTATAAAATATAATGAAATTTAAAATTATTTTTTCGCCCAAAAAAATTTAGGGTGAAAAATTAGAAAGACACAATCTTCAAATATATAATCAAAAAGTTTTTTTTTTAGAAAAAAAGATGTATATATCGCGCGTTGACTTTGTTGTCAACTACAGTAGCCCAACGAAAACCTCAACGCAAGGACTTTGTTAAGACTTCGCATTTGGAAAACACGACATCTGTATAGTTTACAAAAAAATTTCTTTTCAAACTATTTTGAGGATATTTAACAAAACCGATGAATATAGTCAACAAAATAAATTTTGTTTTCTTAAGTTTTACTTTTATTTCGTATTACTCGGGCCACAAATATATATTAGTACATATCTTATTCGAAATTTTTCAAAAGACATCTAAAATTTTAAAACATATTTTGAAATACAACCGGTGTTCTGTCAAAATTCAAAGGAAAAAAGAAAAGGAGCAAAACTGAAGTAAAGCACATCATTATTACCATTTTTGTTGTGTTTACCACTTGTTATAAGTTGTAAAATTGGATAAAATAGATGAATAGAAGAATGTGTTATAGATGAATATAAGAATGTATTTTGAAACTCTGTTTTTGGGCTTTCAGATAAGATTCAAAATTTAATTTGTTCTTAATTTACTGGTTCTACATAAAAAAAAATTATTTTACTCCATAAAAATATTAAATGATACACCTTGGGAAGAAGTGCAAGTAATATTTGTGCATTTTCGCCATTGACTGTAAAACATATAATAATCTCTTATGTATCCTTTACATATAATTCATTCTATTTTTCTAATAAAAATTCTTTTTCTTTTCTTGATGATTAAAACTTACCTTTCTTTCATTAGACCCAATGTTTAAAAGTGACCACTTTTGTTGATTCTTACATTAATACTTGCGGAATTGATTAATTCCCCAATAAACATGGACAAAGACTATAAAATGCTCCCCTCATTATGCTCCCCTCGGCGTTGTTTATCAACTACAGTAGGCCAACGTAAACCTCGACACAAAAACTTTGTTAAGACTTTGCATTTGGAAAACACACATCTGTACAGTTTTGCAAAAAAATATTTCTTCTTAAACTATTGTTTACAAAATCGATGAATATAGTCAACAAAATAAATGTTTTTTTTCTTATTGTTACTTTTATCTTATATATATATATTATCCGGGCCACAAATATATACTAGTACATATCGTGCTCGAAATTTTCACAAGGCACTTAAATTTTTAAAACTTATTTTGTAATACAACCGGTGTCCTATCAAAATTCAAACTTTAAAAAAAAAAGAAAAAGAAAGCAAAACTGAAGTAAAGCATATCATTTATAACAATGTTTGTTGTTTTATCACTTGCTATATGTAAAATCGGTAAAGTAGACGGATAGAAGAATGCATTTTGATATTCTGTTTTTGGATTTTAACATGAGATTCAAAATTTAATTTGTTCCTAGCTTACTGGCTGTACATAAAAAAATATTTTATTCCCAAAAAAATATTAAATGATACACTTTGGGGAAAAACTTAGAATATTTTCACCATTGACTATATATAAGGCATTAAATAATCTCCCACGTATTTTTTAGAAATAATTTATTCCATTTTCCTAATAAGAATTCTTTTTCTTTTCTTGATGATTAAAAATTTCTCTGGCATTCATCATACCTAATATTTAAAAGTGACTACTTTTGTTGATTCTCACATGAAAGACTTGAGAAATTGATAAATTCCCAAATAAATGGACAAAGACGACAAAATGCTACATCCGTTCTGAAATTAAAGAAACTCATTTTGCAGAACTCAAAAATTACTGTTTACTCACAAAAAATTAGTTCATTTTGAATTTGGATATCTGTAATATTTTTATTACAAATCTAAAAACTATATGTTGATTATTAATTTAGTTATTTTTGGACAGGTTACTTTATCAAATACTAGGATGGATACTATGTATTAGATTAATATTGAATAGATTTTTTTCCCAATTAAATCATTTTAGTATTTTGAATCAGTATGAGAACTCTATGTATTGAATTGTTTTACTATTTTATATTGTGTTTTACACAATATGCTAAAATACTAAAAAAAATGAAACTTAAAATTATTTTTTCACTCAAAATAACTAATGGTGAAAAATTAGAAAGACACGATCTTCGAATACATAATCAAAAAGTAAAAAAAAAAAAAAGTATATATCTCGCGTCGACTTTGTTGTCAACTACAATAGCCCAATAAAAATCTCAACGCAAGAACTTTGTTAAGACTCTTCATTTGGAAAACACGACATCGGTATATTTTGTAGAAAAAAAATATATTTTTCAACTATTTTAAGGATGTTTACAAAACCGACGAATATAGTCAAAAATAACTTTTCTTTCTATTATTCTTACTTTTATTTTATATTATTCGAAATATATATTTGTATATATCTTGCTCGCAATTTTTCAAAAGACAAAATTTTAAATCTGTTTTGAAATATGTTGGGACAAAGAATCCCACATCGACGTCGTAAAGGATCTGTCACCGGTTTATAAGTATCAAAAACCACCCTATTCGTAGTCAATTGGTTTTGAGATGGAAATCCAAAGTGACTTTGACAAAATACAACCGGTGTTGTATCAATATTCAAAGGAAAAAAAAGAGCAAAAAATTGTCACTGTTGACAAACCAAATTTCACCATGGAAAAGTATCCACGACCATTTGCTGATGTTGCTGATTATTTTTCCACTAATTGATGGAAAGCGACTCAAATTTTATTGATGAAGTATAAAAAATCTCCGAGATAACTCAACTTAATGATGGAAGTATAAAAAACGATAAGAACTATGACTAAATCAAAACAATTTATCCATCCTCTCATGATAGGAAATTGGAAAGAATTGAAGACCGCCGTAACAAAAACGATTGATGTAAAATATTGAGTATGCCTTATTATCAGAGTTCAGATATTACGTGTATATTTGCATTTCTCGTGATATTAGTGAAATGAAGTAGTGAAATAGTGTGAAAAATTATCTACGTAACGGAATGAGATGAATTATATATAAAAAAGAAATTTGTGAAATAGGTGACACATAATGAAAATATTAGCACAAAAAAAGCACCACATTTTATTCATAATAATCTCGTATACTTAATTTGTCAAAATGATTGTGTTGTTTGGATTTCGATCTTTAATATAGTTTGCACTTAGAATAAAAATAGATCCAAATTGGACAACTACTTAGTTTTTCCTCCTTATGTCAGTTTACAAAATATTATTATTATTTTTTTTTTTGTGAAATGATACCTGAGTATTAATTAAAAGATACCTAAATTATTACATTGCATTCTATTATAAGCTAAATTCTGTATCTGCTATCCCCATTTTTAAAATTCAGGGGAAATGGGCAAAATTTCAAGAGAATAATGTAATAAGTTAGTGATGAATGATGATCATCCAAAATTTAAATAAAATATGGAGGGAAGGAAGTAGTGAGCGGCCAATCGCTGATTCGCATCTATCTCGCGATGACCGGCTTCCGGGGTTTTTTTTTTTTTTTTTTTAATTTTGAATAATTCTAACGTGATTTGGGTAAAATGTGATGAATCAAAAAGAGGTCGCAGAGTTTTTTTTTTTTTTTTTTTTTCAAAAAGAGGTTGCAGAAGTATTGGGGCGATTGATATATTTTTGGGAAAAGTCAATTGCAGAAATTTCCTCTTCAAGTCAATTGTATAACATTTAGAAGTACTAATCCAAAAAGTGGAATCTCAATGAACCGCCATCCGGTGAAGCTTAAATCCCATGGGACTTGGCAGTTGTTGATTGATTATTTATGCAGGCGGAAGTCTGAAGACGCAACCTTTCTTGAATTTGTGGGCTTTTTGCTTGCTTCTTTTTTTGTTTTTAGTTCAGAGTCAACTGAATAAGACGGCTAAGTACTTTTGTTTGCAGAAATGATTCTGTTGTTGTTTTATCTGGACTTTGGACTTGACTTTGTCCAAATGAAATTATTGTACAATTATGGAATTATGACTGTTTTTTTTTTTTTTTCAAATGGGTTGTGTATAAATCATGTTCTCATTAACAAATGCAGCAGGGCATTTTTTTAGTAAATGCAGGTTTGAAGCTGTGAAGAAATTTTGTGCAAAAATGGCTCATTCTGTTGAACAAAATGGCTCAGAATCGATGGGGATGGAACACGGGGATAAGTTGGATGAAGAAACTGCGAGGAAGTGGGCTGATATAGATAGGCTGCCTACTCAGAAACGGCTGAGATCATCTTTGTTTGATGAGTTTGATGGAAATAAAGCTAATGGAAAGAAGAAACAGGTTGTTGATGTCACCAAGCTTGGTGCTTTGGAGAGGCATATGTTCATTGAAAAGCTGATTAAGCACATTGAGTACGACAATCGTCAGCTGTTGCAAAAGATCAGGAAAAGGATCGACAAGTAAGACATTGTTCGCCATCTTGTTTTATTCGCCAATGCTGTGAACATGAATATATTGAAGCTGTTTGTTTCAAATGTGTATGCAGAGTTGGCATAGAACTGCCTTCTGTGGAAGTAAGATACAATGATCTGCTTATAGAAGCTGAATGTGAAGTTGTTAGCGGGAAAGCTCTTCCGACTCTCTGGAACTCATTCAAAAGTCTGCTTCTGGTAAATAGTATTTTCTAGTATCTTTTCCTTCAGCTTGTATAACCTTCATCTGTGTTTCATGTGAGTTATCAAATCAAAATTGTTGGATACGTTTATCTTTCAGAGCCTTGCCTAACTGGGTGTTTTCATTGAGCAGGATCTCACAAGGTTTACAGGATTGATGTCACAAGTATCAAGGATCAGCATCATTGATGGTGTTAGTGGTATAATTAAACCTGGAAGGTACATTATATTTTTAGTCAATCAGTATCCTTCCTAACCATGGAAACTCATCTGTATAGTTAAGAAGCGAGAACCTTGCTGTTCAACCAGTTAAACATCCTTCTTTGGTTCATATGGCACTATTAGGCTTTATTTTGGAATTCATTTGGGCTGTTTCAAAGCCACATTTAGAGCACCAGATAAAGTTTGTATTGAAGTTGATGTTCAGATCCTCTAGGTTTAGAAAACATTGAGCACGCTCTAAATGATTGAGATGATATTGTCTTTGTTTTCTTCTCCTTTATCAAATCCAATATTCGATTAACGCCTAAAATGCAACTTGGCTCATCATTTGTCTTTTCATGTTTGTTCTACTCCCAATGCATGTTTCCTGATCAAATTGATAAAGTACTTTGCCGAATTTCAAACGCAGAATGACTCTGCTGCTTGGTCCTCCTGGATGTGGGAAGACAACCCTATTGAAGGCCCTCTCTGGAAATCTTAGCAAATCACTTGAGGTGCTTCCCTTCTCTATGCAAATGCACACATGATCACAGAACTAGTACAGCTACGTAAAGGACAGATTCTCTACATAGATATGAAAGTGAAAAGAAAACAGAAAGAGAAAATGTTGACTCCTTGGCATTCTTACTTTGCTGTAGTAATGATCTCCTTTAGAATCACCCATGTCAATATGCTCTTCTATTTTTAGATCTATCCACTCAATGGATTACGATCAACTGCAGATAATTTGTTGACAGGTATCTGGTGGTATTACATACAATGGATACAAATTGACAGAATTTGTGCCTCAGAAAACTTCGGCTTATATAAGTCAAGATGACCTGCATACAGCTGAAATGACTGTCAGGGAAACACTTGATTTCTCCCTACGCTGTCAAGGTGTTGGAAGCAGAGCAGGTGAGCCTTCGACACACTGATTGTTAATGGTCTAATTTCAACTTATGAAACTATCAAAATTCTTATGCCATTCTCCTCCTAAAGATATTTTGACTGAGCTAATTCGGCGAGAAAAAGAAGCTGGAATTGTTCCTGATCCAGATGTTGATTCATACATGAAGGTAACACTGGCATCTCATGTTTCTCATGTCATCTTTTTTATTTTTTCGTTTTGATTTTTATTTCATTACTCAGTTTCCTTCCTGAATATGACCTACTTTTACAGGGAAGTTCCATTGAAGGTCAAAAAACAACACTTCAGACAGACTACATTCTAAGAGTATGACATCATTTTAGAAGTTTTCTTGACAATTTGTGTGGAACTCTAAAATCCGAAGTGCGATATAAAATGATAAGTGAATGCTATGTGCTTTTGTAGATACTAGGACTTGATACATGTGCTGACACACTTGTTGGAGATGCCATGAGGAGAGGCATCTCTGGTGGTGAGAAAAAGAGATTGACAACAGGTGATTTTTTATGTGAAAAGGTCCATGTTATGAACCCTTTTGAATGCTGAAAAGGGTTCAGCCACATTAGTGTAAATTTTATAATGTTTAAAAGTTGCAAGTTAATGATCACTTATTTCTTGTGGTTGCCTCTGTTCAGGTGAAATGATTGTCGGACCAACAAGAGCATTATTCATGGATGAAATATCAAATGGATTGGATAGTTCGACAACATATCAGATAGTTACTTTCCTTCAGCAGTTAGCACATCTCACAGATGCTACCATACTTGTCTCGCTTCTTCAACCTGCTCCGGAAACATTTGATCTCTTTGATGATATCATCTTGATGGGAGACGGTAAGATTGTCTATCATGGACCTCGAACCCAAGTGCTGGAATTTTTTGAGAGCTGTGGATTTAGGTGCCCGGAAAGAAAAGGAGTTGCAGATTTCCTGCAGGAGGTGAAATCATCTTTTAGGTTATGCTCATTGCAATTCTTTTTTCTACATTTCTTTTTTTTACAACAAACTTAATGTCTCCGTAGGTTATGTCAAGAAAGGATCAAGCACAATACTGGCATGGTAGTGAAGATACATACAGTTATGTACCGATTGATGCATTATCAAGAAGATTTAGAGAATCATCTTATGGAAAAATGCTCAGCGAACAACTATCTTCGCCCTTCGAGACGTCCAAGAGCCATAAAGATGCTATTAGTTTTACTACCTATTCACTTCCTAAGTGGGAACTTTTTAAAGCTTGTTTATCAAGGGAGCTCCTGCTTATGAACAGAAATTCTTTCATATATGTTTTTAAATTTGTTCAGGTTAGCATAAACTGGCATGCTCAGTTTCCATCACTCTCCATTGTTACATTGGAACTTTTCAAACTTGTAGTCACTTTTAGTAGAGACTCAAATCTACTTGAAAACTCACAGTTTGGTTTATGCTTTGCAGATTTCCATCAACGCATCCATAACAATGACATTGTTTTTGAGGACGAAGATGAAAGTCGATCTTCTTCATGCGAACTATTATATGGGGGCTCTCTTCTATGCTATTTCTATTCTGGTTATCAATGGATTTCCAGAGCTGTCTCTCACTGTTGCAAGGCTTGGAGTCTTTTATAAACAAAGAGATTTGTCCTTCTACCCCGGTTGGGCATATGCCATTCCATCTGCCATTTTAAAAATTCCACTCTCTTTGTTGGAAGCGGTAGTTTTCACCTGCTTGACTTATTATGTTATTGGGTATACGCCTGAGGTTGGAAGGTATAGTACGCGAGAACATTTTTACCATTAACATTATTAAGTTCAGAACCATTTTTTTGGCAGATTCATATGTTTCAAATCTGAGTTCAATTACTGAGAATACTAACCAAATGCAGTACTTTCCAGGTTCTTTGGCCACTTAGCTATATTGTTTGTTGTGCATATGGCATCCGTATCCATGTACCGTTTTATTGCCTCTGTTTGCCGAACTGTGATTGCTGCCACAATGGGTGGTAGCTTGGTCTTGTTATACGCCTTTGTCTTCGTTGGCTTCATCATTCCACGATGTCAGTTCTCAAACTTATTCACCGCTCACTCTCTCTTTTTTAAACTACTGCTAGAATAAGGTGATTAACTTTTTAATCCAAATGCAGCTGCTATGCCAAATTGGTTACAGTGGGGCTTTTGGGCTTGTCCATTCTCATATGGTGAGATTGCTGTTACAGTAAATGAATTTCTTGCCCCAAGATGGAAGAAGGTAACCATATATCTTCTGTTTTCAGACTTTATTTTTAAATTCTTGCTGATCAACCTGTTGCTTCTTCATCTGCTGCATAGATGCTTCCATCAAATACCACAACTATTGGACGAGAAACACTTGATGCTCGAGGGTTAGACTTCAATGAAAACATGTTTTGGATTTCTCTTGGTGCTTTGCTAGCCTTCACTTTGCTGTTCAACATGGGATTCACATTGGCCTTAAATTTGTTACATCGTAAGTTTATATAGTACCCATTAATTGAGGCTTGAAAGCCATTTAAGAAAGGAGTAATTAACTATTCAATTATTGAGATTGCAGCTGTTCGTCCTCGCGCTATCATTTCAAGAGACAAATTCTCTCTACTAAACAAAGGCATTGAACTCGAAGAACACGCTGATACGAAGTTGAGGACTTCATCTCTTAGCCCTGGTACTGTACCTCATCAAGGTATTCCTGATGACTCCTTTCACATTTTTCTGCAATCTCACAGGATGTTCATTTATCCATTCAAAAACCATGTCCATAGCTTTTTAAGTTCCATTGAATAATATCATTATGAAGGTGAAAGTTTTTTGAACATCTCTTTTTGTGTTATTCTGAAGGAAACATGGTCTTACCTTTCGAGCCCTTAACTGTAGTATTTCAAGATCTGCAGTATTACGTTGATACACCAGTGGTACGCAACTTATATTGTATCCGAACCACATTTATCTGATTTTTAGCCCCATGACATTGAGCTGTTTTCTGCTCTTACCTTTCAGGCTATGAAAGATCATGGCGTCACCCAGAAAAAGCTACAACTTCTTCATGATATTACGGGCACATTTAGGCCCGGAGTTCTTACTGCACTTATGGGTGTTAGTGGAGCTGGAAAAACAACTCTTTTTGATGTCATTGCTGGCAGGAAAACAAGTGGTACTGTTGAAGGAGAAATAAAAATTGGTGGGTTTCCAAAGGTTCAAAATACGTTTGCTCGAATCTCAGGTTATTGCGAGCAAACCGACATACACTCTCCACAAATTACTGTAGAAGAATCAGTCATCTTCTCAGCTTGGCTACGCCTTCATCCAGATATTGATTCAAAAACTAGATCTGTATGACACTCCTGAAAGTAATGCTTGTTTTCATAGTTGTATATCTTGTGTACAAGTTAACTGAAAACTGTGTTTGCATCAATACTTGTAGGAGTTTGTGGAGGAAGTACTTGAGACCATCGAACTTGATGGAATCAAAGATGCCTTAGTTGGCATTCCAGGAGTTACCGGGTTGTCCACTGAGCAACGCAAGCGGCTCACAATCGCTGTGGAATTGGTAGCCAATCCCTCCATTATCTTCTTGGATGAACCCACAACGGGATTAGATGCAAGAGCAGCGGCTATAGTCATGCGCGCTGTAAAGAATGTCGCTGCTACCGGGAGGACAATCGTTTGTACTATCCATCAGCCGAGCATCGACATATTTGAAGCATTTGACGAGGTGATTAGACAAATTGAATGAATTGCACAACAACCATTACTTTGAATATAACATTTGCTTTACAAATATACTTGCAGTTACTTCTACTGAAAACAGGCGGGCGCATGATCTATTGCGGACCATTGGGTCAGCACTCTAGCGAAGTCATTAAATACTTTCAGGTAATCCAATAATTCAACGTCATTTAGTCCTCAATTCGTACAAGTTCTCATCAGCTTAATTGTGAAACAGGGAATCACTGGTGTGCGGAAGATAAGGAAAAATTATAATCCTGCAACATGGATGTTAGAGATCACTTCCACATCTTCGGAAGCTGATCTCCGTGTAGATTTCGCTGACATCTACAGGAATTCTTCCTTATATGAGTGAGTCTCACATTTGAAAAAAAAAAAAAGCAGCATTGAACTATTTTCACATGTTTGTTACCACAAGGTAGCTCGGGATGATCCATGAATGCATTTCCTTTTGAGGAATGCAAGATGAGTATTTCTACTTACACTAAAACACAATTCTTTACTCTATATTCTTCTAGGAATAACAAAGCCCTTGTAGAGAGGCTTAGCTCCCCACCTGATGGTGCTAAACCTTTGGAGTTTCCGTCTCAATTTGCACAAGATGGTTGGGGACAGTTCAAAGCCTGTCTTTGGAAGCAACACTTGTCTTACTGGAGAAGCCCTTCTTACAACCTGATGCGCTATGCATTCCTCATCATCACGTCTTTGGTCTTAGGAGTATTATTCTGGAAGAAAGGGCAGGAAATGTAAGTGTTCTATACTCATAGTTTGCTTTCCTTATAACAGTACATTGACAAGAGATAAAGGTGAATCATTAAAAGTATAATTTTTCTCTGCTTGGCAATTTATATTGTTGAGTTCATTTGGCATCCTGAAGTATCTATTCTCACTTCTTGAAAGTTTTCAATGTATAGCTTGAGTTTTCAAGTATTTTCACGTGAAATCAACTTCTATTATTTCGTTTTGTTCATTGAAATGATCGCTTCAATTTCTTTCGCTTACTGGGATAGACACATTGCTTGTCTTCTGCCAAGGAACTCAAATCATTAAAATTTGAATTCGTTTGTTTTATAGAGAAAATCAGCAGAATTTATTCAACATACTCGGCGCAATGTTCACCGCAGCATTGTTCCTTGGTTTCAATAATTCGTCTTCTGTTCTGCCATATGTCAGCACAGAACGATCAGTCCTGTATAGAGAAAAATTTGCAGGAATGTATTCCCCTTGGGCTTATGCCCTCGCACAGGTAGATATTTTACCATTCGAATAGATTATTCATCAAATAAGTTTGAATAACCATAACTGATTCAGCTTTCTAACAAACATTTTGTAGGTTGCAATTGAGATTCCTTATATCTTCGTCCAAGTAGTGATATTTTCAGTAATAACATATCCAATGATCGGATTTTATGGGTCAGCTTATAAAGTTTTCTGGTACATGTACTCAATGTTTTGCACATTGCTGTACTACAATTATCTCGGCATGATGATGATCGCGATGACACCAAGCTTCCCCGTGGCTGCGATTCTGCTATCAACTTTCTACAATGTGTTTAATCTTTTTGCTGGATTTCTGATTCCTCAGCCAGTAAGTACTTCTTTAATTGCAAAAACTCGATTTACTCTTAGCCGCGCCAGTGATCGGTATGGTCATCCTATCTCATTGTTGTTTGTTGTTTTTGATTGCAGCAAATCCCGAAATGGTGGATATGGTTATACTACCTGAACCCTACATCTTGGACCATGAATGCACTGTTTACTTCCCAGTATGGAGACATTCAGAAACCTTTGTTGGCCTTTGGGAAGAAAAGCACGGTGGCAGAGTTCATGGGTGACTATTTTGATTTTCATCACCATAAGCTCCCAATTGTGGCTGTCATGCTAATTGTGTACCCAACCGTTTTTGCTTCTCTCTTCTTGTTTTTCATTTCTAAGTTAAACTTCCAAAAGCGATGAACATTTTTTAAGCTGTAGGTTTTGCCATTATGGGAACTGTGTTGTTAGTTAATCTTTAGAAGTAGAAGAGATTAAATAGATGGAATAAGCTAAATGCTAATGAGCATTTACTCCCATGTAATGAACTGTTAGGTGCTTTTTGTTCCATTCATATTCTACCATTTTGATTGTTAATTTACTCTTATCCGTCCCAAAATAAGAGCACTGAAGACGTTCCGGTCGCGGAGGTGGAGGGAGTACATATCTCTCACTAATTTGTAAGGGGGATGTGTTTTCACATTTTTGGGGACAAAGAATGTTTCAAATGGTAGTGGAAGGTTTATACGGAGGGAGTATTACCAAGTGCAAATGTTAAAGCCATGTTGCAATTTTGTTGTTCTACAAGTTCATACTGCAGAAACATCCGCTGACTTTGGGAATTCGTCATCCCATTTCACCTTTGCTGAGCTTTCGCAACTAGTCCTCATGACTGCTTCCAACCACGTTTATTAAGCATTCAAATGATTAGGAAAAATGTGAACATCATATCAGATGCTGCTTCACTTCAGGAATGGCTGGCCAAGGAATATCTGATTTGATGTGATTAGGGATTGTGAGTTTTCAGAATATTCAGTCTCCACGTGAAATAAAGATTATGCAGAATTATGGAGAATCTTCATGCAGGTGGAACTGGAAAGACACAAGCTTTTGATTTGGGCAGGGATTATTTTAGTTCAAAGTCAACTTATTGTGACAGCTTAGTTTTACCTTAACCTAATGAAGATGCTTCATTTTTATTTTTTTTAAGAAGGGTCTGTTGAATCATTGCGTCTTAACCTGGGCTACGTTAGAGAATTTCTGATAGTGATTTCAAATCATAGTGCAAGGTTCACCTAACCATTTCAGGCTTTCTCATTATCTATGAACTGATTAATGCAACCGGGGATTCTTCTATTTATGCATACTGCCTGTTAGTAAGCTAAACCGGCTATCATGTGGCTATCATGCTACTTGTGTACCCAACCGTTTTTGCTTCTCTCTTCTTATTTTTCATTTCTAAGTTAAACGATGAACATTTTTTAAGCTGTAGGTTTTGCCATTACGTGGAACTGTTGTTAGTTAATCTTAAAAGAGATTAAATAAATGGAATAAGTTAAAGACTAAAATGTCCAAATGGTCCCTTACATTTGGTCCTACTTGAATTTACGTCCCTAACATTAACATTTCAATATCCTAGTCCCAAATATTATGTTTTCAAACTTTTTCGGTCCCATTTCACTGCTTCCGGAATCAGGGGTATTTTTGTCTTTTTATTTAATTTGAACTTCAATTAAAATTTAAATCATTAAAAATATTTAAAAATTCAGATTTTATTATTTAATTGTTAAATATTATTTATTAATTAAAAATATTATTATAAAATTTTAAAATTTACATTATTTTCAAAATTAATTTTTCATTTATCATTTACCTTAGGTCAAAGTAAATAATAATTATGTTGCACTTTTAACTTTGGATTCACTGTAACTTAAAAAATTTAACGAGTTACAGTAAATAATTTAAAATTCAATTTCCTTAAAAAAAAAAGAAAAAGCAAAACCATTTTTTTACTCTGACCGCTCAGTAAACCTAAAATGGTAATTATGTTGCACTTTTAACCTTGTACCCACTATAACTTAAAAAATTACCGAGTTACAGTAAATAATTTAAAATTGAATTTTCTTTTAAAAAAAAGAAAAAGCAAAACCAAGATTTTTTTTTACTTTGACCGTTATAGTTGAATTTTAAATTATTTACTGTAACTCGGTAAATTTTTTTAGTTACATTGGGTCCAAGGTTAAAAGTGCAACATAAGGGTTTACTGTAGCGGCAAATTACTTTGTTTTGCTTTTTTCTTTTTTTTTAAAAAATTAAATTTTGAATTATTTACTGTAACTCGATAAATTTTTTAAGTTACAGTTGGTTCAAGGTTAGAAAAGCAATGTAGCGGTCAGAGTAAAAAAATCTTGGTTTTTCTTTTATTTTTGGAAAAAAAAACTAAATTTTGAATTATTTACTATAACTCGAAAAATTTTTAAGGTTACAGTGGATCTAAGGTTAAAAGTGCAACATAATTACCATTTAGAGTTTACTATAGCGGTCAAAGTAAAAAGAATCTTGGTTTTGCTTTTTCTTTTTTTTAAAAAAAATAATTGAATTTTGAATTATTTACTGTAACTTGGTAAATTTTTTAAGTTACAATGTGTTCAAAGTTAAAAGTGCAACATAATTACCATTTATTGTTTACTTAAAGGAAATACTAAATGAAAAAAGTAATTTTGAAAATAATGATAAATTTTAAAATTGTATAATAATATTTTTAATTAATAAATAATATTTTAACAATTAAATAATGAAATTTGAATTTTAAAATATTTTTAATGATTTAAATTTAATAAAAATTTAAATTAAATTAAAAGACAAAAATAGCCCTGATTCCGGCATGTCAACGGCCAGAAACAGTGAAATGGGACCAAAAAAGTGTGAAAATATAATGTTTGGGACCACGATATTGAAATGTTAATATTAGGAACGTAAATTCAAGTAGGCCCAAATGTAAGGGATCATTTGGACATTTTAGTCTAAGTTAAATGCTAATGAGCATTTACTTCCATGTAATGAACTGTTAGGTGCTTTTTGTTCTATTCATATTCTACCATTTTGATTGTTAATTTACTCTATCCGTCCCAAAATTAGAGTCCTGAAGACGTTCCGGTCGCGGTGGTGGAGGGAGTACATATCTCTCACTAATTTGTAATGGGGATGTGTTTTCACATTTTTGGGGACAAAGAATGTTTCAAATGGTAGTGCAAGGTTTATACGGAGGGAGTATTACCCAGTGGAACTGGAAAGACGCAAGCTTTTGATTTGGGCAGGGATTATTTTAGTTCAAAGTCAACTTATTGTGGCAGCTTAATTTTACCTTAAACTAATGAAGATGCTTCATTTTTACTTTTTTTAAGAAGGGTCTGTTGAATCATTGCTTCTTAACTTGGGCTATGTTAGAGAATTTCTGATAGTGATTTCAAATCATATAGTGTAAGGTTCACCTAACCATTTCAGGCTTTCACATTATCTATGAACTGATTAATGCAACAGGGGATTCTTCTATTTATGCATACTGCCTGTTAGTAAAATGCAGGTTTAAAGCAGTGAAGAATTTGGTGCAATATGACTCATTCAGTTGAAGGAAATGATCAGGAACCGGGACCCGGAAAACTAGAGTTGGAAGGCAGCTTCAGGTTGTCGTCGCAGGGTCTCAGCTCCAGCAAAAGTTTTTCAGGATTGCGCAACGTGATGGAGGATAATATGGATGAAGAAACTGCAACAGGGTGGGTTGCTATAGATAGGCTGCCGCCTGAAAAACGGGTAAGATCATCTTTGTTTGATGAGGTTGACGTGAATGAAGCCAATGGTAAGAATAAACAGGTTGTTGATGTCGCCAAGCTTCGTGCTTTGGAGAAGCATATGTTCATTGAGAAGCTTATTCAACACATTGAGGTTGACAATCGTCAGCTGTTGCAAAAGATCAGGAAAAGAATTGACAAGTAAGACATTGTTCGGAATTGATACTTACTGTCTGCTCCTGGAAGGATTTAACTTGTTAGTTTGGTTACCTATATAATTCAATTGATTAGAAACATTACTTGTTCATTTGACCTAATGTCCTTTGGTGCATGATGCCTGGTTTGCAGACTCAATGCAATGACACGCTGTTACGACTATATTCTGAATTCCCTGATGTCCTGAACAAATGTTTAAGTAACTTTCTCTGATTTGTGATGAAATTCGTTTCATTTGTTTTTGCAGAGTTGGTATAGAACTACCCTCTATCGAGGTAAGATACAGCAATCTACTTATTGAAGCTGAGTGTGAAGTTGTTAGTGGCAAAGCTCTTCCGACTCTTTGGAATTCATTCAAAAGTCTGTTTCTGGTAAATATTTTGTTGTATATTCCTTTCCTACTGTTTATGACCTTCATCAACTTTCATGTGAGTTCCTGAACTAAGAATTGCAGCTAAACTCATAGTTTAATTCTCCTCTTAACTGACCTCAAATCACCCCCAACTGAAAAGTTTTTTATAACATTCATTGATTTTACTTTAGATGGAGTCTCTTTTTGTTCATTGGCGGACCAGAAATCAGAGTTTCTCGAGACCTGACGTTCGGCATTTATGAATCCTCTGAAATGAGTCTGTTCCTGCTAATTTATCTGTATTCTTTTTTTTCTCCTTACTCAGTGTTTAATCTATGGATCCAAGATTGATAAAGTAGCCTGTTACGCATTATATATGCAACAAATGGATGTTATGCTTTACATATCTCTCATAACTTGAAGTCGTCCTAACATCATGATGCCGCCTCCTTCTCTCAAAATTTTGCTCTTGTTGCCTGATGTTGGTATTCTTTCGGGAGCAGGATCTTACTAGGCTTACTGGGTTTACGTCACGAGCATCCAGGATCAGTATCATTGATGATGTTAGTGGTATTATTAAACCTGGAAGGTACATGATTTTTTTCTTTTGATCATGTACTCCTGTATCTTTCTTAACAATTGAAAAATCATATGTACTTGTTAAGTCATGACTTCAACATTGTAATGAAGAATGAGTTCAAGCAGTGTGCTTGTTCAACTTAAACCTGTGAGAGCTCCTTCGGAAATCTGGTATCTGTACGCTTTAATTTGGAATGAATTTGACCATTTTCAAAGCCACATTTGGAGCATCTTAGAAAGTTTGTATTGAAAAAGTTCATATTCGCACACTCTTGGTTTAAAAAACTTTGAGCACCCCGTAAATGGTTGAACCCTGAAGATAGTATTGTGCTTGCTACTTGGCTCATCATATTTTTTTTCTCCATGTCTTCCATCAGTTCAAAGTATTTGTGTGTTCTTACACTCTTGTCATGTTTAAAAAGAGAAAGCTGACATGAAGCTGTCACAATGGGAATGCATTTTGATTGCAGAATGACTCTGCTGTTAGGTCCTCCAGGATGTGGGAAGACAACTCTATTGAAAGCTCTCTCAGGGAATCTTAACAAATCGGCTGTGGTGATTTGCTTCTCTACAATGCATATACACGGGTTATAAACTAGTATTGATTCTTAAAGGACATTGAAATTTACTACAGATATTTTGCTGACAGGTATCTGGTGATATTACATACAATGGATATAAACTGACAGAATTTGTGCCTCAGAAAACGTCTGCTTATATTAGCCAGTATGACCTTCATAATGGTGAAATGACTGTCAGGGAAACACTTGATTTCTCTCAATGGTTTCAAGGTGTTGGAAGCAGATCAGGTAGGCCTTTTTTGCATGTTCATTGCTGCTGGGGTAATCTCTGTTACAATTTTTAGCAATCACCAAAATGATCATGATGACTATCCTCCTCCTAAAGAGATCCTGTCAGAGCTAATCCGCCGGGAAAATGAAGCGGGAATTCTTCCTGATCCAGATGTAGATACATTTATGAAGGTAATTATTCGTCATATCAAGTTCTTTTTGGATAAAAATGGTATTTCTTTCCTCAGTTTTCTTTCCGGAATTTTGACCTACACTTTTTACAGGCAAGTTCGATTGAAGGACAAAAAACATCCCTTCAGACAGACTATATTCTAAGAGTATGATGTGATCATCTTAGAAGTTTCCGTGGCGAGTTGTATGAAACTTCATTTTCAAAGTGCAATTTCAAATAGTAATTACTGTTGTGTGCTTTTCCAGATACTAGGGCTTGATACTTGCGCCGACACTCTGGTCGGAGATGCCATGAGAAGAGGCATCTCGGGTGGTGAAAAAAAGCGATTGACAACAGGTGATTTTCATATCAAACAATAGCTAGTTCATGAATGAAAAATGCACTTATACCAATACCAATGTGCAGGTGAAATGATTGTCGGGCCAACAAGAGCTCTATTTATGGATGAAATATCAAACGGGTTGGACAGTTCAACAACGTATCAGATTGTTACTTTCCTTCAGCAGTTAGCACATCTCACTGATGCTACCATACTTGTCTCACTTCTCCAACCTGCGCCGGAAACATTTGATCTCTTTGATGATATCATCTTGATGGGAGACGGTAAGATTGTTTATCATGGACCTCGAACCCTAGTCTTGGAATTTTTCGAGAACTGTGGATTTAGGTGTCCTGAAAGAAAAGGAGTTGCAGATTTCCTGCAAGAGGTGAAATCATCTTTTAGGTTATCCTATTTGCAATTCTTTTTTTCAGAACTAACTTAATGCCTCTGTAGGTTATGTCAAGAAAGGATCAAGCACAATACTGGCATGGTAGTGAAGATACATACAGTTATATATCCATCAATGCATTATCGAGAAAATTTAGAGAATCTTCTTATGGAGAAATGCTTAGCAGACAAATTTCTTCGCCGGTTGAGACATCCAGGAGCCATAAAGATGCTATTACTTTTACAACCTATTCACTTCCGAGGTGGGAACTTTTAAAAGCTTGTTTATCAAGAGAGATCCTGCTCATGAAAAGGAATTCGTTCATTCATGTCTTTAAATTTGTTCAGGTTAGCAAAAATAATGTGCTCAGTTCTACTAATGACAATCTGTAGTCTCTTGTGGTAAAAATATACTTGAAAATTCACCGTTTTGTTTTATCTTTTGCAGCTTTCCATCAATGCATCCATAGTCATGACTTTATTTCTAAGAACAAGGATGAAAGTCGATCTTCTTCATGCAAATTATTATATGGGATCACTATTCTATGCACTTTACGTTGTTGTTGTGATCGGATTCCCAGAGTTATCGCTCACTGTAGCGAGACTTGGAGTCTTCTATAAACAAAGAGATTTGTCCTTTTACCCAGGTTGGGCTTATGCTATTCCATCCGTCATTGTAAAGATTCCGCTCTCATTGTTGGAGGCAATCATTTTCACAAGCTTGACTTATTATGTTATTGGATATAGTCCTGAGGCTGGAAGGTAAGTTCTTTGTGATGAGACCTAATATTTCATTGTGTTAAGTCTGTCTTTACATGTGATTTTACTAGAACACTGACTAAACATGCATTACTACTTCCCAGGTTCTTCGGCCATTTAGCAATATTGTTTGTTATGCATATGGCATCTGTATCCATCTATCGCTGTATTGCCTCTGTTTGCCGCACTGTGATTGCTGCAACTATGGTTGGTAGCTTGGTCTTGTTGTACGCCTTTGTCTTCGTTGGCTTCCTGATTCCAAGATGTCAGTTCTCAACTACTTATTCATCTCATTCTCTCTTTTTTATGCTGATGTTACGTTAACATTCTGAACTTCTTGTCTCAATGCAGCTTCCATGCCAAATTGGTTAAAGTGGGTCTTTTGGACTTGTCCATACACGTATGGTGAGATCGCCATCACAATAAATGAATTTCTCGCCCCAAGGTGGAAGATTAAGGTAACCATGTTGATTAGTCTTGGATAGATATTATGATCTTCTCTCTTGCTCACTGACTGTTCTTTCCCTTCATTTGTTGCATAGGTGCCTGCATCAAATACCAACATTGGACACGAAACACTTCATTCTCGAGGGTTGGACTTTCACGAAAATTTGTTCTGGATTGCGCTTGCTGCTTTACTAGGCTTTACTTTGCTGTTTTATACAGGGTTCACATTGGCCTTGACATTTTTACATCGTAAGTTGTATAGTTCCCATCTTGAGGCTTTCAGAAGTTTTAAAACCAGCAGTAACGAAACATATCAGTTATTGGGATGTAATACTTTGTAGCTGTTCGTGATCGTGCAATCATTTCAAGGGAGAAATTCTCTGAATTAAGAAAAGGGGTGGAATTAGACAAAGTGGAACAGGCAGACACGAAATCTAGGAGTTCGTCTACAAGCATTGTTGCTCGGTCTCAAAAAGGTATTTACTCATGGCATCATCCAGCTTTTTTGCAATATCATGATGTGAAAATTTGATTAATTTGATTTCAAAGCTAAACCGAAGAATGACCATTTCTTGTGTTGTTCTGAAGGAAACATGATCTTACCTTTCGAGCCCTTGACTGTGGTGTTTGAGGATCTGCAGTATTATGTTGATACACCAGTGGTACATACAACTTATATTATTATACTCTTACAACATTATATGATGTGAAAATTTGAGACCGATTTCATCGACGTTTATTGATGCTCTTATGGTTTCAGGCAATGAAAGATCATGGCTTCACCGAGAAAAAACTCCAACTCCTTCATGATATTACAGGCACATTTAGGCCTGGAGTCCTCACGGCACTTATGGGTGTCAGCGGAGCTGGGAAAACCACTCTATTTGATGTGATTGCTGGCAGAAAAACTAGTGGTACAGTTGAAGGAGATATAAGAATTGGTGGATTTCCCAAAGCTCAAAATGCATTTGCTCGAGTCTCAGGTTATTGTGAGCAAACTGACGTACATTCTCCACAAATCACAGTAGAAGAGTCGGTCATCTTCTCAGCTTGGCTACGCCTTCATCCAGATATTGATTCAAATACTAGATATGTATGTGAAGGTTTTTTGTTTCATTCATAGTACTGCAAGATCTTGTTTATAGAATTACTTATTTGAAAACAGAATGATGTAGTGTTTGCATCAATGCTTTTGTAGGCGTTTGTGGACGAAGTACTTGAGACCATTGAACTTGATGGAATCAAAGATGCCTTAGTTGGCGTTCCAGGAGTAACCGGTTTGTCCACTGAGCAACGCAAGCGGCTCACAATCGCTGTGGAATTGGTTGCCAATCCATCCATTTTCTTCTTGGATGAACCCACAACGGGATTGGATGCAAGAGCAGCGGCGATAGTGATGCGAGCTGTAAAGAATGTTGCTGCCACGGGAAGAACAATCGTCTGTACTATCCATCAGCCAAGCATCGACATATTTGAAGCATTTGATGAGGTGATTAATAATGTGTACCATTAAATGCGTAATCCATCAACAGCTCAAACAGTTTAACATTTTTCCTTTTGCAAAAATGTTGCAGTTACTTTTACTGAAACCAGGCGGGCGCATGATCTACTTTGGTCCATTGGGTCAGCATTCTAGTGAAGTCATCAAATACTTTGAGGTCATTTTCTAGAACTAATAGAGTAACTTTAACAACATGTTTTCTAGTTTTATCCAAGTTCTTATCAGAATGATTGTGAAACAGGGAATTTCTGGTGTCCCAAAGATACGGGACAATCATAACCCGGCGACATGGATGTTAGAGATCACTTCCATATCTTCAGAATCTGATCTTGGTGTAGATTTTGCTGATATCTACAAGAATTCTTCTTTATACGAGTGAGCTCCACATTTAAAGCATAGATTGAACTGTTTACATATAAGATTACCCTTAATCAATAGATTTTGCTGATATGTATCTTTATTCTATTCTTTGTAAGGAAAAACAAGGTGCTTGCAAAGAGGCTGAGTTCTCCACCAGTTGGTGCTAAGCCTTTGGAGTTTCCAACTGAGTTTCCGAAAGATGGTTGGGGACAATTCAAAGCTTGTCTATGGAAGCAACACTTGTCCTACTGGAGAAGCCCTTCTTACAACTTGATGCGCCTCGCGTTCCTCACCATCACATCTTTGGTCATTGGATTACTATTCTGGAATCAAGGCCAGAAAATGTAAGGGTTTTTTTATTCCAGCAATTGACTGCTTGAAAGCTGTTGATATTGTTAAGTTTCGTTGGATAGTTCTGTATATTATGTCACTTTTTGCATTGACATTTGCATTCGTTTGTTCTGTAGAGAAAACCAGCAGAGCTTGTTCACCGTACTTGGTTCAATGTTCGCCTCAGTAATTCTCCTCGGCTTCAACAACTCTTCTTCAGTTCTGCCATATGTCAGCACAGAACGATCTGTCCTGTGTCGAGAGAGATTTGCAGGAATGTATGCCCCTTGGGCTTATGCTCTCGCACAGGTAGACATTTAACTAATCAAAATTGATCATTCATCAACTTTAGTTTTGATTAAACCATAACTTGACTCAGCTTTCTTGCTGACATTTTTGTAGGTTGCGATTGAGATTCCTTATGTCTTCGTCCAAATAGTGATATTTACAGTGATAACATATCCAACGATTGGGTTTTATGGATCAGCTTAAAGATTTTCTGGTACATGTACTCGATGTTTTGCACATTGTTGTACTATAATTGTCTCGGCATGATTATGATCGCGATAACACCGAGCTACCCAGTGGCTGCGATTTTACTATCAACTTTCTACAATGTGTTCAATCTTTTTGCTGGAGTTTTGATTCCTCGGCCAGTAAGCATTTCTTTTACTGAAGATCTCTTTCAGATTTTCAGCTTTTCTGATCAGTGTTACTCATCATTATTATTGTTGCTGTTTCAAATTACAGGAAATACCCAAATGGTGGATATGGTTATATTATCTGAATCCTACATCTTGGACCATTAATGGAATGTTCACTTCCCAATTCGGGGATATAAACAAACCCATTTTGGCATTCGGAAGAAACAGCACGGTGGCAGAGTTTTTGGGGGAATATTTTGATTTTCATCACCATAGGTTACCAATTGTGGCAGCCATGCTGATTCTGTACCCGACTGTTTTTGCTTGTCTCTTTTCATTTTTCATTTCCAAGTTGTACTTCCAGAAGAGATGAAACTTGTAATTAAACTACTGTTTAATTTCATGAGTCTATAAATGTAAACTGATTGTGATTGTGGTTGGTGAAAGTTGGGACACTTGCTGATGAAAGATATGTTTATGCAAACATCAGAGTCGAGAAATTATTGTTCGGGGCTTACTGTAAATCTTTTAGAGTGAAAAACTCTAAAAAACATTTGTGTTTAAGACTAAAATGTCCAAATGGTTATTTACATTTGGACATATTTGAATTTACGTTCCAAACATTAACATTTCAGAATTGTAGTTCCAAACATTATGTTTTCACACTTTTTTGGTCCCATTTTATTGTTTCCGGCCGTTGACATGCCAGAATCAGGGGTATTTTTGTCTTTTAATTAATTTAATTTTTTATTAAATTTAAATCATTAAAATATTTTAAAATTCAAATTTCATTATTTAATTTTTAAATATTATTTCTTAATTAAAAATATTATCATACAATTTTAAAATTTATCATTATTTTCAAAATTACTTTTTTCATTTACTAATTACTTTAAGTACACAACAAACAGTAATTATGTTGTACTTTTAACTTTGGGCCCACTATAACTTAAAAAATTTATCAAATTACAGTAAATAATTCAAAATTCAATTATTTATTTTAAAAAAAGAAAAAGAAAAAGTAAAACTAAAATTGTTTTTACTCTGACGGCTACAGTAAACCCTAAATGATAATTATGTTACACTTTTAACCTTGCGCCCACTGTAACTTAAAAAATTTATCGAGTTACAGTAAATAATTCAAAAAAAATTTAAAAAAAAAAGAAAAAGCAAAACCAAGATTTTTTTTGACTTTGACCGGTACAGTAAACCCTAAATGGTAATGATAATACATTTTTAACCTTAGACTCACTGTAACTTAAAAAATTTACCGAGTCACAGTAAATAATTCAAATTTTCATTTTTTAAAAAAAAAATAAAAAGCAAAACAAAAATTTTTTTTACTCTGACCGCTATAGTAAACCCTAAATAGTAATTATGTTGCACTTTTAATCTTGGACCCACTGTAACTTAAAAAATTTACCGAGTTATAGTAAAGAATTCAAAATTTAATATTTTTTCCAAAAAAAAAAAGAAAACCAAGAGTTTTTTTACTTTGATCGCTACGTTGCTCTTTTAACCTTGGACTCACTATAACTTAAAAAATTTACCGAATTACAGTAAATAATTCAAAATTTAATTTTTTCTTAAAAAAAAAAGGGAAAAGCAAAACAAAGTAATTGACCGCTACAGTAAACTCTTATGTTGCACTTTTAACCATAGATCCAATGTAACTTAAAAAATTTGCCGAGTTACAGTAAATAATTCAAAATTCAACTGTAGCGGTCAAAGTAAAAAAAAAATCTTGGTTTTTCTTTTTCCTTTCTTTTTAAAAAAATTGAATTTTGAATTATTTTACTGTAAGTCGGTAAATTTTTTAAGTCATAGTGGATCCAAGGTTAAAAGTGCAACATAATTACCATTTAGGGTTTACTGTAGCGGTCAGAGTAAAAAAAATAGTTTTTCTTTTTTTTTAGAGAAATTGAATTTTGAATGATTTACTGTAATTCGGTAAATTTTTTAAGTTAAAGTGAGTCCAAGGTTAAAAGTACAACATAATTACTATTTACTTTGACCTTAGGTAAATGATAAATGAAAAAATTAAGTTTGAAACTAATGTAAATTTTAAAATTTTATAATAATATTTTTAACTAATAAATAATATTTGAACAATTAAATAATGAAATCTGAATTTTGAAATATTTTTAATGATTTAAATTTTAATAGAAATTTAAATTAAATTAAAAGACGAAAATATCCCTGATTCCGGCATGTCAACGATCGGAAACAGTAAAATGAGATCGAAAAAGTTTGAAAACATAATGTTCGGGACTATAATATTAAAATATTTGTTAGGGACGTAAATTCAACTAGGTCCAAATGTAAAGGACTATTTGGACATTTTACTCCGTGTTTAATTTATCATATCTTGTGCTCCTATAATATTATGTTGTCAAGTAAAATCTCAACACTCACATATAATAAATATCCAAGTCTCCATGTGTACTTTCTGTGTCGGCACCACAAACATTCAATCCTTACATGCAATGGTTTTTTTTTTTTTTCTTGAACATACACAATCCAATGAATTTTTAATGTACTTTTGTATGGTCATATTACCAGAACAAGATATATTTAAATATGTTGGGCCCGGTATTCCCCTTAATTGGGTCAACAAGGAAACAAATAAAACCAAGCCAATTTTGGCTTTGGTTTTAGGAAACAAAACCTACTCCAATTGGTTTTTTGTTTTTAGGTTTTTTTGCTCTATAAAAGCAAGGTTTTGGCATAATTTTTAGGTGTGTATTTTTCAGCCAAGAGAGAAGAAAAATTTGGGCAGCTGTGCATTGTTTTGTACGAGAGAAAAAGAAAGAAAGCTAGGGTTTAGTTTTCGGTTTAGCTCTCTTTTGGTTAGATCCTTCCAGTCCTACTTTGTGATAGGTGTGTGTGGAAGAGTATTGTTGTAATCCACCTTTGGGTGAAGTCTTATGTATCCACCAGTCGGTGAAGACTGTTTTCCCATTATTGTGATAGTGGAGATTTGACTGTTGTTACAGTCTCGTGGTTTTTCCCGATTTGGGTTTTCACGTAAATTTGCGTGCCTCCTTTATTTTATCAGTTCTTGAGTTAGTTGTTTGTTTGGGTGGTTGTCCTATTTTATTGGTAGTAGGAAAGGAGTTTTTCTTGGGGCTCGCTTCCGCAGTGTGTTGTGCTTATACCCTTTCCGCCACAACAGTGGCATCGAGCTGTGTTCGTAATCGAGGTGTTACACCAATAAAATGGAAGAGTCATCGAGTACTGGTACGATGATTAAATTGACTTCATCCAATTATCATATGTGGAAGCCTAGAATGGAAGACTTATTGTATTGCAAAGATTTGTTTGATCCTGTTCTAGGGGATGAAGGTAGGCCAAGCGATATGACTGATAAAAAGTGGGCCGATATGCACAGAAGATCGTTGGTAATATTCAACAGTGGATTGATCAAAGTGTGTTTCATCACTTTTCGGGAGAAACAAAAGTCGATGAACTTTGGAAGAAAATCCAGAATATGTACTGGAAGAAGTCCGGCATCAATAAGTCATCTGCGCTGAAACAGATTACCAAGTTGAGGTACAAAGATGGTGCTAGCATGAATGAGCACTTGAGTTCGTTTCAGGGTTTGTTGAACCAAGTCTGAATGTAGGTTTAAAGTTGGATGATGAGGTGCGAGGCTTTGTTATTGTTTAGTTCTCTTCCAGACGGTTGGGACACTTTGGTAGTGTCAATCAAGAATTCAACTCGGGATGGTGTCTTGACCTTGGATCAGTCAAAGAGGCTTTGATGAATGAAGAAGTCGAAGAAAAGAGCGAGTATTGAGTCCGAGTCACGTGCTTTGGTGACGAAAAGTCGATAGAAGAGGAGAAGTAAAGGCGAGAGGGCCACGTGATTGGAATGACAAGTCCAGGGACGGTCTAAATCCAAGAAAGATGTCGTGTGTTACCATTGTCAAGGGAATGGGCACTTTAAGAGGGAGTGCAGGGTTCTCAAGAGATAACTAGCAGCGAGAAAAGGTAAAGGCAAGAAGGATGAATCAAGTGATGATGACACTACTGCAGTAGTAACTACCGATGATGTATTTGTGTACTATGATGATGATACAATTAATGTTGCGAGTCACGATGGTGATTGGTTCGGTGATTCAAAGTGCGTCTTATCATGTGACGCCTCACGTACACTTGTTTACCTCTTACATACCGTAGATTTTGGTCGTGTAAGAATGGGCAACCAAGCCTCATGCGATGTTGTCGGCATGGGAGAGGTATCTTTGGTAACGAATACAGGTTGTACTCTTGTCTTGAAGAATGTCAGACATGTTCCGGATATGCGTCTGAACCTTATTTCCGTTGGTAAACTTGATGATGAGGGTTATCATAGCACTGAAGGTGGTGGTCGTTGGACAATTACCAGAGGGAATCTTGTTATTGCTAGAGGAAAAAAGTTGAACTCTTTGTATGTGTTGAATGCAAAGTTGAAGAATGGAGAGGTGAATGCAACTCACAATGGCTCCATTAATCTCTGGCACAGAAGGCTTGGACACATGAGTGTTAAGGGGTTGCAGATTCTTGGTAAGAAGCAATTTCTCCAGAGGTGAAAGGTACTGCTCTAGAACCTTGTGTTGACTGTATCTATGGTAAACAACATAGGGTTTCCTTTCAAAATTCTCCTCCATCTAGAAAGTCCAGTGCTCTAGAGTTTGTTCATACAGATGTATGTTACATGAAAGATAGGTCGTTGGGTGGAGCATTGTACTTTGTTACTTTCATTGATGATTATGCTCGAAAGGTTTGGTGTTTTTCTTTGAAATCTAAAGACCAGGTATTAGATGTGTTCAAAGACTTTCACCTTAGAGTTGAAAGAGAGACTGGCAAGAAGTTGAAGTGTGTTCGAGCAGATAATGGTGGTGAGTACAGGGGTCCGTTTGAGAAGTATTGCCGAGACCATGGCATTAAACTTCAGAAGAGTGTTCCGAAGACTCCGCAGCAGAATGGCGTGGCAGAAAGAATGAAACAGAACTATTACCGAAAAGGTTAGGTGTATGCTCTCGAATGCAAAGCTGCCTAAATCTTTTTGGGGTGAAGCCATGCAAACAGCAGTTGATTTGATCAACCTATCTCCCTCAGTTCCGTTGGATGGTGATCTACCACAACGAGTTTGGATAGGGAAAGATGTCTCATTTAGGCATTTGCAAGTTTTTGGTTGTTGTGCCTTTGTTCATATTTCCAAAGATGAAAGGTCGAAGCTTGATGGCAAATCCAAGCAGTGTGTATTCTTGGGGTATGGAAATGATGATTTTGGGTACAGACTTTGGAATCCTGTAGAAAAGAAAGTTTTCAGAAGCAGAGATGTGATTTTCTTTGAAGACCAGACCATTGATGATATGGGACAAGGCAAGATGCCAGAATCTTCACCTGAGATTCCTGTTGATTTAGATCCAGTTCCTCCACAATCAAATGATTCTCCTGAAGGGGGAGCTGAGACAGAGCAGGATGGTGAGTTTGATGATGATCCTGCCATCAAACAGACACCACCGGTTTCATCACCTCCTGTTCAGCCTAGGAGGTCCACCAGAGACAAGAGACCTTCCACTGTGCATGGTGCTCATGAGTATTTGTTGCTTACTGATGGGGGAGAGCCAAAGTCGTATGAAGAGGTTCTTAGTCATGAGCAGAAGATCGGTGGTTAGCGGCCATGCAAGATGAGATCAAATCCTTGCATGAGAATAACACGTATGACTGTGAAGTCGCCTAAGGGCAAGAGAGCACTCAAGAATAAATGGGTGTTTAGACTAAAAACAAGTGAGAACACTCACAATCGAGGTACAAAGCCGATTGGTTGTGAAGGGATTCAATCGAGAAAGGGCGTAGACTTTGATGAGATATTCTCTCCTGTTGTAAAAATGTCTTCAATCCGAGTTGTGCTTGGGATAGCGGCCACTTGAATCTTGAGATTGAACGACTTGATGTGAAGACTGACCTTCCTGCATGGTGATTTGGAAGAAGAGATTTACATAGAGCAACCAGATGGGTTTCAGGAAAAGGGGAAAGAGAAGCTTGTATGTCGTCTCAACAAAAGCTTGTATGGGTTGAAGCAAGCTCCGAGGCAATGATACAAGAAGTTTGATGCCTTTATGATAGGGCAAGGATACCAAAGGACTACAGCTGATCATTGTGTGTTTGTGAAGAAATTCTCTGATGGTGATTTTATAATTCTTTTGCTTTATGTCGATGACATGTTGATTGTTGGTCATGATATTGCAAAGATTTCCAGGTTGAAAATGGAGTTGAATAAATCCTTTGCGATGAAGGATTTGGGTCCGGCTAGACAGATCCTTGGGATGAAGATTTCTCGTGACAGACAGAATGGGAAGCTTTGGGTATCTCAAGAGAAGTATATTGAGAAGGTTCTTGATAGATTTAACATGAGCGGTGCTAAGGAAGTTTCGACTCCACTTGCAGGGCATTTTAAGCTAAGCAAAACGCAGTGTCCTAAAAGTGAGAAAGATAAGGAAGAGATGAAAAGGTTCCTTATGCTTCTAGATTAGCGACCTAATGTATGCGATGGTTTGCACAAGGCCGACATAGCTCATGCGGTTGGGGTTGTTAGTCGGTTTCTCTCCAATCCTGGTAAGGAGCATTGGAATGCTGTGAAATGGATTCTCAGGTATCTTAGGGGTACTTCCAGATTGAGTCTTTGCTTTGGCAATGGAAAGACCATGTTGGATGGATATACAGATGCTGACATGGCGGGTGACCTTGATGGTCGAAAGTCTACTTCTGGATACTTGATGACTTATGGAGGGGGAGCGGTTTCATGGCAGAGTAGATTGCAGAAATGTGTTGCTTTGTCTACTACAGAGGCGAGTTTATCGCAGCATCGAATCTTGTAAGGAAGCACTTTGGTTGCAGAAGTTTCTACAAGAACTTGGCATGAAGCAAGAGAAGTATGTGGTGTATTGTGATAGCCAGAACGCTATTCACTTAGCGAAAAATTCCACATTTCATTCGCGGTCAAAACATATTGATGTGAGATATCATTGGATTCAAGATGTGTTGGAGTCCAAGGCGTTGTTTCTTGAGAAGATCCATACGGATGATAACGGTGCCGATATGTTGACGAAGACCGTGAGAGAGAGCTTTCGCTCAGAGAGGAAGCGTGTTTGGTTTTACCCCCAATTGAGGTGAAGGGGAGATTGTTGGGCCAGTATTCCCTTAATTGGGTCAACAAGGAAACAAATAAAACCAAGCCAATTTTGGCTTTGGTTTTAGGAAACAAAACCTACTCCAATTGGTTTTTTGTTTTTAGGTTTTTTTACTCTATAAAAGCAAGGCTTTGGCATAATTTTTAGGTGTGTATTTTTCAGCCATGAGAGAAGAAAAATTTGGGCAGCTGTGCATTGTTTTGTACGAGAGAAAAAGAAAGAAAGCTAGGGTTTAGTTTTCGGTTTAGCTCTCTTTTGGTTAGATCCTTCCAGTCCTACTTTGTGATAGGTGTGTGTAGAAGAGTATTGTTGTAATCCACCTTTGGATGAAGTCTTGTGTATCCACCAGTCGGTGAAGACTGTTTTCCCATTATTGTGATATTGGAGATTTGATTGTTACAGTCTCGTGGTTTTTCCCGATTTGGGTTTCCACGTAAATTTGCGTCCTCCTTTATTTTATCGATTCTTGAGTTAGTTGCTTGTTTGGGTGGTTGTCCTATTTTATTGGTAGTAAGAAAGGAGTTTTTCTTGGGGCTCGCTTCCGCAGTGTGTTATGCTTATACCCTTTCCGCCACAACAAAATATAATAAAGCCCATCAACCTCTTGGAAATCTGCTGGTTTTGGCAAATAATGTATCTTATATAATGAAGTGAATGAATTGGCATTTAGCAAGCTTGGGAATGATATTTTAGGAATTGTGGCCCATCCCTAGCATGCTCAGTTCATCCATGGAGATACAGATCCCAATCCTTTTGACCCTCATTAGTTTTCCTTCTTCATCATCTGATAATGACACAAATGAAATTATTGCAGCTTTCCTGAATTAAACTTGTCCCAAAAATCAGCTGCAGAAGAAACTACTTAATTTTCTTCATTGAAGTTTGTTGCTTGACTGTGTTTTTCAACTGGTCAATAACACTGACATTGTGTAATTTACATTGAACTGCAATAGTTTGAAGTGTTGAAGCTGTGAAGGCTTTTTGTAATACGGCTCAACAAATTTGTGGGAATTCTCTGGATTTCCAAAGTATTGACCTTTCAAAAATTGGAAAAAATGGGTTGACCTTGTCATCCCAAAGATCAAACTCCTGAAGCCCAGAGTGATTCGGGTTCTGAAAAGGATCGCAATGTCGATGAAGATTCTGCTCAGAAGTGAGCTGTTATTGTAAAAATGCCTACAGTTGAACAGTTGAAATGGTCTTCGTTTCTTGGTGATAAGAATGGTGAAAAAGGCGGTGATGAAAGGAAATTGCGAAGGCTGGTTGATGTTACAAAGCTTTCTATGCCTGAGAGATGTTCATTGATTGAGAAGCTGATTGGAGATGTTGAGCACCAAGATTTCCAACTGCTGCGGAGAATTAGAGAAAGAATGGATAAGTAAGTTTGTTTCTCATTTTCATATAGATGATTATCTTCAAAATTTGGGGAATTAAGATAGATTCTTACTGTTTTATGATTTTGGATATGAATTCATGCAGACTCGGGATAAAGAATCCTACTGTTGAAGTAGGATATCGAAACCTACATGTTGAAGTTGACTGTGAAGTTGTTGATGGAAAGCCACTCCCAAGTATATGGAATTCCTTGAAAAGCATGACTTGGGTCAGATTATGGAATTTCGCATCTTTGATACTTTAGGCTTGAAGTTTGTAGTTTATTTCTTTTTTCAGAATCCAACAATTCTGCAATCAGTAAGCCATTTCTTTTGGATTCTGGTTTGCAGAACCTTGTGAGGCTTCCATGTTTGAAGCCACAGATTTCCAAGATCAGCGTAATTAAAGATGCAAGCGGTATCATCAAACCGGGAAGGTAACTGCAGCTTATTTATCCTCCATAGAGAGAAAATGCTCCAACTTCTGCACCTTCATTTAGGAACATCCATACTCCAGCAATTTAAGTCACTATATACTTTTTGGTGCAACATTGAACCAGATGAATAGATAATATGATCTGCCGTTGGATTGCAGGCTGACTCTATTGCTAGGACCTCCAGGAGCTGGGAAGACAACCTTTTTGAAAGCACTTTCAGGAAATATTAGCAAATCCCTTCAGGTACTTTATTTTCTCAGCTCTACCCTTTGAAGCTTTTGAATTGCTGAAGATTTTACCCTGCATTGTTGATCCAAGGCTCATTCAGTTAGAAAGTTTTAGCTTATTAGCTTTCAGGAGGTTTTAAGTAAAATATTGGACAAGCCACAGTGCCTTAAAACACAGCAGGCTTTCCATGTACTATTAGTCTTTTACTGATGGAATAAGTCTCTGATTGCAATTTAAGAGTGTAGGGTGCAGTTTTTTGTCTCTTATCTTGGGATGGAGGGAGTAAATCGGCCATACCTGGGGAAAGAAAAATTGTTGTAGAACTTTTATGGAATATAACAGGCTTCCATTCTTCACTTGTCCATGATAGGTTACTGGGGAGATTTCCTACAATGGATACAGGCTAACCGAGTTTGTTCCCCAGAAAACGGCTGCCTACATAAGTCAATACGATCAGCATATCCCAGAAATGACTGTTAGAGAAGCACTTGATTTCTCATCCTGCTGTCAGGGTGTAAACAGCAGAGCAGGTACACCAAACTCTCACCGAAAAAAAGAAAACCAAATGCAAATATTTACAGCAATGTTGGTTTCTGAAGATTTGTATAGTTGACGATTTCACTCATTGGTGTGAAGAAATTATGATGGAGCTCATTAAAAGGGAGAAAGCAGCAGGAATTCTTCCTGATCCAGACATAGATACTTACATGAAGGTAACATTGCCATTAGGCCATTCAGAGGCCTGACAAATAAGGAAGTGTTGCATTGCTCACTCACAAATCTTCGGCTTTATCCTTGCATTTTTCTGTCATAGTAATATCCTAATATGTGCTTCTTACAGGCGATTTCTATCCAAGGACAAAAAACAACTCCCCAAACTGACTACATTTTGAAAGTATGTTCAGTTTTGTTTTGGAACTCTGATATTATGTTTTCAAATTCATCTTCCCTTAAATTTGATATTTGTTTTCCATTTCTGTAAGATCCTAGGACTCGGTACATGTGCTGACACGATTGCCGGAGATGCCATGAGGAGAGGCATTTCTGGTGGACAAAAGAGAAGACTGACTACAGGTAACCATTCGTAATCTACGTCTATGAAGGATGGTTTGACTTGACTATGATTGTGGCACGAGAGCTTTCGTTGAGATTCTTTTCGTTCTTTTAATCTCTTCCCTCCCTTTCATTTTACCTCTTCCATTTCAGCTAAAAAGATCAATTCCTTTTAATAATTGGAGTTGATCCTTGTAAAGTCATGTTGGTTATGGATTATGTAAAAGAGACTCAGAAAATGAATGAAATGCTTGTCATGATATGGATGATTATTACAGGTTTCTGAACTGAAGGAAAGAAGTAATTAGATGTAAGGCAAAATTCGTCCTGATGATTATTTCATTGACTCAGGAGTAATTGCTGTTGTGGAAATCTGCATTTTTCGTATTCAATTAGTCTGTTCATCGTTTTCAGGGGAGATGGTTGTCGGCCCAGCAAAAGCATTGTTCATGGATGAAATCTCAAATGGATTGGACAGTTCAACTACTTATCAGATGGTTTCTTGGCTTCAGCAGTTGGCACATCTGACTGATGCAACCATACTGGTGGCACTGCTTCAGCCGGCACCAGAAGTATTTGATCTCTTTGATGACATCATCTTGATGGCTGAAGGAAAAATTATTTATCATGGACCTAAAAGTAAGGTTGTGGAATTTTTTGAAAGTTGTGGCTTTAGGTGTCCTGAAAGGAAAGGAGTAGCAGATTTTCTCCAGGAGGCAAGGGCATTATCAATACCCTTAATCAATTCTGTTATTTGTAGTGCTTTCAAGTAAATTTAAATTCATTATGTTCTTAAAACTCAGGTGATTTCAAGGAAAGATCAAGCACAATATTGGATTCAAGGTGAAGAAAGCTACAGTTACATTTCTGTAAATACATTTTGTGAGATGTTTAAAGAAACATCTTATGGGAAGATGCTGTATCAGGAGCTTTCGCAGCCAACTGTCAAGTCCAATGACCAAAAAGATGCACTTAGTTTTGATGTATATTCTCTTCCAAAATGGGAACTCTTTAAAGCATGCCTCCGTAGGGAGTTTCTCCTGATGAAAAGAAACTCTTTTGTGTATGTGTTCAAAGCTGTTCAGGTTAGTAGGAAGGCATCCGATGTTCTTCATCCTTCATCCTGGTTTGCCTTCTTGTTTTGCATTTCCCCTTCCAAATAGCCCTTCTGCTCATCCTTGTGTTTAATGCAGCTTTTCATAATTGCATCAATCACTATGACTGTATTTCTACGAACATGGATGGATGTCGATCTTCTCCATGCAAATTATTATGTGGGGGCCCTTTTCTATGCGCTTGCAATTCTTCTAGTCGATGGGGTCCCAGAACTGTCAATGACTGTTTCAAGACTTCCAGTTTTCTACAAACAAAGGGATATGCAATTCTACCCAGCATGGGCATACACAATTCCTGCTGCCATCTTAAAGATTCCCCTCTCATTGCTAGAAGCCACTGTCTGGACAACTTTAACTTATTATGTGATTGGTTTCAGCCCTGAGGCCGGAAGGTCAGTATGATGACAGTTCTGATTAAATGAGCTTAGTAAATCTTTGTCTTAAAGGAAAGGCAAAATGCGAGTGACAAATCTGTTTACTGAAATTTTCAGGTTCTTTCGCCAGCTAGTGCTATTTTTTGCTATTCACTTGACATCCATATCCATGTTTCGGTTCTTAGCATCCATCTGTCGGACTCTTGCTGCGTCTACAATTGGGGCTAATTTGACAGTGTTGTTTGTCTTCCTATTTAGTGGCTTCATAATTCCTCGACGTAAGATTCTTACGCTTTTTTTATTCACTGCCTACAATCTTGTTACAACTAAAAAGAACAAGGGACTCAGGCAGCACATTTGCTTGCAGCTACAATGCCAGTGTGGTTGAAGTGGGGTTTTTGGATTTGTCCATTGACGTATGGCGAGATTGGCCTAGCAATTAATGAATTTCTTGCACCAAGATGGCAAAAGGTAATGTATGATATTCCACAACACTCTAGCTTTATCTGCTTGCACTTTCTTTCAAAATATGACAGAAAATAAACTGAACTTCATGAGTTACTGTTCTAAATTTCTTGAAACATTTGGAAAGGCTCGAGATCATGAAAATTTGGACCTCTTATTTTCAATGGCCTGCACTCCTAGTGCTGCTAATCTGCTCTACCCATTGAATGATCACACAGTATTGCATTAAATTTCAGCATAACTTCTAGGACAGAGAAAGAGCAATGAGTTATTGTTTGTTATGCTCAAATACAATCTGAGCTCTGAAACCCTTCACAGATGCAAAGCCACTTTGATCAAAGTCATATTCATCCAATATAAATGGTTGTTTCACTTTCCTAAGGATTACTTTCTTGACTTTGGCATTTGCTTCAGACCCTTCCAGCAAACAACACTATAGGGCAAGAAGTCCTTGAAAGACATGGTTTGAAGTTTGATGGTATCTTCTACTGGATTTCACTGGCTGCTTTGTTTGGGTTTACGATACTCTTCAACACCGGTTTCATTCTCGCCTTAAGTTTCTTAAAAGGTAAGATTTTTCGTTCATAACAAGTCATGATTGACTTCTTACTGAATGTATGAATTCTTATCAGCTTCATTTTCAGCTCCTGGTTATAGGGCAATCATCTCAAGGGAAAAATTCTCCAAAATGCAAGAAAAAAGTACTACTTCCTTTCATGTGGATCAAGAGTTGAGGAATACTACTTTCAGAAAAGCTAAAAGATCAGGTAATTTCATTTTGCTGATATTTCTTCCAAGCATAGTGCCCATCTGTCTAATTCTCTCAGCAACATGAACTCTTCTCTACCCTATTGCAGAAAGAATGGTTTTACCTTTCCAACCTCTGGTAGTAGCGTTCAAAGATGTACAGTACTATGTGGATGTCCCCATGGTAATCAATCAATCCAATCTGATGGTGCACTTTGAATTTTTGATCAGAGCATGAAGTAGTTAATCATCCTCTCTTCTCAGGCAATGAAGGAGCACGGCTTCTGCAAGAACAAATTGCAACTTCTTGATAGTATCACAGGCGCATTTCGACCTGGTGTTCTTACAGCACTTACAGGTGTATCTGGAGCTGGAAAAACAACTTTGCTTGATGTTCTATCTGGTAGAAAAACAATTGGAACGATGGAAGGAGAAATAACAATTGGAGGCTTTCCTAAAGTTCAGAAGACGTTTGCTCGAGTATCTGGTTACTGTGAACAAGCAGACATACATTCTTCTCAGATTACAGTGGAAGAATCGCTTGTTTTCTCTGCTTGGTTGCGCCTTCAAACTGGAATTGATTCAAAAACCAAATATGTATACTGTGACATCTTCTTATAAAGCCCAAAATTCTCTTCCATGTTTTCCTTTAAAATATTATGTATTTGAAATGCTGTGGAATCTCTCCAGGAATTTGTACAAGAAGTCCTTCACACAATTGAGCTTGATGGGATCAAAGATTCTTTAGTAGGTGTTCCAGGGGTCAGCGGTTTGTCAACTGAGCAACGCAAGCGACTTACAATTGCCGTTGAACTGGTTGCTAATCCCTCCATAATTTTCATGGATGAACCTACAACTGGATTGGATGCAAGAGCAGCTGCAATCGTGATGCGAGCAGTGAAGAATGTGGCTGATACAGGGAGAACAATGGTTTGCACTATCCATCAACCAAGTATTGACATTTTTGAAGCTTTTGATGAGGTTAGCCACATGAAAGAAAGAAAGAACTGCAGAAAATTGACACTTGTCTGGAACTTTAATTTGTTACTTGGAAAAGAATCCACACAACATAATTCTCCTTGATAATTCTTTCAGCTTATTCTTTTGAAAACTGGAGGGCAAATGGTATACTTTGGACCACTGGGCAAGCATTCGAGTGAAGTGATCAAGTATTTTGAAGTAAGTTTCCTATCACTATCAGTTTTACTAATAGAGCTCTTATTTACTTACATCTAAGTTGCCATTATTCTCACAGGCTATTGATGGTGTCCCGAAAATAAAAAGGAATTATAATCCAGCGACGTGGATTTTGGACGTGACTTCTGCTGCATCTGAAGCGAAACTCGGGGTAGACTTTGCTCAGATCTATAACAAGTCATCTCTCTATGAGTAAGTAGTAATGTAACTGAGCTTATTACATTCCAACCTGTGTCCTGGATTTCTTTAAGTGAAGGACATGTACTAATTAAAATACATTTGTTGAGCTTCTTTGGAAGGTTTGTTACCCAGTGCCCTTTGGTGTAGGAAGAATATGGACACTGTAAAGATGTTGAGTGCTCCAACTCCTGGTTCTAAAATTCTGGAATTTCCAACCCGCTTTTCACAAACAGCATGGGGACAGTTCAAAGCTTGCCTCTGGAAACAACACTGGTCTTACTGGAGAAGCCCGACATACAATCTGACCCGCGTTCTCCTCATGACTATGGGAGGCCTGCTTTTTGGAGGACTGTTTTGGAATCAAGGCCAAAAACTGTGAGTAGAATACACTGAAATCAATATTACATACTGAATCCGCCATGCCTGCACATTAGCCATTCAGTTGTTTCTTAAAACTCAGGTTTTATTCTGGTTTGATGCTTTAAAGTCCACTTTCTATTGATTCAACTCATTCTTTTCTTTATGCCCTTTCCATTTTCTTGCCGCACATGAATATTACTTACACATATTTGAAAATGTTGCCTGAAGTATTGCATTAGCCTCCAAACTTAGTTTGAATTGAATCTCTTCAACATATAACAGTGACATTGTTTATCTTTTAGGAATGATCAACAGAGCCTACTCAACATATTCGGATCAATGCTCATTACCCTAATCTTTGTTGGTGTAAATAATTCTTCTTCAGTTTTACCATATGTCAGCACGGAGCGAACTGTTTTCTATCGCGAAAGATTTGCAGGAATGTATTCGTCATGGGCTTATGCCGCCGCCCAGGTACCTACCTGTACATCACAGTGAACTTCAGAGTAAAAATGCAGATGAACTCTGACATGATACTAAAGCTAGCCTCTTGCATAACTTTACTTACAGTATGCTTTTCTTTGTAAATTCTTCATTTTTAAGTAGCTGCATATCCTGTGCAGGTTGTAATTGAGATTCCATATAGTTTTACCCAAACACTAGCATTTACAATCATCTCATATCCAATGATTGGATACTATTGTTCAGCCTGGAAGTTCCTGTTTTACTTCTACACCATATTCTGTACATGCTTGTACTTCAACTATTGGGGAATGCTGCTGGTTTCCATTACATCAACCCTTCCTCTTGCATCCATTGTGCTCTCAGCTTCTTACACAATGTTCAACTTATTTGCTGGATTCTATGTTCCTCGACTGGTAAGCATATGTAAATGAAATTATAAACACTCAAAGCTGTAAATATTATAGTCTAGATATATATATATATATATATGGGATTGATATGTGATATGATAGCCAGCGGTAACTTTTTACGTACGTCCTTCCCCGAGTCATGCCACATGTGTACCATTCTAGAAATGTGTATCATTGGACCCTCAAATGTTGGAGATGTTATTTACCACGTAGAGGCTACAAATGATTTTGCATTTCATTTATCCTAAGTACTGAGTAGTAGGATTATATCACTCAAAGCTGTAAATATTATAGTCTAGATATATATATATATATATATATATATATATATATATATATATATATATATATGCTCAAGTTATTAGTCCTTTTTCCTTCTCTTAAATTTTACAATTACAAGTACTACAACCTTAACCTACAACAAACGAAGTGTATTATTTTACTGATAAGACACGATTCAAAAAAAAGTGACGTAAAGGATGTCGGGGAAACGAGATTCAATTCAATTTCATTTCTAAATATTTAGGATTTTTTGGCTTGCAGAGAATTCCCAAGTGGTGGACCTGGCTGTATTATCTAATTCCTTCATCATGGGCTCTTAATGGTTTGATTACTTCACAATTTGGAGATATCCAAGGAGAGATTGAGGTGTTTGGTCAAACTACAACTCCAGCAACCTTCATAAAACACTACTATGGATTTGACCACAATCAATTGCCTCTTGTGGCGTTTATGCTGATCCTGTACCCACTCACTTTTGCTCTTCTGTTTGCTTACTTTATTGGGAGGTTGAATTTCCAAAACAGGTGAAAAAACTGTTTGACTAATGAGTTTTGACTCCGTATTAATTCATTTTGTTTGAAGTACATTTGGAGACAAATTACAAGTTTTTTTTAAAAAAAATGTCATGCTTCCTTTAATTTCCCTCCATCCAAAATAAAGGATCTTGTTTCATAGACTTCTTTGAAAAATAATAAAACATGACTTTTCTTTTTAACAATAAACATGACTTTTATTTGGAAACAAAATATATTGTGTAACTTTGTCCTTTTCCGGTTGAAAGAAATAGGCAAATTAGCATTGTCTAGTCCAGGTGGTTTGGTGGTTTGTTGTGGCTAAAGGAGTCACCAATGGTAGTAAAACCATGATTAAAGCATGATATAATTGGAATTTCTTATCAGCGAGCAGTAGTTACCTGATGATTTAGGCTAACGCCTCCTTTTTTGTATATATATGTATATATATATATATATCTTACTATATTAGAAACAAAAACCACACTTAAGAGAAAGTACCACCATTTGCCATGTGGCATTTCCACATCATATTTTTAAAATAAATTTTTATTTCTATATCTCCTAAACTTAAAAGGCAAATGCAGTCCAAATTTATTTCTACCTCCTATTTTCGTCAAAACAAACAAAAAAAAAAAACCATGGGTTCATAAAAAACCCAAGGCCTCATCCCCATCGCCACGACAATCGACTCCTTAATTAATCCCTTCTCCACAATTAAAAAAAAAAAAATTCCTCATCAATCATCAATTTAGAATATGTGGTGAAATATGCTCCTTTCCTATTAGCATGTTCAATCTTTTCATTAGTGATGATCAACTACATCCTAATCGGATAAAATTTTAACTTCAAAAAATATTCTCTTTACCTCTCTATATAAACACAAAGGAAAAAAAAAATTCTCATTGATTTTGCTTCGGCCGTTGTGGTGGTTCCATTACAGGTATTAAAATTTAAATAATTTTATTTTCACAGATAATTGGTTTGGTTTTTATTATTTTTTATTTTTCCCGTTCAAGAATAGTGTTATTACTATTATTTTTATTCGTCCATCCGTTACAGCTACCGGAGCCGTTGTCAGGTAGTATGATGTGATTTCTTATTTAGTTAGTTAGTTTAGAATTTTTGTATGATTTTAATTATGTTTGGATTGAATTGATTGATTGGGTTTTTATTACAAAGTGTGATTTTTTAAATTTATTTTTTATGTTTCATTCAATTAGAGTGATTTTCTTTTTTTAATTATAGAGTCTCAGGTTTTTTTCGTATATGGCTAGTTATGAAGTGTGTTTTTTCTTTGTTTAATTGCTTTTGATTTTGTTTCATACTCCCAGTTGACCAATTATTATTATTATTATTATTATTATTATTATTATTATTATTATTATTATTTTATTTGCAAATGAAGCACATTTTTTTTTTGTTAGGGGTTTCAAGAATATACTTTTTTGGATTTGGTTTTTGGACTTTTTTTAGTTTCTCATCATATAAATAGTTCAGGTCGCTTCTTTTAACTAATTTATGGGGAAGCCTTTTATGAATTTGAGGTGGAGAGGGAAGGAATGATATTTTTACGTTTATTTGTGTTTTTATACATCATTTTTATCTAAAAAAAAATAAAAATTCTCAAATTTTAATGGGTTATCTTTTATTTTTTTTTATTTGCCATAGTGAAGTGAGTTCTTTTTTGCTATATCTTGAAACCTATGTAAATTTACATTATTTTCATTCTCATATTTGTGATCAACCAGTTTCAACAATTAACCAGTATCAAAATCATATTTTTGATATTTTACTACCTATAAACTTTTGGAAGAAATAGTTCCAACAATTAAGCGTATACCCTTTGGAGGAAGCTAACTACAAAGCTATTATAAATCTCCAAAACTAAGTATTTATTTGGCACAACCAATGGAGAACATCAATAAATTATCTTACTAATATTTAAACTTATTAGGATGCTTTTATATTTTTTCTAGCATTTACTTCAAGACATATATTTGATCAAGTTTATTTATATCTAAGAAGTAACATTTATAAAACATTTCTAAAATCTTCAAACATTTCTAAAACGTACCGGGCCAAATACAATTTATTTTTATGCCAAATACAAACATCACACTTATAAAACATTTCTAAAATTCTTCAAATATTTCTAAAATATATTGGGTCAAATACAAAATATTTTTTTTTCAGATACAAACATTTCTAAGATCTACAGATCTATTGGGCCAGTGTCGCGCATTGCGTGACCAGACATCACTAGTATATATATATATATATATATATATATATATATATATATATATATATATATATATAAAGGAATAGGCAAATTAATGCCAAATGTGTATATGAATGAATATTTATGATTTATTTGGAGTACATGTATTCATATCCACTTCATGGTGAAAACTCGAACGTGATTCAACAAGTTTTATTCCTAACGTTCTCGTGCAGTTAAACCCTAAGATCAAAATCAATTCATTCATGTATACAACTTATCAAAAGAACTAAGAAGTTATTGTGTACAAATGACTGTATCTAAAACGTCGTACAACAAATCAATCAAATTGGAATAAGGACACTGTAATGAGATTGTGAAATGAAACAATGAACAGCAAAGACATATCATTTCCTTATTTATATAGAGAGCGATTTCCTTTTTTTCTTCTTTTTTTTACTGGTGTTACTCACTATTAACATGATCTACTATCTCATTTCATAGCTTTTATCTTTTTTCTTTTTTTTTTTTTGGCGTGAAAAAAACTTTGAATATTATATATATTCACACGGATGGTAAGGTTTAGAACAAGGCTCCTATCAAATTAATTACGTCATTACACTATCAAAGCTTTCTTCTGAAAACAAGTACTGTCCGCCATAGGAATGTTCAAATGCAACAACGTCAATGGTCTATAGTCGTTCTTTCCAAACTAGCCAAACTATAAAATGAAAGTAACGTCTCTATCATTAATCAGGAAAGATTACACTCCTTCAACTGGAAAAAAAATAATAATAATACTCCTCCATCCCAAAATTATTCTCCATCCCAAAATTATTCTCTAGTTTGAACTAAAAATAAAAATTCAAACTGGAAAATAATTTTAGGACAGATGAAGTATTAATAATAATTTATTTTTTATTATTTTGTTTTAGTTGGACAAAAATGGGTGGCTATTGTAATGGGACGGAGGGAATACTTGTGTTTTATTTTTCATCTGTTATGTTTCATTTTTGTTTAATAAGCTGACCTGGTATACGAGAACATTGAGCAGAAAATTTTTAACAGATTTTCGTAATATGAGAAACAATAAATGTCTACGCCTGATATAACTTAAGTTACTCTGAAACTTAATATTAGTGCCAAAAAAAAAAAAACAGTGAGATTTTTGGATTTTTCTTCCAAATGTATAACAATCTTAATTTAATACTGTGAAACAGTGATTTTATTTTCTCAAAGCATTCTAATTTCTCACCTATAAATGTAGCACCAAAGTGCCATTGCAATTTCATCGTTGGAAATTGTTCAGCAAATAATATACATTTTGGCCAGCCAAATATCAACTGAAGAAAAATAATGTCAAAAATGCCTAATCCTGTCTACTTCCTAGTTTTTCTTCTTTGTTTTGCTATGTGTTCTACCGCGGTAATTTGAATTTTTCTCGGATTCATTTCCCTTATCAACACTAAATTCATATATATATATATATATATATATATATATATATATTATAATTGCAGCGACAAAAATTAAATTTTTGTCGTCACTAATCGTATAATTCGCATACTTTCATATTGTTTTGCAGCAACAAAAACAGTGGTGCGTCGCCAGAGAAGGTGTGGCCGATGGGGATATGCAAAAGTGGCTGGATTACGCTTGTGGACAAGTTGATTGCGCTCCCATTAATCCCGGCGGTTCATGCTTCGAACCCAACACGTACAAAAACCATGGATCTTACTCTCTTGATCTCTTCTACAGACAGAAATCAGATTGCAATAAGGATGTTGGCGTTATTGTTTCTATCGATCCATGTACGTTTTTTAATTCTAATTCTTACCCCTTTAATATTATTAATAAATATAATATTGTTTGCCATAAAAAAAACAATTTGTTATCGGATTATTTTAATATAACGAACTAAACTCTTTTTTTTGGTGACAGCTTATCCCGGTTGCGTTTTCCCTTGAGTGTCGACCACAAGCAACAAATTAAAGTGATAACGGACTAATATTAATCCTCTTAGTATTCATTCTGGTTGATTTAGTTTTAGTTTGGAAAGACACTTTACATGTTTATGTGTAAAGTAAGAGTGTTAAAGACTTGAGTAACCTTGTCTCCTTCCGTTTTGGAAAGAATTCAGATAACAAATGCACGAATTATATATGAAAAATCATGATGGTTTGAGTATTTTTGTCTAAACATAATTGTGGTGTTTATTTAGAGATATAAAAATTCGTTAAAATGAATCAAAATTGCGACAGTTAAGAGAAATTCATTTAGTGATGATCAAAAATGCTAACGCAACTGAGCTTATTACATTATACAATGCATGACAACTTTTAACGGGTGTCATGGATTTATCTGATCCGTTTGGTTGCAATGTACTAATTTTTTTATTTGGTTGTACAAAAATGTAGACATAAAATTAGAATTACAATCTCAAATGGAACTCATTTCTATCATTTCAATACTTGAGGTAGATTTAATAATTGGAATTCCTATATCATGAACTTTTTTTACAAAAAAATAATAATAATAACTGGTTAAAAATCGGGTCGAACCCAAATTATAACAAAACTAGTCGCTTCTTTTCTCTTTAATTTTAAGCATTAATTTTTTTTCTTTTTCTTTTTCTTCTTCCTCGCTGGCAGCGCCTTCCATCCTCAAATCCTCCCTCCCCCGCATTTTCCCCTGCGCTGAAAGGACACTACATTTCGACCAAAAGGGGAAAAAAACACACACACACACACACTACATTTTCTTTTTTCTTTTTTTTTTCTTTTTGACTTTTTGTCTAATAACATATGTTTTCACTCATTGCAATTTGACAAATATGGTACTCCCTCTGTTCCAAAATTATTGTCCAGTTTGAAATTTCATTTTTAGTATAATTTGAACTAAAAATAAAAACGCAAACTGGACAATAATTTTGAGACGGGGGAATATATACCAATTTGATATTAGTACTAACTAGAATACGAGATCTATCTGTTAAAATTAATCTTGTGTTTTTTTTTTTGAAAAATAATTATCAAAAGTATAACCACATCCGGACTTTATTTAATAAAATTAATAATTAATTGTATTATTTTGGTTTAAAGTTTTTTATTACGTTCTGACATTTTTTGTATTTTTGGTTTTTGTGGCAGTTTATCCTGGCTGCGTTTTCCCTTCAGTCTCGATCGGTCACAAGCAACAATTATAGTGATGATGGATCATAATGTTATAAATTTTATCAGTTTTCATTTTGGTTAATTAATTCCAGTTTGAAAAACCACTTCTTTACAAGTTATGTGCAGAGAAAGAGTGTGGAAGACCTGGACAATGAGGTGCGGTTAGTGCTAAGACGTCTTACTTTTAACTAATAAGTCTCGGATTCGAATCACACTGGGGTAAGTAGGGAACTACTATTAATCCTCTTAAAAAAAAGAAAAAAAAAGTGTGGAGGACTTGTGTAACCTTGTCTCTTTCCGTTGGGAAGAATTCAGATAAATGCCAAATGCATGAATTATGAATCACGATGGTTTAAGTATTTTTGTCTACATATAATCCTTGTGTTTAAGTAGAGACAAGAATTCGTTAAAATGAACTAAAATGTGATGATTAAAATTTTAATACGAACAGAAATCAAAGAAATATAAATCTCTAGTTATAGGATAACAACTTTGTTAATTACTCCCTCCGGTCTTTATATAAGATATATTTGATTTGTCTTAAATTTTATATAGATTTCACACAATGATTGTGAAGATGTAGATTTAAGGTTCTCTATTTAATCAAAAAAATATATTATGTAAAAATTAAGACAAACCAAAATGCTTTATAATAAGGACCAGATGGAGTAATTAATTTCGCTAATTCTACCGGACAAATTATAAGAGATGAACATAATTTACTATGTGTGTGTGTGTGTTTTCTTTTTTCTTTTTTGTTCCTTAAAAACATAAAACATTGGAAAACCACCTTGATTTTGAGATGAACCAAACCAGACATACTATCCAAGTACACATATATTTTAAACACGCTTTCTTGAAAGACGCAGGCGTTATGCATGAATTCTTTTCATTTTATAGCCAATAATGTACGCATGTATTTAATTATAACTGGTGGCATTTGTTGCTTGGATTTGATTCATACGCACATTCCACCTAGGGTTACAATCTCAATCCCATACATTGCAGCAATTAGCATACTCAATGGCAAGAAGAAATCAACTCATATCTTTCTTTTTCCTGCTTCTTCTCTCGGGCTTTGTGCTCTCTCGTGCGGTAATAAACTACCCTATTAGCCCTTATTTTGAATCAAATCAACCCCTGTCTTTATTTTTATTACTCTCTGTCCCAAAAAAAAAAAAAACCATATTTGAATTCTAAAATTTGTACTAGTTTAAGCACAAATTTGAAAACTGAATGTATACTATTTTTAATATTTAATTATGACGCTTTCGAAATTCGGTATCACATTCCATGATAATTGATTGACCAATTAATATAACCCGCTAATTAAATGAAAGCAGAGAATTCAGAAAGTATGGTGCCTTCGGAAGCTTGGTATGGGAGATGAAATAACCCGAAATTTTATGGATCGGGCTTGTTCAATCATGGATTGTAACGCTATCAGACCCGGTGGATCCTGCTATGAACCCAACACGTTAAGGAGCCATGCCAATTACGTCATCAATCTTTATCACTATGTCCATGGGATTTGCGACCCGTCGATTGCCGGAAATACTGACAACAATCCTTTGTAATAATAATAATCTTATATAAACTCCTTTACTTTACAAACATTTCTACTTCTTCATTTTTATTTTTGAAGTATAAACAATAGTTAAGAATTACTCCCTCTGTCATAAAATTATTGTCCAGTTTGAAATTTCATTTTTAGTACAATTTGAACTAAAAACAAAAATCTAAACTGGACAATAATTATGGGACGGAGGGAACACTTCAACTCTAACAAGCTGTTTTGCGTGTGTATAAATTTTGTTGCAGCTCATGGAAATTGTCATTTCCCTTGATTGGATTGAAGGATACGGGAGAGAAACATATGCAGTTATAGTTATAGAAAGGAACAAATACAATGTTACTGCTTTTTTTTATTTATATATATATATATATAATAGTTACGTGATTGAAGAAGTATTAATAGCAGACAATATAAAATGATTCCCAAATTATTTTGGGTTCTTTAAATTATACAAGTACTGTATGTATGTTCTCCTCTCTTATGAAGTTACTGATGTTTCTAAAATAAAAATAATGCCTTTAAAATGGGTGCAAAATTATCATTTAATTGTTTCTAATATCTATTTATTCATTGTAACTCTTTTCACCCTAAAATAAACCCTAGGATTGATAACACTTTCTGTAGGTTTGTATCGATCACAATGTAATTTATTTGAAAAGTAATATTGGCTTGAGCATTCTTAATTACAAAGCATTTGCTCATATCCATTTGAACTTGTTTTCAAGTCAGATATTCAGTTTAAATGCAAACATCTTGCCTGGCTTGAATCAATCCGTTTGACAAATTTGATATATACTAAGATGCGTTACACTCAAAAGTTAAGACACACGATCTCGTAGAAAAAATCTCATCAATTTGGCAAACTCATATATGTGAGTCTGTGACATCCAGTTAGTATGCCATTGAGTAAATTACATTTGAATCTTATCTTCACTTTTCACTTTCGATCTTGTATAATCTATGCTATAAATTGGCAAACAAATTAAATTTTTTTTTGAGTGTTATTGTCTCTATAAACATGCTCAGAAGGGGGGAAAAAAGGACCTTGGTTTGAGATGAAATTTTGTGATTATAAAACAAATGCTCCCTTTCGTTTCAAAATTATTTAGATTTTTGTTTTTAATTCAATTTGCACTAAAAATAAAATTAAAACTGGACAGTAATTTCGGGATATTGATACTTGAGCACACACTGCTTCAAACTCAGACAGACGAATGATGAGTACTCTTTTGAGTTAGTTCCAATATTTTCCATTAAATTAAAAGAGACAAAATTAACTCTTTCTCTCTCTCTATATATACTAGTGATGTCTGGTCGCGCAATGCGCGACCCTGGCCCAGTCTATCTGTAGATCTTAGAAATGTTTATATTTGAAAAAAATAAAATTTTGTATTTGGAGCGATATATTTTAGAAATTTTTGAAGGATTTAGAAATGTTTTATAAGTGTGATCATAGAAATATTTGTATTTCGCAAAAAAAAAAAATTGTATTTCGCCATGTATGTTTTAGAAATGTTTTATAAGTGTTACTTATTAAATATAAATAGCTTAATCGAATATATGTGTTGAAGTAAATGTTAGATAAAATATAAAAGCATCCGAATAAATTTAAATATTAGTAAGATGATTTATTGATGTTCTCTATTGGTCGTGCCAAATCAATACTTAGTTTTGGAGATTTTTAATAGCTTTGTAATAAGCTTCATCCGAAGGGTATACGCTTAAAACAAAATTGACACTTTGTAACAAAAAACCTAATTGATCAATTCAATTTAAAAAACCACTCTAGTTGAATGAAACATAAAGAAAAAATTAAAAAAAAAAAAAACATGTCACGTAAAGTGCAAAGGGAGATTTAGTAATTTAGTTATGGTTAGACAAAAGGGCAATTTAGTATTTTCTACATGCCACGTGGCAATCATATGAGGTGTTTGAAAGGGAGGTTTTTGTTTCTAATATAGTATATGATATATATATGAATCCTATTAATTAGTTAATTAAGGACGTCGACATATTATACGGAAGATAGCCCGATTTATAGATTATGATGATCCTGAAGGATAAAATCTTGCTCTTTTTTTCGGTACAATGAATGAGACAAGAACCTTGAAATTACACAAGTATGTTATGGAAATAAAATCTTGCGTGAATCACACCATTAACCCAATATTTGACATTCTTACTTGTGTATAAATATCAAGCTCTTTTCGTTACTTTTTGAGTACTAAAAATTTTTAATTGAGATAGTCACATATATTGAAGCAGCCTCTCAATGGCCACAAGAAATCAACTTTTCAATTTCCTCCTCCTTCTCCTCTTTTCAGGCTTTGTTGTACTTTCTCATGAGGTAGGGTTCTAATTCTTTTCATGCATATCTAAGACGTTTTTAAATTTTCTGTGTCACT